GGGGACGGGACCGTGCCCGCGTGACAGCGGTCGGCGGATCTTTGGGGCCAACCTTTATGCGTACTTGACGCAGTGCCTGCTAGCGGCTTTTTGCGGCTTCGCCTTATCGCCCCAACTATTGCAGGCCACTGAGTTGGTACAGCTCAGCCGCGCAGCCACGGCGCCCTTCTCGTCCCACTACCAATGAAGCTGGCTCCAGGCAGGCCCTCGCGAACATAGAGGGACCGCCCAGGCAACAGCAGACAACAGCTTGCCAGGCAAGCCAAACCAGGGCCTGAGAATGAGGGAGTGCAGCAGGCCTTGCCAGCCGAACCACACCCTGGCAAACCAGGACCGGGCCAGTAGATTCTGCCCAACGTGTGAAGCATCAGCGGAACAGAGCTCGATTGCACCAGTAGCGCCCCCATCCATCACTTGTCAGACTGCTGGGGGCCTTCGCAACAAAGGAAGTTGCAAACAACAGCTACGCCGCTACGCATGCCCCCAGACCGCGAAAGAACAGGGAACAAACAGAGGCAAAGTGTCAGACGCAAATAGAAGCAAGCAGGCCCGCAAAGTCGGCGGTCTGAGCTGGAGGCCTTGAAGTTGCTTGCCTGCTTCCAAGAGGACATTGGAATCTTTGGGCCCGTCCTTGAGGAAAAATTGAGTGGCCCCCCTCATGGCCTCTAGAAATAGGCCATCAGTACCTATGCCAGTTGAGCTAAATCAGCGCTCAGAGTGACATGGCAGCTGAACTATCGGGAGCCCGGCGAAAACAATCCAGCGAAGAACGCCGTCTTCAACCTGAGCTTGAAGGCAGTTGACTTTGCGGCCAGTTCTAAAATGGAACCAAATACACCAAGTCGGCTTGAGTGTTTTTTTTTGTTGAGGCTGTTTAGGTTTCAAAGGGACACTCAAAAGAAAACCGCATTCTTTGGGCCCCCAATTGTGATAAATCCACAAAATGATCTTAATCTGCCGTCAGGTCGTCGAATCATCGCAAGTGAATGACTACTCTGGACTGATTCAATCGAACAACCATGAGGGCGAGCCATCCGCGACTAGGGAGCGCACACTTAACCACCTTTCCAGAACAAGTCGGGGTGCTGTTCCGTTCTGACATCCTAGCCCAGCGTTCCAAGGCGTCCACAATGAAGTGACGTGGCTGTTGCAACATCCAGCTAGGGTCCGATGCTGAATAACCATCCAAACAATATGGTGCTGACAAAGTGCCTAAGCTGAAGAGACTTGGCGGCAAAAGTATGCTACCCAATGAATCAACACTACCACAATGAATCAACACCCAGATTGTCGTCAAGTGTTGCAACTTGACCCACAAAAGTCATCGAAGGACAAGTGCGCAAGAAGCACGAGTTGAACACGAAGACTTGCTCGCGTGCGGCTTGCGAGACCCAAACAAAGATCGGCGATCGAGCCGATCGCTGGGGCGACCGGCCGCAGCTCTCGCTGTACCTTTTTCCGGCCTTTGAAAGCGAAGGTCTGGGTAGCCTGGCGCAGGCCAGAGATGCAAAGCGCTGGCGCCCACATGTTTGACTGCCCGCACAACAGAGACCTGGGGTCCGACGTTGCCCAAACAACTCCACGATTTGGGGGCTTCCACATGCAATAATGAAACGTGAGGCTTGTCTCTCGGACCCGAGCGATTTCCAAGCGCCTCCCCAGCCAGAAGGCCGAAGCTGCCGCCGATCAGGGAGTCACATTCGCAGTAGATCACCTTCCACCTGGTTCCCGGAAAGCGGCACGAACTCGATCAACTTTGTTTGACTTGTTCTTTGCCACAAGTCACACAGTTGCGACATTATAACAAGGAAAATCCACCATCACACTGGCGGCTTGATAGGGGCGCCATGGAAGGATTGCCGCCTAAAAGCAGGCAACCCCCTATCAATCAACCGAGTGTTGCTCACAATCTGGGGTCCCAGTAACCTGCGAAAATTGGAGCAACCTGGGCTGGACCTGGGTTGCAAGAAAGGCTTAGCCACGCTTTGATGCCCCTTGTCAAAAATAAGATTCCACGAATTGGTGGCAAACCCTCTGCCCTCAAATCCTGACGTCAAAGCAAGCTGAAGCGCAACAAACCGAAGGAATTGCGCACTGTTAAACTGTCGGCTCGACATAGGAAGCAATCACACCCCAGAGTCCGGAGCATGACAAGCCGAACTGGGCCAGCGGCTCCCCACTGAGAAGGCTCTCATCATAAATCAGATCTGGGCCTTGCCAAAGAAATCCATGGCTGCGGATGTCACACTGGGACCTTGACAAATGGCCTATTGGAACAAGCTGATCCCCTGCAAAGAAGACATGTTAATCAGTGTCCATCAAGAAATGTTTCACGTCTCTCTAACATCCCCAAAAGTGGACGACCCATCACTTCCCCAACGCAACCAGGTGTGCTGTCGACCGTCCACTTATTCGTGGCCGAAGAGGCGACACGTTTAAGGCAGGAGCGATTGTAGGGCTCGAGGTCCCGAGCACAGAACTGGCAACAAAACGCCTCCCTCTGCGCCCGGCGTCCGTAAACTTTGTGCTTTGAAAGCTTCAGAACCTGAAAATGACTCGCGACCCCAGAAATCTGAGACTCGCACTGCTCAACTCCCAAATCCCCTTCCAGGATGCATTTTTAGAAAGGAATCTAAACACTTCAAATTCTTACTGCGAACGAACATCTTGCTCGCTCACCTGGGAAAGCACAAGGGCAAAAGCATACCAGCGTGAGGGAGGTTCAAGCTTTGCCGATCAAAGGGCAGCATGTTCGACCAAAGCATCTCACTGCCACAAAGAGGGCTGGGAGATGCTGGGAGGACATGGGGCTTGCTCTCACGACATATGACACACGAACTTCCTGCCTCAAGCTTCAACCTGTCAGCGTTGCTCGTCAGCCATCCTTGCCTGCCGAAGACATCCTTGCCTCTTCTGGCATCCAAGTCGTGTGCTTAAATCCCCCTTTTTTCAGGCAAAGGAGGGGAGGGGGTCCGCATCCGTTTTTCACCTTTGCGTCAAATGCAGTCAGGTGTGCCAGCTCATGTTTGCCCTTTGCCATGCACAACCCGGATCTGGGTGCTTGACCCATCGCCGATCTTTGAAGTGATGTTCTGCGCGGGCAGTGGGGGGGGGGAATTAGGCTTCTGGTGCTAAGCGGCAATGATAGCACTGCATCGCAACTAAGTCCTACTCAAAGCTAATTCTGGCCCAGGATTCATAAACACCTGGTTGATTCCCAGCTTGATGTCCCATTTAAGCGGGAATCTTCACTTTTGGTGGCACACCGCCGAACAAACATCTCGTTGTGTTGTGATCCTGGGTCTTCCTTGCTACATCGGTGCAGCAAGCAGCAAGGCAAGCCAGTCGCGCCTCGATCTCTTGCTTTATGCCTGCCAGCTCCTTGCATTGGAACGACTCTGCCCAGACATTGGCCAAGCCACATCTGAACTCAAGTCCCAATGGGCTGTCAACAGTTTCTCGTTTTCCAATTTCGGTGGCCAAAGTGCAGGGCCCACCTGTTTCGTATGGGGTGATCTACAAACAAGCTTGTCCCACAGCGGGGCTGGCCTTGCTGTGGCCATGAAGTGCAGAACAAGAAATGCACTCAGCAAGAGGCTAGCATGTGCCAAACAAAACGTGCTAGCGGTGCTAGCGACAAGACAAAAACACCGCATCTGGCACGACAAACACAACAACCTCTGACCAATGGCCCAAAACTGGGTAGGGGATCTGTTACATCCCCTCTTGGTTTTATTTGGGGAGGAATTCGGGAAAAATGCTATTTTGAACGCCAATTAAATACGGTAAGCCCCGTCCTTAGGTGGAAGCCCTGGTGCGACCTGCACAGCAGTCGCGGTCGACGAGCGGCCATAAACTAAAATTGAATCGTTTGTTCTTTTTGGCCGACATATGGACACCAGTGATTTCCCAGTAAGGCCCCCTATGATGCTTACAAAACGCCCCAGCAACCTAAGCGGCATGAAAATCAGCTATACACGCAACTGTCTGCGGCTTCTGCAAAGGAAATAGCCATTACAAGGCCCTACACGTTTTTGGCCGGGCGATCTCCTCGCTCGCCCCTCCTCTTCGAGCCTTTCCGTGATTCGGAAGTCTCAAGTTACGGTCGCGAGCCTTAGCCTTGGGAGCTGGTTGAGGGTCTGGTCGGGTCTTCCGCCTTACCCAGGGCCAAAGACATGGACCATGACTAACGTAACCGATGAGCAAAAGAGGTGCAACATCTGCGCCTCACTCCTTCAAGCCTTCGGCACCATCCTGCGAACCACCCCGAGCTCGCTCTTTACTGTCATCCGCGTTTCCCAAGGGACCTTCAGGGGGCTTCCTACACGAGCCCATGAAAGCCTTGCAAAAGCCGAATTGGCGGGAAAGCTAGTGGGCCCTGGGGTGGCGTTTCCTTCTTGGAATGGGTTCTAAGAAATTGGTTTTTTCCGGATGCCATGATCTTGGTTGCTGTTGACCCTTCTGAACTTTTTGTGCTCCCCATGGAAAATCCACTGTTTCGACCAACAAGCTGCTGAAGTCCAACAAATATGCTACCAAATAGCCATAAAGTTGGCTTCTTCATGCTTGGAACCATTTGTTCTTTCCGTTGGAGCCCCCCAAACTCCGGATCATCCATCGGTCTCTGAGCTTTTCCCGGAATTCCTGAGTGCCTGGCGCAGCCGGCGCCCTAGCAGTATTTCGACTTGGGTAGATCCTTTTCGGACGTAGGAAGCCCACCAAACGGAAAAAGGGACTTGGAGGGCAGCATCTACTGACAAATGATTGCAGCTACGAAGGTAGCAGCTACGACGCCTTTCTAACAAGTTGTAGAACGCATTCAAAATCATGAGCCCAACCGGAAGTGCACAAGTGCCCAGTGCCCAACCTCTTCCTGGCAGCCTTGCAGGCAAGCTTTCCTCAGAGTTTGCAGCTGTGACTGCGAGACTGTCTGCGGAACTCTATCGTCACATTTTGGGCATGCACTTCAAAAAGCGCTATTCCAAGAGGGCTCACCGCAATTAAGTCCGGTGAGAGGTTGCGCCCGCATCGTTTCCCACGAGGATCCAACAGCACTTTCGCCACAGCGCAGGGGCGATCTTTTTGCCCTCCAGATACGCAGGTCGCGGGACACCTCGGAGCTTCCTGCAATGAGATGGCTGAGGTTACTCCAAGAAACCTAATTCTATATATGACTATATATGATTCTGTTTCATATTTAGTCAAGCCCAACCATTAAAAAGACAGCTTCGGAGGACACATCACTAGCAGGTCTACTGCCTTTCGCACCCCCATCCACCCCCCTCCCCCTCCCCGTGAGCCGTCCGTGTCCTCAGCTCGTGGGCCGGCACCCGCAGCCGGCCCGGGCCATCGTGCCGGGTCTCCAGCACCGCGATGTCCAGGTCCTCCCGCAGAAAGGCGATGACCGCGGGCCGGATCAGCGCGATGCCGCCTGGAGTTCCGAACACCGTGCAGGTTTTTGCTCAGGGTTTTGGGAGAAATTGAATGACCATAATGACCCTCATAAACAAAATCCAACTGGTGGCTTCCTTTCAGCAGACTGGGTTCATTCCCACATCCCCTGCCAATCGCACCAGCAAACAGGGCGGACCGAGAGAGGGCCGGGCGCTGAACAAGCAACATTCTCTCAGGACCCCCGGACATGGGACTATTGGGTTGTCCTTGAATGCCAAGTGTTCGTCACGTAAGACGCGTCGACAGTTCGACACAAGCGTTGGGCCTCGCGTAGGATGTCAGGATGCAATTTGAGCGGCTCAGCGCTGACTGACGCATTTCCGAGCGTGGCTCGCCCATGTGAGCCAGTGCTTCCCCCCCGCAGATGGGACATTCAGTCAGCCCCCCATGTCCATCCAAAATTGACTAAAGACTATCTGAAAATGTTGACCAAACGGGGTTTTCTTGAAATAGTGGTTGGCTTTCTTTTTGGCTCCCCTTTACCATCCAAAAAAAGGGCCCGCATTCTTAGAACCGCTCAAGCCTCAGTTGATTCCTCCGCCTGGGCTGTTGTTGCCAACGCCCGTGACGATGATGAAGTCCCTCAGCTCTGCCTTGGGCGTGGAGCCGGGCGCCCCGAGGACCAGGTCCTCCAACGCCACCTCTGCCAAGCAGAGCAACCCACCTTCTAGGGGTAAGCTGGGTGAGGGCGTTCCCCAATCAACATGCTTCCTGGGAAAGGCATCTAGACCCCCCACCCATGTCCCAGGAAGTAAATATTAAATATGTTGACAGAGATGTAAATCCCATGCGTGACCTCACAAAGATGAGTGGCATTCATTGAAGAAGGTGCCTTTCTTGATGGTACATTAAACTACTGTATTTCAAGTTGGTAAAGATTTGGACTTGTGGCAACCCCAATAGGGGACATGAAAACGGGGCTGCCATCCAAAATGCATTGAAATCGGCGACGAAGCACGTCAGCCTGGCCGCCGAATAATGCAGTGATGCCTAGCCCTGAACAATGCTGATGGATCATCAGCATTGGCACAAATGCTTCCACTTGAATCACTTGAACAAAACAAGAACAAGAGAAAGTGAATTCGTTCAGTTGGCTTCAACCTGCATACAACACTTCCGAAACCTGAAGCAAGACATTTGCCAGCCCTGATAGGGCCTGGGAGAAAAAGGATGGCTCAGAAAACCAGTTGCAGAATCGAATGCTTTGTGCGAGCCTGGACAGCAATCTTTGAGACCTCCACGGGAAGGCCATGCAGATCAATGAGCGCCTCCTGCAAACGTCTTGGTTCGGGGTGTCGGTGGCGATTGGGGGTGCAGCCCCGCAATATGGGCTCTTCCAATTGGGTACCCGAAAAACAGCGGCGTTTGGGTTCCGTTTTCTTGTTTTGAGGGCCTCTTCTTTTGGTGTGTGCTTAAGGGAAACCAAAAGGAAAACCAACCATTTTGGGGTCCCCATACAAAGTAGAGACCCGTTGTCTCATTTGCCCCGTTTCCCATGGCCCCCATCCCGTCCCCGTTGGCCAAAAGTCGGTAGCTCGACGACGTGGCCTGGCGCAACTCTCGACAAATATTCGGGCATCTTTCTTGAGGGTTCGCCTTTTTGGGGTGGTTTTGGTGCACCGAAAGGAAACAACCCTTGAGACTAAGCCTGAGCATCGGCCACAATAGGCGTCTGGATGGCCCTCCTTAGGGAAACCAACGGCACTCCCACGGTCTGAGAAGGTTCCCAACAACCAACAACCAGAACGGGTTGTTGGATGTTGTTAAAACCTTTCTGAGCCGAACCCGTAATTTTGAGGTGGTTCCCCTGTGAAACTCATAGACAAATGGGCTTTTTTTCGATGGTACCCCATTCTTGTGGATTTAGATGGATACCAAAGGAAAAACTATGCTATTTTGCCCCCCCCTAGAAAACACACCCACATGGACCATGAAAGCACAGCACATGGGAGTCGGACCTTCTCCCTAGGCCGTTGTCAACAGGATCTAAGGTGGCTACGCCCAAACAAGAGGCAAAACACGTGGCCGTATGTCCTATTGAACCCCCACATGTGGGTTTTTGGGGGGTGGTGGAAACCAGCTTAACAATGGAACAGTCCACCTGGGCTGTTAGATCCACTTCTAAAAGTCTAACTTTAGTGGATTAAATGGAACCCCCCCACTAATCCCTAAAACCTAAAACCTGATTATGGGGACGTGGGAACCGTGAATCGACAAGAAACGCCTCTAAACAAAACCAAACATCTGTCCCTGTTTCGCGTTCCAGCCTCATCCTCGTCACCCTGGCAGGATGCAAGGACCAATTTCTTTCGCTTTCTTGTTGGACGAAACGCCTCCCCCAGGCTGGATTGTTCAGAATGGGGTTTCTGCATCCCAAATCCCAATCCACTGGCATAAGTTCATAAGGATCAAGGATTGATTTTGAGCAACGCCGACAGCCTTGCAAATTGAAACGGATCGAATTTCCAGGTTTGCAGGTTTCAATGTTCTTGCATGGTTCAACTTGTTGTGCTCAAAAACAAAGAATTGCCTTGAGCGAGTATTTCTGCACAAAATTGCAAATCTTCTGACATAGTGCTCCTGGTAAAGCGGGGGGGCCCTCTTGGACGAAGACCGAATTGGAAACCCGCAGGGGCCATCTTAGAAAAGACAATTCGCAGCATTGAGGCCGGGGGGATTCATTTTTGGGAGAAGGGCCCCGCATTTTGTAGGTGTTTGCCTGTGAGTGCGCCTATTTTTCACAAGGCTGACCATGGCCCCAGCGCGAAGGAAGGAATGCACGGTGGCAAGCGACTCGTAGCGCTGCGAAAAAAATAGTGAGAAGCGAAGGATCCGCGTCTTGAGCCGTAGACCACCCGCAAGGACGCATATCCAAACACCATCCAACACCTAAAGAAAGGATGGACATCACCCCAGTCACTTTTGGGGGGTCAAACACAAAAAAAACAACGGACGCCTAGTGGCCATCAAAAAAACACTTGTGGATTGACTTGAGACCCAGGTTTTGTGTAACCCAGTGGCCGCAGTTGCACCAGGCGAAGGCCTGGGATTTAAAGGCGAGGTCCAAACAAGTCGTGACTTGCAGCGGATATCCAGCTCAGAAAGTTTTGCCCTGGCAAACAAAGTAAATCTCGAATGTGAGTGTGATGAAATACGTTGAAAAAAAAGATGCGTTCAGCCGAATTTCGAGATAGAATGCATGTGGCCCAAAAAATGGTCATTTGCACGTACAACCCATGAACCCATGCTTGCGTGTGCGTGTGTTCAATGCCAACTTGTCACAGGAATAAGGCGGCAGCCTCACTTGAAGCTCGCGACTGCGGAGTTCGGAATTTAGGCTCAAACGAAACCATCGCACTGCAGGATTTGGAGTGGATGCGCCTTTTGCGCTGGGAGCCTCTAGGTTTTTCCGAATCACGAGGCATGAATCTGGGTTCATTTGCGAACCTGGCTTAAGGGACGTCCGAGAGGAGAATCTTCAACATGGAAGAGGTGAAACCCCCGTGGCTGCTATAGCTTGCCCAAACACACTTCTGCAGCCAAAGCGTGCGACAAAGTTGGCTTCCGCGCGAATTTAGTTTGTTTCATATTGATTTCTATTGGGAGGCTAGCAGGCTAACAATCGGGAACGATATGAAAAGATACTTTTTCTGTTTGGGGTCCCCCTTAAAAAAGCTTACCCATACCAAATAGATATGTCATATTATAAATATTCATGTTTATTTGGGCTGGATTGATTCACCGGCGGCTCATCTCCGGAACTCTGGAACCCCAACAACCCCGCCTCTCGAGGCTCCGCGGGCCGAGGCTCTGCGATAAGCTCCGGAGGACGCGCCTGGATTCCAAGACCAAAAGCATTTGTTTTTAGTTGCCGTTGACCTCTCTTTTTGCTTTAAAGTTAAAAACTGTTTGTTTTCCACTTTTCAATCCCCCCAAAAGCATATTTGTTTTTTCCAAAAGCAAAAAGGTTGCTTCACTTTTTTTTTGGCGGGGGTTTAGTGGAAAACACCGAAATAGGTCAGCCCAAAAGTTAAAGTCTAAAGGTCAAACCCACTAGCAGTCAAGCTTCTGGCAGGTTTCCAGGGAATGAGAAATGGAACGACACCGAGAAAAGCAATCCGTGGTTTCCTTGGGAATCCGATAGCTATGGTGTCCTTGAAAATATCCTTCTGGTTCCTTCCCAAACTCGAAAAAGGTCATTCCCTACTGGAGCACCAACGAAAACCGATCGGTATTAAAATGATCTAACCAAAAGGGGGGCTGCACCCATTTGTGGTTGGGACTAATTATCTCTTGCTAACCTTGATCTACCCGGGTTTTGATTGTGCCTCACTTAGGCACGAATCTTGGGGGCCCTACGGACTCTCACTGGATTCATGTCCAACAGCTACTTTTAAGGTGGATCCCGATTAAACAATCATAGCCTTGTTTTGTTCTTCTCTCTGCCTGCTCCGGCAGCTCTCAAACCAAAAGTTTCTTGAATTCAGGACCATTCAAATGGAGAAGGCTCAAGGCTCCAAAACCTATCCCCAGGTCAAAATCCAAAAATACTTCAGTCCCAGAAAAAATCGGCCTCAAAGACACAGCCTTTATCCTCAATCCTAAGACTTGGGTCTCCAAGTGAAAGGACCTCCTGAGCTGGATTGACCCCCGAGTCGGTCGCACCCTACTTGAAGGGTGCAAAAAAGGGGTCTCCCCATAAATAATCAACGCTTAAACCATGTGAAACCCATCTAGAAGTACTTGATTCATACCAGCTCATTGGGAAAAACAGATGCTTGGGACCCTTCGGTGGACATCATTAACATGCGGCTTCTTGTCCATCAACCAGCGAGGGTGTCCCCATCAGTTATTTAAAACAAAAACAAGTCATTGAGTCATTGAGGCTGCTATTCCATTCCAGTTCGCTGGAGTGGTAAATGTGCACCATGCTATTCACGGACAGCGTCAGATTCGACGGCCTCCAGAACCCGTCGTAAGACAGTCACAGAACAACCACTACCACGTGGCAGGACTCCCCCATGAAACCCTTAACAAGGTTCCCGGAAAGAAGATCCAAATGGCTTTTGAGGGTTTATTATCCCCCCAGATAGCTGAAAGCTATAGGGGTTCTAACTTCTAATAAAGAAGGAAAAGTGATTTGCGAGATTGAGGGCCGGGTGCTAGGGGGCATGCAGTTTGGGGTGCTGGTGGAGGTGCTGCTTTGCGAGCTTGACGGCCGGGTGCCAGGGGGCATGCAGCTTGGGGTGCTAGTAGTGGAGGTGCTGTTTTGCGAGAGTGATGGTCGGGTGCTAGGGGGCATGCAGTTTGAGGTGTTGGTGGAGGTGCTGTTTTGCGAGATTGACGGCCGGGTGGCATGCAGTTTGGGGTACTGGCGGAGGTGCTGTTTTGCGAGAGTGATGGCCGGGTGCTAGGGGGCATGCAGTTTGGGGTGTTGGTGGAGGTGCTGTTTTGCGAGAGTGATGGCCGGGTGCTAGGGGGCATGCAGTTTGGGGTGCTGGTGGAGGTGCTGTTTTGCGAGAGTGATGGTCGGGTGCTAGGGGGCATGCAGTTTGAGGTGTTGGTGGAGGTGCTGTTTTGCGAGAGTGATGGCCGGGTGCTAGGGGGCATGCAGTTTGAGGTGTTGGTGGAGGTGCTGTTTTGCGAGAGTGATGGCCGGGTGCTAGGGGGCATGCAGTTTCGGGTGTTGGTGGAGGTGCTGTTTTGCGAGATTGACGGCCGGGTGCCAGATGTAGTTCGGGGTGCTGGTGCTGTTTTGCGAGCTTGACGCAGTTTGGGGTGGTGGTGCAACTGCTGTGTTGGGTTGCCGGGGTTCTAACTTCTAATGAAGAAGTGGGATTGTTTTGCAAGATCGACGGTTGGGAGCTAGGGCGCATGCACTTTGGGGTGCTGGCGCAGGTACAGTTTTGAGGTGCTGTTCGGGCTGGTGACAGTACGTGACGGCAAGGTGCTCGGTGCTCGGGGACCTGTCCAATGCTGGTGAGGGTGCTGCGTTGGGGTGCTGTTGGGGCTGCTGTCTTGAGGTGTTGGTGACGGTGTGGGCGCATATGGACGGCAGGGTGCTAGGGCGGGTGCTGTTTCATGATGCCGTTGAACCGGTTCGGACGTTGTTGCTACTCTAGTAGTCTAACAGTCGTTTGTCATGGTGCGTGGTTCGTGGCTGGTGTGTCATCATGATGTTGTCACCCGCGTCATGATGCTGCTGTCACTGCGATGCTGCGATGCTGCGTTATGGTTCGTGGGTGTGGTGGCGCCATGATTGCTGCCAACATCAGGATGATGCTGAATTTCACTACGCTGTCGCGAGAAGATTCGTGGCTGTGGTATCATCATGATGCTGCCTTTTCAATTTTACCATTACCATGATGCTGTTCGCATCACCATGATGCTGTCCGCATCATGGTGGTGCTGTCCGCATGATCGTGATGCTGTCCGCATCATCATGATGCTGTCGAACTCATCAGGACGTCGTCTCTGCCTTTTTTCTGCTGGATATGTCGCGCGGAATCGTTCGTTGCTGGTGCATCAGCATGATGCTGTCAACATCATCATTTTTGCTGCTGAACTCATTAGGACGCTGTCTTCGTGTCTATTTAGCGCACATGCTGAGTGGCTGTGGTGTCATCATGATGCTTTCAACATCATCATGATGCTGTCAACATCATCATGATGCCTCGGAACCATTATGATGCTGCATAATGGTTCGTAGCCGTGATGTGCTATCTGGGGTCTACGCTGGTGTAATTGTTTTATGTTATGATAAGTGATGTGTTCTTGAAAAAGCTGGATTCGAAGCACAAAGGCCCTATGCCTCTTGGGTTTCGACACCTCTTCCATGAGTGCATTTCCTTTCGGTGACAGGCCCTGCCTTCTGTGGGGGGGGAGGTCGAGTGACTCGCGGGCCACGACTCCTGGACCAACTGTTTAAATTTGTTTGCCCATGAAATGGGTCTGAACCCCTCCCCCCCCCAAGAAAAACGAGAACACCACGTTTTGGCTCTCTTTACAACAAGCTTAACATAGCACCCTCAAAACACGACACACTTCACTCGCCATCTTTGCCGGATGGCCCCCGGCCAAAAGGGTAGCGCAACACTTGGTGGCATCCACAAGCGCATCCGAGATGTGACGGCTGCACGAGCTAGCTGAAACATGTTGACTTACCAAACAAAATATGGCTGTGGGTCAAAAATGGGTACCCAAAATGATCCCTGGTAAATGGAACCGAGGACTAAAACCTGCGGTCCCCTGGTGGTTAAATTTTGACCCACACCCCATATGGAACGCTGACGCAACCCAAATCACCTTCCAGCATGTGACGCTCCAAGGTCGTCAATGCGACCAATGCAATGAACGCAAGATACAATCATATCCCGTAGTTTCGACCCCCTCTCCATAAATACCCCTGCAGTTGACGGGTTTCATGCGAAATATGAGTCCGCTGTTGTGGCCACAAACATGGAACGCACCAGACATATGGTCCCTTTTAAGGTAAAACTAGGGGAACCCGGTTCTACATTAGCTGAGGGTAATGAAAGGCGGCGCAATGCACGCAAATCATCTCAAGGCAGGCCAAATCCGACTCGAATCCCGACTCCTGGATCCAAATCAGCCAGCAGAGGGATCCGGTACCGGCCCCAGCTGGTATCTGCATATTCTGCATTAATTCCAAAACCTGAAAAAGGAATCCCCTAAAGGTCCTACATGGTGAGCTCGTTTTACCCACCGTAAAATCTGCTGCATCCTTCAGGGACAGCCCTTCAAGCCATAACACCAATCCCACTCCTCGGCTGGGTGCCAGGTGTTCCTGTGGCCAAAAACCGTGCAAGGCGTCAGCTGGAGTGACTGCGACTGCACCATGAGATGAAAAACAAAGCTCGCGGCAACCTTTGGAATCCTGGGCCGCCCGGCTTCTCCCGCAAGCTGTTCGCGCCTGGCCGCGCAAGGCCACCGCGAGTGGACCGCCAAGGAAACCAAGGCGGCAAATATAAAGCAAGAAAACCATGCGCGCCAAGAAAGGGATGAACATCAGCAAGGCTTGCTTCGGATTCATCCAATCAGGACCCCACTAAGAAAATGACTCCCACAAACTAATGTCCTTACGAAAGAAGAGAACCCACCCCTGACAGTCCTGAGGATGACTCCGCAATCAACATTCCAAGCATCTTGCTGGCTGCAAGAGGGTGACAAGCTGCAAAAAGGGCAAGTCCTGTTCATTGCCTGCCGCGAAGCAATGTGGCTCAACATCCCAGCCCTTGCCATCTTGGGAACAATTGTTCTTTGCAGCCCCACCCCGCGCTAGCCGCTAAAGCTGAACCACCCAAGCAAAAATCCAGACAACGCAACAGCGACAGCGACCAACACAAGGATCACCTTCTTCAATGCGCCCTGCATCAAGGATCCCTAAGGGGGCGAGTGGGCAAGGGCAAGGGGTCCCCAAATTCCATTTCTCCCACAAAAGCATAAGTTGGAACTGTAAATGGAGCTCTCCAGGGGTCGTTTTCTGCTCCCTCTTCCCCAACTCCATTTTTGAGGGGGTGGGGGATCATACACGTGAACACAAGCTGCGTGGCCCCAAAAACCGGACCTTCATCATCTCCAGGCCCTCGGCGTGACCAGCCTTCGAGCTGCGTTTCGCACAGAGCTCCCCGAGATGTCACCCGACTTCCCTCCTGTGTTGTGGCCTTTAAATCCGGCAGATGGGATGGCATGGGATTGGATTGGATGGAGGGCAGTCATCCGCTTCATTGGGCATAAGGTTTCTCTCTGAAGCTGCAACAATAGTCTGGCAAGGGAGCAAAGTGCATAGAATGCTGGCGCCAAACATGTGGCTGAGTAATTCGTGCAAGGACCTATTGGCTCCCAAACCCAATTTTACCAACGGCGACCTCACGCACAAATCGCGGGCCCATGCAACCTGCGGTCAGAACCTCACCTCGGTGAGAATATCCACAGCGGTGTTGAGGCAAAGGGCATCCGCCTCCTGAGTGCTCACAAGTTGTGTCTCAAAATTTGGGAACCTCTTCCCAACGACAGGGATCACAAAACCTTCCCCTTCACAAGTTGCAACGTACTTGTGGCTTACCGTGAAACTGCCACTCTTGGACCCCCGAAGCACGGCAGAAGTTGGTCCAAGGCGAAAAAGAAAAACAAAAAGGATGAACTTGAAGGGAGAAGAAACACCGTCTCACCAAATGGATCCTTTCCAGTGTGTGCGTGTGCGCGCGCTCATCTTTGTGTGTCTGCACTGACGGGAAGTCGGCAGCAAGGCCAGACCCGACAGCAACTCCAAAAAGGGAGACCCCCAGAGACAAGCTCAAGTTAGGTCTGATAGGCAGGAAAAGCAAGGAAGACACTTTAGGCGCAATGAGCTGACGCATCCTTCCCCACCCCATGCTAACTTCAAGCGTGGCTTGGACCTTGGACAACCTTGCAAACAACGCTTCTCCTCATGGTTCAAAAGCAACCACCTTGCAGGGCATGCTTCTGGGTTGTTCAAATTGGGAGATGACTAGAATCCGTAATCCTTAGTCGGACGCCAACAGGCACACACCATCTGGCATAAGGAAAAAGGTATGTCTTTTGGACCCGCTTTGAGCACGATGGGAGCGCCAAGATGCAATGCCAAGCGCTGGCATTGTTTCGAAGACCAGGCAAAGTGCGGTTTGCCACTCCGATGCATGCCTGAGACTTTAGACTGACAAGCCTAAATGCGGGAAATCAGCCTATCTGTGACACCAAAGTGGGACATCCCTGTGACTACTTTATCATTTTTAGGGAGATTCCCCTGGCATCACATGGCCTCACATACCAACTTTCTTTACCTTGTCGGTTGTGCCATAGTCTAAGAGTTGAAACACTCGCAGCAACCCTGTGATAGGATGACTCCAGGGCTTCAGTGTTGTAGACCTCGTGTTGCAGCAACCCCGTGGCAGCTAGGGCCAGCAGCTAGGATATGCTGTCAAACCCAGCCCGTGTTGGGTCAGGATGCGCGCAGGACTGCATGGCAATGGTCACTTCGCTGGCCTTGGCGCACCACTCTGTCAACTTAGGACCTCCAAGCACGGCTAGCATGAAGGGTATGGTCATATAGTGACTTTACACCCAAGGTTCCCTAGGGGTATTGATTAGAGTTCGAGTCAAACTTTTCCCCCCTCCAGTCGCTATGGCAGCGCTCACCCAAGGGGCTGTGAGGATTGGAGACATTTCCAGGAGCTGTAAGCAGCCTCGCCAGTGGCTGGCGAACTCCCCGGCCCTGGCAACCAGTTTCCTCAAGACCCTGTGGTGGGTTCCATGCAGGGAAATTGAGCGATTGCCGGGGAATTGTCGGAGAGGCCCGGCCTGAAGTTCCTCTGAGCGCTGAGAGGGTGGGACAAGTTGTGAGATCCATCCAAACCCCAGCTGGATGGCGGAAGTGGTGACTGCGTGCAAGCTGTGACGGCGGCGAGTGTTCCAACGCACTGAAGTCGTGTTGCTGCCGAAATGGGTGAATGGCGGCACCCGGCCTGGAGGCCATCAAATTGTGTCTTATGGGAAACCAGCTATTGGCAATTGGGCCCACGGTGGCCATGGGGTCACATATGGGTGTCTTTTTTAAGGGCACCCCAGCTTTCTGGTTTTGAAGGGACGCCAAAAGTCAAACCCACCATTTTGGGCTCCCCTAAAAACACTTCCATGTGTTGTTCGTTCCCCACCTTTTAACACCCTTTGGCTTGCCACTTGCAAGTTTACTTGCTTCCAGTTTGAGGGGCCGATCAGGCTCTCAAATGCACATCGGGCTGATCGCTGTTTCTCTCCTACCGAGCTGGCAACCAACAAACTAAAACCTGACCTAGTGCCTGTCTTGTATGGCAGTCACTGGCGACATTGGCATTTACTTGGCATCCAACCTTGGAACAAAGGGTGTGCTGTCACGTGCTACCAACATGCAGGTATTGATGAGATTGACTGGGCGACGCTTGTGAACATTGTTTCCAAACTGCAAGGTGTCAACCTACCATCACTGTGTTGGATTTTGGCCTGGAATAAATAGTGATGAATAGTGGGCGGATATATTAGTAGGGGGAAGGGATTGCGGAGGCAGACTTCACGTAGCTATGACTGTTCATTGGTTCAAAGAACTCCCATCCAGTGCTAAACCAATACTAAACTCCTGACAGCCCTTATTAGAGGGTACTTTCAGCACTTTCCTTTTTGATTGTAAACCCACATCATAAATTGTAATTTTGTGCGGTTTGATTTTTTTTTTTTTTTAATGTTTTTTTCCTCCGTTTTTCGTCCGGGCCAGTAAAATGTCGTATTTTACAGAATGTTCTCGCGAAATTGACGCATTTTACACTAGCCCATCAACATCCCCAGCATTGTTTTCAACATCCCCTGCATGTCGACATCCCTAGCATCACCAACAAAGCGTGGGCAACAAAATCAAAAAAGTAGCTGGCGGGCTGACGGGGTCGAAAAAATGATGATTCAAATAGGAGGGCATTTCAATCCCTGCAAAAAAAAAAACTAAAAAGTAGCGGGGGGGTTGGGGGGGGGGCGGCAGCCCATGATGTTCGCAGAAGTGATGATTCGAATAGGGGTACAATTAAATCTCTGCAAACAGTCTAAAAACTAACGGGGGGATTGGGGGGGCGGCAGCCCCCCCCATGATGTCGGAAGAAGTGATGATTCAAGTAGGGGTGCGGTGCAATGATTCAAGAAAGGGTGCGATAGAATTTAAACGGCAGCGGGAGGGTTAGCGGGGGCGGCTTCCCCTATGATGTTCGAAGAAATGCGTACATACAGACATACATGGATTACACAGATTACCTAAAATGTCGCATTTTGCAGCATTTTTTGTCGCGAAATTGGACGCTCGAAAAAGTGATGATTCAAATAGGGGTGCAATTCAATCTCTGCAAGAAATCTAAAAAGTAACGGGGGGGAGGCGGCAACCCCGCCATGATGTTTGAAGAAGAGTTGATTCAAACAGGGGTGCAATTACTCTGCAAACAATCTAAACAGTAGCGGGTGAGTTGGAAGGGGGGTTGCCCCCCCCATGATGTTCGAAGAAGTGATGATTCAAATAGGGTGGTGGTGATGCTGATGATGCGGGAAGCCAAATACCCGGAGAGTAACTGGGAAAGCAGAGGATGCGAAAAGCCAAAGCCGCCAAAAGCCGCATAAACCAGCAAAAAGCCGAAAAGCCCAGAAGCCGAGAAGCCAAGAAGCGGAAAAGCCAAGAAGCCAAGAAGCTGAAAAGCCAAGAAGCCAAGAAGCCAAGAAGCCAAGAAGCCAAGAAGCCAAGAAGCCAAAAGCGAAAGAACAAAAAAAAAAGCACGAAAACAAATCCTAAAAAGAATACCCCTCCATTGTAATTGCAATTTTCGGCTTCTAAAGTTGAATTGACATATCAACAAAAAAAGAAGTGCCTTGAGCAATGCCATATCAACTCCATACTCGGCAGCTTACGATTTTGACCTTGTTTGCGCCTGGCAAAGGTTGGGACCCCGTTTGGAGGAACGTAGTGGAAAGACTCTGGGACCTGCTGGGACCCTAGCAATGAATATGTTTCTACGGAAAAATAATACCTTTTTTAATATTGGGGAAGGGGCTTTTCCTCGATTGTAATGGGGGGAAGCAATTAAATATAGATGTAGCTATGCAAATGCAGCGATGCCAAGAGGTAGGGGCCCTTTCTCACCATGAGCCAAGCCTGAGGGCTGCATTGAAGCATTGCCGATCTGTGTCGTGCCGCTCTGGTTGCCTCGGACGGCAGGCTGGGGCCTTGCAACATGCTAAAACCAATATGGGTGTGTCTTATTTGAGGGTACCCTTGTGTGGGTTGTAAAAGAGAACAGAATCCAAACCCGACAAGGCGCAGCAATGAAAGCGCGGACTGCCAGGCCCTAGCGCAAAGCAGCGCGTCCATACCCAGGCCCCGCAGCACGGCGTTGTTCTCAGGGCACGGACGACTCCAAGATGGAACCCGTTCCTTTGGAATCCCTGGGCTTCTCTTGGGTTCCCTTGCTTTCCTAAGGGTTCCCTTCTCCGGTCTGCCTAGTTTCTCTACCCTGCTCCCCATGGCGTCCCATGGTTTCCCTAGCTAAGATGGTTGGCCCTAAATCACCAGGACTTAGGACTCAGGAGTGGTTTCGCTCTGCCATGCTTGTTCTGTGGCTTTTCCCTCGTATAAAACGTTGCAGGTAGTGGACGCATCTTAAATCAAGCCATACCACACCGCAGGCGGTGTGCCATGGAGTAGGTGCCATGGGGAGGTACCATGGAGCTTCCCCCATCACCATGAAGGTGGGCCGGGGCAGGCCTTAAACCTGAAACAAACATGCTCACAAGATGGACTCCGTGCTGCAATCAGGGTGAGAGTATAGATGTCTTTCCCTGCAAACGCGTACCTTGCATTTTATCAACCCGAGAGCTTTCCGAGAATCAGCATCTCTCTCGACCTAGCCATTTCCTTCTAGCTGCAACGGGCAACCCTTTCCCCGTACATGACGAGATGTTGCACTTTGTTGTGCCCCTGCCCGGGTGCCAGATCCCTGGACAAGGCAAACAAATCTGGACTTGTCTTGTTACATGGCTTCGAACTTCAATTGCGTTCTCCCCAGTTAAAGAATGGTGAACACAAATCTCCAGTGTATTTTGGGTTGTGTGGGGCCTTGTGATTTCATTGCCTGACCTATGATATGCCACACCTACGCCACGTCAACCCCAAATGCAGCCCTGAAGGGGGACGCGGGTGGATGTCGGAAGGCACCTCTACGAATGCCTAAGCCTACGCCACATCAGCCAAACACTTTGTGGAATTTGGGAAATGGCGTACTTGTCGGACTTGCGGGGCTGTTCCTCCCTCCGCCACTTGTGCCACACCAAAGCCCAGGCCGCTAGACCATCCCAACGGCAACGCCTCACTCACATCATTCACCCTTTCAATTAGCACGTGACAAGTCAAGCTCTCAATGATCGCCTGCGTTGTCGCCTAGTCAAGGGTTCACAAGTTCAACCAAAGCTGCACTCTCGGCCGGCAGCCGCATGTAGAGGCCCAAGGCTCTTTGCCAGGCATCTCCTGCGTGGGACTCAATTTGGGCGTCTCAAATTAGGGAATCCCACAATTTGGGTTTTCCGTTTTTGTTTCCCTTGCATTCCCCCAACACAAAGACACACCCGTTTTCCACAAAGATGGACATGATGGAACTTGCTTGCTGTGGGGCAGGAAGCTAAAATGGTTGGCATCACTTTGCCCGGATTCTCCGCTTTCGACCCTTCTGCCCTCCCCCCTGAAACTGTGGCTGCCAACTGACACTGTACCCTTTGGATGCCTCAAACAACCGTTACTGTCAACGAGCCTCTTCCACTAACGCTCTCTGCAAACTTCATAAAGCGAACGGCATGGTGGGCTGCCCAACTGCAACCTCGCAAATAAGTAAGCCCCTCTCATGTTGCTTCCTTGATCCGCATGCGCAAACTCATTTCCCAAAGCTTGGCACTACCCAACACACAATAACACACAGCCTTCTTTGCGTCTGACTCGAACTCGGTCCATTTTTGTAGTCCTCGCAATTACTCCCTGGCCCTAAATGGTACCTGGTTGAAAGTGCATTCATCCCTGCATGCAATTCCGAGAGCCCCTCAAAATGCAACCACGCACAACAAAACGCATTGAAGCTTCCTTGCTCGAGCAAATGCACCGATGCAACTTGCAACCTCTGTGGTCAAAACTCGGCATGGGCATTTGCGGCTGCGAGGAGAACGTTGAAGAATGACCATCCCTAACCGAGGGCCCCAAGGTTCCCTTGAAGTTGTTTAACCACTGCTCGGGGAATCCAAAGCGAACCGCACTTTGATCAACTGGAAAATCATGAAGCGCCCGGCTATGCATGGCCCTTTTACTCACCAAGGCCCTGTGCAAAACGCGGCGCCCTTAGTGGAGGTGGACCCGGCCAATGCGTATGACGAGCTGGACCAAAGCAATGGACAGCTAAGCCCCGGCTCCTCGCAAGCAAGCAGCCATAGCTGCACTGTGCGAAACAGGCGTCGGAGCCTAGGTAAAAGGCTCTAGGTCGCGAAAGTCGTTCTCAAGAATGAGCAGCAACCTTGAAGCAATAGTTGTATGATGTGATATGCGATCCAGCCACACGTGCAACAAGAAATGTGCGCTGCCTGCGTGTTTGCTTTCTCGACAGTGAAATCAACCAATTGCATTTACACGGAAGCATTACACCGAGCACCCCATGCCTCCACTGGCTATGAAAAAAAGGGCACTCGCTGGAGTCTGCGGCGTGTTCTTCCTCATCAAATTGTAAATCATCTGGGAACCCTGCCCCACCCTCTGCCTAGTAAAGGACGCTCACGGATGTTCGCCCGTTTGCCTCTCAACAGGTAAGCTCACTATAACTTGCCTAAACAAAATAGGAAACGGGGGGCACTACTACTTAAACAAACTCCGCTTGGCGTCCCATAGGTGCCCGGAGTCCGGCTGTTTGTTTTCGCACATCTGCCCCTGTTAGATTTTGACTCGGGATGGAATCAAGTTGGACAACCGCCTAAGTAATCACGGGAATAAGTGTGGTTCCTTCTTTGGGCCTCGGTATCTTTTCTTTGGGGTGTTTGAAGGAAAGCCACATTTATGTCTTTATGTATAGTATATATAATGTGTGGACAATATGGGTTTGGGTCAAATTGGGGAACTCAGGTACATGTAAACACTGATTAAAACCTGCGGTCCCTGAGTGGTTTTATTTTGAGCCACACCCACAATATATATATATATATATATATAGACGGGTGTGGGTCAAAATTATGGCGTGGAACGTTCCGCGGTGACGCGGACGTCTGGAATGAGTCAGTTACGTAAGGTTGGTTGTTCCGGACCTCTGGTGGGGTCCCCAAGCACACGTTCATTTAGTGTAAGATGGAAAGATGGATGGATGAATGGATGGGTGGGTAGATGGATGGATGAAGCGACCAGGGGCGCGCGGCCTTACAATACACACCTCCCCCCGCCATCGTTGCCACCCTCGCGTCATTGGGACACCGATGCGCCGTAGTAGTCAAGGCCGCCACCCGCGCCAGCCGATGCACAAGGCTGGGAGGCAGAAGCCGATGCCCACCGATGCACAAGCTGATGTACATGTCCAGGGCATCCTCCAAAGCCCTGGCATACGTCGTCCTTGAAGGCTTCTTGGGCGGCATGGTGGGCCGCGTAAGAAGCGCAGCTACTTACATGGGGCATGTGTGTGCATGTGGACTTGGTGGCAAATTGCTCCGCTGCGTCTAGAACACGTCTGGAACGGGGTCTGGAACGGTTACGCGAGTGGCTAGCACGTAAACATGGTTGTTGCAACAAATGTGACGACCGAGAATGGTATCGAACCGTTACCGTATCGTATCGCACAGATAGCGGCGGAATCGCATCGCACCGAGCCGAACCAAAGTTCCGGAACACCGATACTCATTTCTTTCTCCTTCCCTTGCTCCTTCAATCTTGCTCCTTTGCTCCTTCATCCAAAAAAGAATGCCCTGTCCGCCTTGGAAGAAGACGGGGTTGACCTTTAACATTGACAGGCCGTTCCAAAAACACATCTGTCAACAGGACCGCTGCCCAATTCCTCCCAAGTCCCAATGGTTACAAGCCACGCAGCCCTAACCACCAAAGCTCGACAAGCAACACCCATCGTTTTCACCTCAGGCTTCTCTCGAACACCAGCTTTAACGCGTACCATGTGGCAAAACAAGGAGGGAAGCAATAACCTACCAAATCAGCTGACCATCTGAATCAATACTCTAATGTACACATACATATACATAAACAAGGTCTGGAACGGAAGGTCTGGAACATGTTTCTATGCAAGGTCTGGAACGGAGGTCTGGATCGCATGTGGGTTCCGGACCCTGTTCCGGATTATAAATTGACTCGCAGCCATATATATATATATATGTGGGGGGGAGCCACAACCTAAACAAAAAAGTGCCGAGTTCCCCCCATCGTTTGTTCCATTGGTTGCCCCCTAAGGCCGCGGCCAGCTGCCTGGAACTCATAGAGTTGAAGAGAGTCAGGGCCAAATGCCTCACATCCAAAAGCAAAACCAAACAGTTGGATTCACCCGCTAAAAGTGACTAAAATGGTTTGATTTACCAAACGGCTTGATTTGGACGAAAAAGGTTCAAACGCAACAAGCGACTAAAGTCCAGAAGAGGGTTTGGTTTACCCACTAACACGGTCCAAGCACGAAAAGTGTATTTGACTCCAGGAACTCAGGGACTGAGGTTGTGGGCTTCAATTAGGGAGAAAAGAATGTTCGAAAAAGACGGTCGTTTTCTGGGGGAGAAAACTTGAACATATCCACAATAGCCGCCTCCGTTGAGCTTCTTGCTTGGGGTGGGATAAGCATTGCGGGATGTTTGGCAGCCTGGTTTTTGGGACAAATTCGGCATACCGAGATAAACGGAATACTGTTGGCTGGGCCATGAGTACACACCCAAAACAGCCCTGTCATGATACAAGGCAAGGCGTGTTTCGCAACTGAGCGGCCAATGTGAGCCCTTGTGGCAGGCGCTCATCACAGTATTGTAGGTGATCTCCTTAGGGCTGATGGCAAAAATTCGGCACGCCCCGACATGCCTGAGCGGACTCCCAAAACAACATGTGCTTAAAGTGATAGCTTACGCTTCCTTCCCCTGGCCATGCATGCTGATCTCTGATCTGAATGGGGGGTTCTGCTCTGGGGTCGCGTGGTCAGGGTCAGGACAAAAGCAGGGCCTGCGGGGCCACTCAAGGGTCAGGGCAGGGGTATAGGGCTCAGAAGTCGGTGCTTGGCTTCTAATTTCTGCCATTGCCATTTTGAACATCAAGATCATATTGCAGAGGTGAAATTTGTTGATTGCCCATTGAAGACGAAAAAAGAGCAACTTGACGTGGTTTCCCGTGCTCAACACGCCTCGCCCCATTTTTGCCAGGCCGCATTGGCCTCAATCGTCATAGCATCGAAGGCCTGAAGCGCACGTTGCCATTCTTCGGCCTTCTCGCAGGCGTTGATCGCCTTGAAGCTTTCCGGGGAACTGGCCGCGATTGTTTAAACAAACTCGGGTGACCCGTGCATGTGTTTTCCTCGATGCTTTGAGCACACTGGGGCAACCAGCAGCTTGAACGTCGAAGCAAGGTGCCGCCAATGATGACCCGACCCGAACACTGAAGTGACCTAATTGAAACTAACTTTAGCCTCAACATGTGCTAGGATTCCTTGTATGCGCGCCCACCCCGCCAAAAGACAACTCAATTCAAAGTTGCCTAGATAGTGCCGTTTGAATCGCCTGAAAAGGCAAAATGCCAAGACCGCCAAGACACCCGCATCAACTCATCCATGTCCATAACTGTTTCAGTCAAATTATTGGCCATTGCCCTTGTTGCGCCCTGAGAAAAGAAAGAACAAACACCAGACAGACTCCCGTCAGGGCACCGCGTTGAAGGAGATAATGTCCGGTGACACTTTGCGCGTCGGCATTCTGTCCAGAAGTGCCAGGGCTACAGACCATTGTTGGCCTGGCGGATGCTGGTGGCACCCGGGGCTGGGCGATTCAATCGTCTAAACCAGAGCGTGGTTAGTTGAGCAACTATATAGCAACTAAACTTTAAAGACTTTCTCTAAGGAAACCAGGTGTGTATGGCGAATCAACTGCTGCAACCAACCCTGCCTGGAATCCAATGTCCTTGTGATGTCCATGGGGTCAAGGAAACAAAACATGAGAATGCACAAGAATAGGCTGGCACAAGTGCCCTCTAAGAACTGCCCACCTCGCTCACAAGCGCTGATGGTGGCGTTGTACGTGATGACATTCGGCCTCGGCGTGGCGAAGAAGCCGCTGGCATAGCCAGTTCTTGGTGGCTAAATGCTATGCTTCGCATGAGGCAAGCCTCGTGCTAGTTTGCCTAATTTTACCTGATAGGGGTAGTTCAAGCTCCAAGCCAGCCTTCACGCAATCAACAAACAGGCCCACGAGTCGGCGCACGAGCAGAAGGGAACACTAGCGCCGTCCGAGAGCAGCAAACCGCAACATCAAGACCCGGGAAGCCTAAGGCTCCCCACAGCCACCGTGGCTTTTCATTGGACGGGTTGTTGGATGGCAGCTGTCTCTCAACAGAAGCCATTTGGTGGGTTGGTCTGAGGCCCCCAACCAAAAATATGTTTCGGAGGGAAATGCTGATTCTAAAGCTTAAAAGCCTTAGATTTCGACCCCGAACCTGTTTCCACAAGATCTCCGATGGAACGCCCTAGTCAACCAGGCTCACTTCCTGAGTGGAGTGGCCAGAACAAGTCCAACACATGCTTGCCACTAAAACGGTCCAAAGCACAAAACATGGTCCAAACCCCACAAAAAAGTGACTGAAGTCCAGGAACTCGGGAAGTGAGTAGGGCTCCGATTGGCCAAAGGGCTGCGGCAACTCCATCTGCAGCTGCAGGGCTGAGGCCCAAAGGCTGCCGCGGCCCAGCGCGCTGATGGCCTCAGCACACTCACTTGATCAGCTTCCCTCTTGGCGGTTTGGAGCCCGGTGGTTGGGTTAAGTTTTTGTTTTTTTCCCCCCCGTCTATGTACAAGAACCAGGTTTAAATCTAAATCCAAGCCACCAATCCGAACCAACTAAGGGCTACCTCACTTCAGGGGACTGGTCAGAAACTAGCGGGGAAGTAACTGCTGAGTGTTCACCATAGCTTTGCTCAGCTAGCGTGTTCTCGCTCAGAGCGACCTGATCTGTAGATGGTCTGGCAGTCAGCACTCAGATGCCCAGTGCAAACATGGCCATCCCTTTTTCCCCAACAGCTGAAAGCTTTGGGGTCTCAGCCCAGCGTTCCACTAGGGTTCCACCAGGGTTCCACGAGGTTCTGCGAGGGCTGCGGGGTGGTGCGAGCACTAAAAAGAGCACCGCGTGCTGTTGGGGATATCACCTGAGTTTATTTTGTTGGTCGAGTTTTAAAGGGAACCCTTCCCCAAAAACGGAAGAAACCAGGGAGCAAACTGGGCAGCTGGGGAAATACGCCCAGACTTGTTGTTCACAACCAAAATGATGTTCCCAAAAAGTTGTTAAAAATCCAGAAACGGGGAAAGCCGGTGTTTAGCTGCATGTCCGGAATTAAATGGGGGTTCACTGAGCCAAGATTGAAGTGCCAAACTTCTGCTGTAAGCCTAAGAATCTCTAGCAAGTCGCGTTAGGCCCTCTGGCGGCTCAGCATGGGAAGTTGCTTGGCAAGTTCTCAAGGAGGGCCCAATGGCAACAAACATGAGCTCATTCCCATATGGGTATGAAACAAGCGTACTTGGACAAGCATCTACCGTATTCATTTGTCCGCTCTGGGCTGCCCTAGCCGGCCTCAGTTTGTCCCTTTCCTCAGCTCTGGGGATGGACACTTTTCTGCCACCAGATTCCTGGTGAAACCTTTGAGGGCCGCAGATCTTACTGCCACGGTTCTGGAGAGGCCTGCCAGGTGATTCACACGTCGCCTTGCAACGGCGGCTCAAAAGTGAAGTTTGAAAGGATTCCACTCCCAAATCCTGCTCAAGCTTGTGGTGGCTACAGTGATCCAATGTTCGACAACTCTGAGCCTTCACTGAGTTGCGGTTCCATCGGCTGGGTCGATTCTGTCCACAGGGGCCCAAAAGCCAAGCTTAAAAGGGACAGGAAAGAACTTAGCCTTTTGGGTTGAACACGAATGGAATCAAACAAAAGACCCAAAAGGCAAGGTCGATTTACGTCGGACTGAGACACCAATTCGACGGGCCTGGTCAAACAATTACCCAAGAAGCTTAAATTGGAAATCAGCACCACCATGGAATATCCTTGAGACAGTAACTTTGGGATCCCTCAAAATATCACTTTAAGCCCAGCGCAACCAACCCTGCAAACGGGTCCATTTGCAGGTCAGGGCACGATACTCGTAGCCACAAGGCTCGGTTTGCGCAGCTGGTGGAAGATCCCCAGAGCTTGCTGCCATTGGTGGTTTTTTTCGCCTTGGCCGAGCAGAGTTCCGGCGGCCAACTAAGGCAAATAGCGCGCAGGTGCTCAGCAAGTGAGTGCGGGAAACGCCTTTCGGGCGGTAAAGCTAGAGGTTAGGGGCACCTTCCCCATTTGGCTTCAACAGGAAGTGGGGTTCAAACATCAAACAAAGCCAAACCAGTTAAGCCTTCGGGTCGCAGCCAAGAAACAAGCACTCATCACAGCTCCGTAGAGGATCATATCCGGAGCCAGCTGCATCTCTCCTGCGTCCTGAACCGTTCCGTAGCTTGGCGGAACGGAACAGTGCGAAAGACAGACTTCAAGGTATTCCTGAGAAGTACAGGACATGGAACGACCCCTAACACCAATTGGAGCTAGACTGCTGTCAGAAAACAAGCTATTGAGCAGACATCGCACCTGAAGGCAATTTATTCGGAGGCTTGGGGTATGTTCAAAAGAGATCTTGGAAAACTGGGCCATGGGCTAAACTCCAGAAACCTAGGTCATGGCTCCTGCAAAACGAGCCGTCACGATTTGCTTGCTCAAGAAAAACCATTTGGAGGCCCATGGTCATCAAGGAATTTCCCGGACGTCAAGGAGCGACAAAATACACGACAAACCATCCACCCGAATTGTCTGTTGATTTAAGGGAATCCCTTTGCGGTTCATGCCCAAAATCCCATCCCTAATGGCTTCTTCAACGTTTCATTTGTCATTCTCAACTTGAATCCCTGAGAACCAAGCAAAGGGCTCTTTCAGATGGCCCAAAGGAGCCTCTAGCAGCTGCAGGACCTGCTGCCAAAGACCTTGATCTCCCGCACGCTTGGCAGCGGAGGTGAGGTCCTGTGCGCCATGGTTCTGCGTGGCGCTGGCTGTTCAATATGTTTGGTGGGGAGGGAGGCCACCAAACAAAACGGGAAAAAGACATCACTGAAAAAAACTGGGAACCACAAAGAGGTCGATGGGATATGAAACCATGACATGCCACGTAGTGGTAAGTGGCTAATATAATACCTATAACACCTCATTTTCTTTCGAGTTTGGGCGGGGTTGAAAACATCTAAGATATGCCAGCTTGCAGACCTTGAACCTATGCAGTTGCCGACCGAACACTTGGTCTGGAATGCGAGCAAGGAAGCAACATGAGTTCGACCAACGGGGGTTCATCCGGCTGACCCCCTACTGAGAACCAGCAAGTCAAAACCTGTCCCAGCAAGCCTTGGGCCGCTTCTTCACACTAATTTTGCCCTTGGAAGTGCCGAACGGGACGACACAACAAGGGAAAGCACTAATGTGGCAGATTGGTCATTGATTCTATACATCTTGCACATTGATTCTAGACTCAGCCACATGAATCGACCAAGGAATTGAATTCCATTGCGTGCAACAACAATTATCTGGTGGTTTCTGGGCACAAACCCTCCCGGCAACCACTTGGATGTTGCAACAAGATCGCCCCCCAGCTGTCTAAACCTAGGATTTCAATCTGTGCTTTGTTCATCTTAGTCAAGGCAAGGATGTATGATCCAAAACGTCGAGCCACGGAAAATCCGATGCATCCACCCCTGTCCAAACCCTTGGCTCCTGCAAGCTGCTGCCGCGACGGAGCTGCTTGAGCTGCCGCTCCGCCTCAGGGCGCGGCTCTCGGGCTCTCGACTGGCGCCTTTGAGAGGTCGACAGACGACCAGGTCCTCCAGTAGAGAGGTTAGAATAAGGGTACCCACTCAGCTTCCTTCCCCCGAGGTTTGGCGGGTAAGGGTGGTTTTCCATTTAACTCTACAAGAACCAGGGTTCAAATCCAAATCCAAACCACCAATCTAAACCACCTACAAAGGGTTACCTGAACCAGGCAAAAAAGACAAAACACGGACTAAACACGGCACCCCTCCACCCCCCTCCCACTGAAATGGAAGCTGGGTCGCTTCAACTGGAGATTAATCTTCATGATTTTTGACGACGCCCTTTCCTTGAGTCAAAGGGCAGGGGAAAAAAAAACATGTGTGCATACAAACATGGATCCCTCTCTATATATGTATATAGATGTATATCATTTGAATATGAGCCACGGGTTCCTGTTCTTAGTGAGTGCGCTTGTTTTTTTGTGGGACATTGCGTGAATCCCCACAAAAGCCCGCAATGGAATATAGATGTTACTCTCCCCCCCCCCCACGTCGCCATGGCGCCTGGCAGAAAAATTGATCCTCCCCCAGGTGCCTATGTAAGTAGGAGCTTTGTGTCCAGCCATTTTCAGGGCGTTTCGCCAAATCATTCTGGACTTGAAACAGAGGATTGGCCAATCCGAAGTTGGGACCCCATCACAACCCTTTCGGTGAAACTTGAACTGCCCCATGTAAATATTTTAATCGGAGCCTGTGTCCATAACGAGTCATACTGACAGAAGTCCACTTTTTGATGGCCCAGGCAACCATCATCCACCATTGCAACCCAACAAACATCTGGGGAAATTCGTGTTGAACCCGGGAAAAGGGACCCCAAGGGGCAGTCATGAGGCTTGTGCCCCCGAATCGGCGAGCCAATGCTCCCTACATCTCCTCAAACATCGCCCCCAAATCCGGGATCACTTCCAATTGGCAACCTCAAGGTGATGTGAATCACAAGGGGAACTGTTGGCGCCTCTTGCTGAGCATGGTGGCAAGAGCGCAGCCCCTCCCTCCCTCCCTCCCTCCCTCCCTCCTTCCCTCCCTCCCTCCCTCCCTCCCTCCCTCCCTCTCTCTCTCTCTCTCTCTCTCTCTCTCTCTCGCGGCCTCGGCACGCCCGAAGCGGCCATCGCGGATGGAGGCAACCTCGCGCCAACGTCGAACATTTGGCAGTGAGAGGGTCGAGCACAAGTGACATCCTCGAACTATACCGTCTAAATGGTGGTTGTCAACGTAACCACCTAAAGGTAGCTTGGAGGAACTCCTCAAAATGTTCAATTTAAGGCACCCAGTCCGGCGGGGGGGGGGGGTATGTTTGATATTGCCTCTCAAAACCGCAGATTTCACAAAGCCAGGCTGCCAGAGCTTGTGCTTCTGCGGCGCCTGAAACGGGACGGGGAGGTTTAAGGTCCAAGGTACATGTTGATTCAGAGGCTGCCGATAGATATGCACTTGCACTACCTCATTTGTTGCCGGAGGGGGGGAGGGTGGCCAATATGAATGTATGTGTATGTATGTTTATGTGTATATATGTATGTACGCACATATAGTATATGTGGGTGTCTGCACACACACACAGACCTGTGTATTTCTGCATGCGTAGATTCACTATGAATGCAAATGTATACAAGCATATTTTGCATACACACATTCATGCATGCATGCATGCATCTATATATCATCTATCTATCTATCTATCTATCGATCGATCTATCTATCTATCTATCTACCTGTCTGCATCTGTCTGCCTGCCCGTCTGTCTATTATGTATCCTGCATGCATGCATGCAGTATCGCAATATACACACATATACACGTAACCATGTCGTAAAGATCATGTGTATATATATATATATATATGTGTGTGTGTGTGTGTTCGCGTTATACATATATATACGTATGCACATATATGTAATGTGTATATATGTTCTACTGTAAACATGCGACACTTCAGGCGGTAAGGCGGGATGCAGGCAGCAAAAGCTGAGCAATGCCAGACCCCAGACCCTACCGGACGAGGCCAGCCTCCCGCCGTTTAAGCCATGGGGTAAAAAAAGGCGCCTTTGCTTTCGGTCGTTGATTTTGAAGGAACCCTCCACACGAAAAGTGAAAAAGGAAGCCACGCACTGGATGTCTGAGTGGTCCCCCAATTCCAGCCTTCTATAGTAGTTCCCAGAGGTTCCCTGAGTGTCAAATTATCTGAGAAGATTGATCCGTATTTTGTGGCGTTCCTTTGGTCATGTTTTGTACAAGTACCGCATCTGAGATACTTGTCCTGCGCAAGGATCCCATGCGACAAACCCGCGGACCTGCGGGGCTCAGAGTGGACGTCAAACGGCCCCGCAGCGCGCTTAAGGCCGTCCAACGGCATGGCGCGCACATGTACGCCGAGAGCCCGGGTCTAGGAGTCTAGAAGCTTTGATCTTTGCACCCCCTGCCCCCCAAAATGAACCCTCCCCGGCAAAAAAAAAAGAAGGAAACGCACCAAGAGTGAAGAACCCTGCAGCCAGAGTCTGCAAGCTAAGAATAGATCCTTGCTTCGAGAATGTGAGCGGCCACAAGTTTGGATCCGCAATTCCTTGGCGACCGGATGGGTCTTTTCGGCATAGATTCTGGTGGCCCGTTGATTCAACTCCATTGAACGGGTGCCTTGACATATATATATATATATGTATATATATATATAATGTACATATGTACACTCTCTCAAACCAGAACCCCACCAAAAAAGGCATGCACCTGAAAAGCGCCGGAAAAGCGACCTCCAAACCCTCCTGCGTGGGATTTTTTGTTGGGGGCCAGATTCCGCAAGTCGAGCCTTGTGGCCTATGTGTAACTGCTTTCTTGGGCCAAATGACCTTCGCTTGAAACCTGACAGTGGCACAAGAAGAAAGGGTATCTTGGACAAGTCTTGGACGCTCGCGTAGCGGTTGCCCTGGCATTCATGCAATGCTCCAATCTCCTTAACGGGTTCCCATGGGTACACATTATCCTTTAGAGAAACCTCAGGCTCTGGGATTCCGGCGCAAGCCGGCTGCACTGAGCCTGCACGACACGCCTTCATAGAGCGCAAAAACATGGCTCCTGGAAACATAGACCCAACAACTTGGAGCTCGTTGGTCTGGATATGTCATACATCTACCCAAACTCTAAAAGTCTACTTGGGGTGGACTCCTTCAAACATCGAGTGTCAATCTGCACGGAAGTAGCCGAGCAAACGCCTCAACTCGGGATTTTCTGTCAAGTTGGAACGTGGAGGGGCCCTCTTCATGCATTATTTCAGCGAAGCGAACATGTGTGGGGAAGGCATCTTTTTGGGGGGTACACCTGTGCCCTACATTGCTTGTGAGGCAGGTGGCCGAAACGCACACCGGCCAGCATCGCCCCCATTTCAGTTTCAGGCAAAAGCTGCCAAGAAGGGATGAGGTTGGCCAAATGTCCGTCATCTGGATATAGCAGCATGGAAAACAACACTTGCAGAAATGAAGCCTCGTTGTCTGTACCAGGAACTAAACGTTCGAACTGTTTAGACACCTTTTTGTCAGCTTCTTTCCAACAGGTTTGGATTGTTGGTTCGGAGGTGTTCTGGGGGTGGTTTCTCTTTGACCCTCAAGAACAAGGGCTTCCAATCCTACCAATCCAAACCACTAACTCAGGCTTACCTGATTTGAAGTAGTCTTCTCGCGCAAGGCACCTGGCCAAGTGGCCTCCTCGGCGTGTCTCAAACAGTGAAAACTGGATGGTGTTCCCTAAGCAATCCTAAAACGGGCTGGGTACTCTCAAAGCAAAACACTCCCATGTGCATGTTCCCCTTGTTTGCCTTGGTTTAGGGTGTTTTAGGTCCTCTCACCCCCAACCCCCCCCCAATGGGCGCACGCAAAAGCCGCCAGCACCGACGGTCTCGAGATGGGCCATGGCCTCGGTGCTTGAAATCGTTGAACCCCTCCATCCATTTGCGGATACTTCCTCTGGAAAAAGTGTCCAGTAGATTCCCTTTAAAATCAACAGGGGAAAAGAAAAACAGAAAAAAAAAAAAAAAACATCTTCACTTCAGCAAATGGAAGCCCCGAATCGTCAAAAGCAGAGGAGCCTGAAGCGAGAAAATTGCCTAAACATGCTTGAACAAGGCCATGCCGCCTTGAAATTGGACCTTGCGCTTTCAGCACGTCCAATAACGAACACACACCGCACGTAACGCCTTGGGTGGACATGGTGCTGAAACACGTTGGTTTGAAGATCTTGCTGGCCTTGGCGACCAAGACCTAGCATGGCTGCCAAAGATGCTAGCTCCAAGGTGCCCAACCCAATCAGTGTCAAATCAGCAAGGGGAAGAAATACGGGGTGCTTCCCCAAAGTGCCTCTCAATCAAGTAATCTCAACTTTGGAGGACTGCGCCACTCACTGGCTGCCCTTTAAGGAAATGATCTATGGCTCTTCTGAGGGTCCTTCATAAAATCCGAATAGCGTTTTCGAATCAACTCCCTTGAGTTGACGGAGAAAAAAACACTAAAAACGGGCCTCATAATCTCACCATGATCAAAGTCCTCCCCTAAGTGGTAGTTCAAAGGATGTGGATGTTAAGAAAAGCAACCCCATTTTCTGACTTTGATCACCCCCAACCACCAAAAGAATGACCCCAAACAAACCCTCCAGCCTTTGGGGCGCCCCAATTGGCCCATCCGCCGCACGGACGTCCTGGGCCCCCCCGCGCTCGGAGCTCCGCCCGGGCCCGGGCGCCGCCGAGCGCGCCGAGCGGCCGCGGCGAGCGCAGCGCGGGCGGGTGCCCGGGCCCTGGCGCCCCGCGCTGCGTTTGGTGTGGGACGTGCGGGGCGTTGACTGAATCTAGAAATGGACACGGAACCCAAAAACCCTCTAATTTTAGAGGACTTTTTTTGGGGGGGGAACGCAAAAACCCTGATCATCCTCATACTTTTAAAAGATCGCAAACTTGTTGGAGGACTGTTTTGAACACCAACACAGAAACCCTCAAACGTATTTAACAAGATCTCTTTTTGGGGGACCCCCCGTTTTAATTTGCAGGGGTTCTGCAGGGGAGTAAAACTGGCTGAGGGGTTCTAAACTGGGAATACGGCTGATAGCCGGACGCGCCAGTCCGCTCCCACAAAAGGCAAAATCAAACTACTGAATGGAGAACTCAGGGCCACCCCCCTTCCCCCATTCGGTTTTTGGGTGAAGTGAGGGATCTTGCACTGCAACCATGGGGCTCAAAAACACAGGGTCAAGATACGTTCAACAACCTGACATGGCTTCCAAGGATTCCCTTCACCCTGGGAGCAATCCGCATTCCGACTCTAGGAATCGGATGTCCCCGTGAAGGAACCGGACCCGTGCCCGGCCTGCAGCTTGCAAGGCCATTGCAAGCAAGCTGAGAGCCATGCGAGGCGAGAACGGCTCGTTCAGAACAGGCCCCCAGTGCCAGTTGAAAAGAAAACATGGCTCACCATTTCTTTTGGCAGCCGATTTCTTTTTTGGGGGGTGCCTCTCTCACAACAGGGCAAAGGGAAAAGGGTGGCCTGAGGCCTGGGAGAATTCAGAATGGCGGCATATGCAGAACCATTGCGCATGGGTCAAAATTAAACCAATAGGAGAGGGACCGCAGGTGTTTGTCCATTTTGGGTACCTATTTTGGACCCATAGCCATTTCGAGATCCTTCTCTGAGAATGAAGGCACCTGTCTCTGCCAGCTGCCAGTTTTTTGGCTCTCAGCTGCATAACTTGTGGGCCAGCTCATCAATGAAGCAGGCCTGGGAAACCCTTCCAAGCAAAAGTGCCACTGGACAACTGCATGATTCCATCAGGCACCTTCATCCATTGTCTTGCCGGACATGGGAGCATGGCCCGCGTGGTATGTTTCGCCCAGCGTCGCAAAGCGCCGGTCTCCGGCCCTGGCAGCATGACTGCCGATATTAGAATGGGTTGTTCATCAGGATGATTCAAGATGACCCTTTTTGGGGAACTTGTCAGTCAAAACCCACTGTTGGTGCTGAGATGGTGGTCAAGGTCCTATATAGTGGTTGTCAAGGGCCACTCAAAGGGGCCCCCCCCAATCCGAATACGAGCTAATAGCGACTAATGAGGCTACGAAGTCGTTTTCCTTGGGGAAAGCCGTTTTGGTTGGTCGGCTCTTTGGGCCATACTGTGATCCCTATTGAGCCAGGTGGTAGAACCTATTCTGCTCGCGCTGACAATTGTTCGCGCACAAAGGCGGACTTGCCAGCGTTCCAACGGAAAGGGGCTCATCTGTGCCCACATTTTCGGCTCATCTCCGCCCACACAGAAGTGACTCATCTGCGCCCACATTTTCTGACTCATCTCCGCCCACAGATGCTTTCGCCAGTACTTAGAAGTTGATCCTTTGCAAAAAAGGGGTCAGTTTTAGGATCATCTGCGCCCACACTTTGGGCTCATCCCTGCCCACAGCGAGTTTTAGGGATTAGGGGTTTAGGGTTTAGGGTTATGTTTTTAGGGTTTAGGGTTTTTAGGGTTTAGGGTTTAAGGCTTAGGGTTTAGGGTCTTTAGGGTTTAGGGGTTAGGGGTTTCAGGGTTTAGGGTTTAGGGTTTTTAGGGTTTAGGGGTTTCAGGGTTTAGGATCTTTAGTGTTTAGGGTTTAGGGTTTAGGGTTAGGGTTTAGGGGTTTTAGGGTCTTCGGGGTTTAGGATCTTGAGTGTTTAGGGTTTTTAGGGTTAAGGGTTTCTAGGGTTTAGGGTTTTAGGGTTTATGGATTTTAGGGTTTAGGGTCTTAGGGTTTAGGGTTTTTAGGGTTTGGGGGTTTCAGGGTTTAGGATCTTTAGTGTTTAGGCTTTTTAGGGTTTAGGGTTTTTAGGGTTTAGGATCTTCAGTGTTTAGGGGTTTTAGGGTTTAGGGTTTTTACGGTTTAGGGTTTGTAGGGTTTAGGGATTTTATGGTTTAGGGTCTTCAGGGTTTAGGATCTTCAGTGTTCAGGGTTTTTAGGGTTAAGGGTTTTTAGGGTAAAGTTTAGGGTTTTTAGGGTTTAGGGATTTTAGGGTCTTCGGGGATTAGGATCTTCAGTGTTTAGGGTTTTTAGGGTTAAGGGTTCTTAGGGTTCAGGGTTTTTAGGGTTTAGGGTTTTTAGGGTTTAGGGGTTTCAGGGTTTCGGATCTTCAGTGTTTATGGTTTTTAGGGTTAAAGGTTTTTAGGGTTTAGGGTTTTTAGGGTTTAGGGTTTTTAGGGTTTAGGGATTTTAGGGTCTTCAGGGTTTAGGATCTTCAGTGTTTAGGGTTTTTAGGGTTAAGGGTTTTCTGGGTTTAGGGCTCTTAGGGTTTAGGGGTTTTAGGGTTTAGGGTCTTCAGGGTTTAGGATCTTCAATGTTTACGGTTCTTAGGGTTAAGGGTTTTCAGCGTTTAGGGTTTTTAGGGTTTAGGGTTTTTAGGGTTTAGGATCTTTAGTGTTTAGGGTTTTTAGGGTTTAGGGTTTAGGGTCTAGGGGTTTAGGGTTTAGGGTTAGGGTTTAGGGATTTTAGGGTCTTCGGGGTTTAGGATCTTCAGTGTTTAGGGTTTTTAGGGGTTAAGGGTTCTTAGGGTTTAGGGTTTTTAGGGTTTAGGGTTTTTAGGGTTTAGGGGTTTCAGGGTTTAGGATCTTCAGTGTTTATGGTTTTTAGGGTTAAGGGTTTTTAGGGTTTAGGGTTTGTAGGGTTTAGGGTTTTTAGGGTTAAGGGTTTTCAGGGTTTAGGGTTTTTAGGGTTTAGGGTTTAGGGGTTTCAGGGTTTAGGATCTTTAGTGTTTAGGGTTTAGGGTTTTTAGGGTTTAGGGTTTTTAGGGTTTAGGATCTTCAGTGTTTAAGGATTTTAGGGTTTAGGTTTTTTAAGGGTTCAGTTTTTTTGGGTTGAGGCTTTTTAGGGTTTAGGGTTTAGGGTTTTCGGGGTTTAGGATCTTTGACAACACGCCGAATGAAGCTTCTAAAACACATCCTTGATTCCAGGAGCTCCCCTCATTACATTCAGGGACTTTCGGTGAAAGCGAATCAGTCCAGGCTAGCTGCTCTGTAGCTACACTCCTTCACCACACATGGCTTGAGCATGGCACTGAAAGCAAACAAAGATACAAAACACGCAAATGCCGCACCGTACCGCACGTGACCCATAGTAGACACTTATGGCAGTTTCTCAGAATATTCTCTAAGAGCTGTAAAGCCCCAAAACACCTAAGATCATCTGTGCCCACACAATACTTGTGAGTACTGCATTTGTGAAGTTTAGAGCATAGGGGACCGCCATCAATCTGACTCATCTGCGCCCACCACGCGGGTAGAAACGAGCGGATTCCCGCGGGTACAGACGAGTCGCAAAACGCGGGTACAGACGAGGGGCCTACCGTTCCAACTGGCAACAGTTTAGCTTCCTGTTGCGCAAGATGTGTGAGAAGCAGGGTTAGCAGCATGTTCCCAAACAGTCCCGACGTGACACAGCAACCCACGATGCCGGCAGCTGTTGCGCTTTTGGGCCAGGAGATGCAAGAGTCTCCAGCGCCCTTCGACGAGCCGTGAGTGGAATGGCAGCCTTTGGCTTAAAGCAACACCAGCGGCTCGGGATACGGAGGATACGGAGTTGTCGGATATGTCTGCTCACTAGCCGCGGGAAGGCCGATCTGCGTGGCGAATGCCACCAGCGTGCCCACAAAAATTCCTGGGCGCCAGTAGCCGAAACCGTGCAAGCCAAAGCATGACAGTGCCTCAAACAAGAATGGCACCAAAGAGCCGGCACATAGCACGTTGCCGCAACCGGCATTTTGCGAATGCCAAGATGCCAGTGACCATAATGGCGCTCATAGCCATACCTGCCAAAGAAAGCACGCTTGTGCACGGGCATCGCTCTTCCATAGGCCATGAGGTCTGTTTCCGCATTGGACAAGGGGCACTCGGTGGTGTTTAAAGGATTTTATAGGCAAGCCACAAGGAAGCAGACGCCTTTCTTGGGGGGAGACGAGCAGTTCGAGAAACAACCGAATACAACCCGCACCTACCCTTGCGACACGTCGCTGCATAGTGTGCCCAAATGCCAACGACTTGGCAACACGCGCCTGCAACCTCCCGGTGCTCCACAGCACTGCAGCACTCTGGGCCGTACATCATGGCCAGGTTGGCCTCCGACCCGCCCCACTCTCTGACTCTCCGCTTCAAGCCTGCCGGAATTCCGCTGGTGTTTGGCCCAGATCTCCATAAGATCTCCGTGGGGAAACAAGGGCACCCAGGCTTTGGTAGTTAAAACTGATGCTGCCCCCGGATTGATAAACCCCAGGGGTCCCTGGTTTAGTAGGGAATCATCACTGTTGGAGGGGAACGATTAATATGGGGTCAACATTAAGCCTCTCCAAATGCCCCACCCTGCTCCCTACATTCAGCCAAGGCTCCACTAAGCCGTTGCTGATGGCGAAAATGCTGCAAAGAACAATCCTCCCAGCGTCTGAGCCCCAGAAGCCAGTCTCTGGGGAACGCTGGCCCAGCATGAAGAGTGGGATGAAGGCAAAACGCCTCGGAAGCGTCCCACGACGCAGGCACTGCACTGCTCCCTTGATTCATAGCTGAAAACAATCACAAGCGGCTTGCCCGGAATTACATTCACTCAGTCCAGGCCCTGGACAACCAAATAATGCGAGTGGCGCGGCGTTTTCGGACTTGGACCCCCCCACATGTTGAGAAGCTTCAGCAGCAAAGCCGAACGCAACAAAAAGGCAAAAAACAAAAAAAACAACTTCACTCCGTTCCCCCCCCCCCCCCGCACCCTACAGCTTCAGTCACAATTTCAGCGCAACACACAGAGTGAGGTGGTTGGTAGCATTCACACTGCTGCCAAATTGCTTTTTGGACAATGCTTTCATGATGAATCGAACTAAAGGCCCCCCGCAATGTTTATTGCGGTTGCTGGTTGAAAGGAAAAATGATTGAACAATTAAATAAGCCAAAAGCTAACTAATGAAGCTAAAACTCGCCAATCAAGAATGCAGAATGGGTGACATGCTTAAAACTTACTGTAAATGCCTCAGGAACAACTAGGTCCGTGAGAGCATCAGAACAACAAATAATTAAGCTGGCAGCTGGTCAAATGGTTGGTCAGCTTGTGCTTCTTGCAGAGTCAAATATGCAGGTTATTCACACATGACCACCTAAGCAATAGCAATGGAGCGGTGACAAAATATGACCTGTAGCCTCCATTGATACATTATGTTTGCTACGCAAGATTTCTGCTCGCGACAACCTGTTTCAAAATACATGTACGACTCAGCAAACATCCCTCAAATTGTCAGCAATCATGCCCGTCAGAACCCATTGCCGTACGATATTTTGGATTTGCGCTTGTTTGCACTTTCTTGCACTTGTTTGCGCTTGCTTTGCAGTTTGTTTTGAGGCATATTTTGTTGCTACCATGGAGGCTCCAGGGACAACATCCTTGTGTACATTACGAGTGTTCGATCATCGCACGCCGATTGGCTGTTGGAAGACTAATTGCAATCGTTCAGGCCGGCGATTGGCAACCGACCGCCCGCTCCCATGAAACATGCTGGTGTCTATCCTTTACTTGACCCAGAGGAAACTTTAACCCAACGCCCAAAATCACTTCCCTAGAGCCAAAAAACAACTTTCTGCTCATGTGGCTGTCTCACCTTACCCCTCGGTGATTTGGAGCGGTGGCTTTGAGACATGCTGACTGTTGATGTTCAACGTGGCCCGTATCGCGTATCGCGGGCGTGGGCGCAAGAGCATCAGGATCCACAGCCGGGGTGGGCCCACCACTCTGCCCACTGGAGGGGCGATGCTGCGCCCCAGCACGTCGCCCACCTGACAAGGGTCCGGGAAAGGGGGGGAGACAAACAATATCGCTGCTTTGTGCAGGCCACGATTTTCAAGCATGAAACTATGCCAATTTATATTCAATGAACAGTCTGAAGGCCAAAACCGCAAAAAACAAACTAAAGAAGCATGCCAGGCGCCGTACAATGCAAAATGACAGACCGTGTTTCTGCCGCAAGGGGCCAAAAGGCAAGTTCTGCAGCTTTTGTGCACGGACTGGAGTAGCGGAGGCTGTGCCTTTTCATTTCTCTAGGCAAGTCTTCTTCATCGCTAACCTGGCGAATCTAAGCTTAAGCTGGTGGAAAAGAATATGTCCAGGCAAATGCCGGCAGCAGCGCGTTAACTAGTCCAACCCAGACCTGAAACGTCGAAATAGGGAGTCGAAACAAACGGCGTTTGCATGTGTCCGGACATGTGTAACGGCAACGTGTAAACAGTCCAGCCGGGAATCGAATGTATCCACGTTCTAGTGGACCCGCCCCACTCACAGACAAACCTCAAGCAGCCTCTTTGAGGCCAGTTTTCGGACAAACCCACCCAATCCCAGCCAGTTGTTGTTGGGTGACCCTGCTTGCTTTTAAAAACCGGGAACCATTTTTGGGGTCGACCATTCTGGGGAAGCCCCCAAAAAGAGATGTTCCGAAACGACTCTGAACCGGGGAAATGCGGGGGATTCCAAACTGAGGGAGTTGTCAAGTGGTGCCTTCCTTGGCCCGCACCCCTGTCCAGGCCGGAATCGCCCCCGAATCGCCCTCCCCTTCCATAGATTTCTTGGGCACCAGCATTTAGCATTGAACCAATCTTCTTTGAGCCATCTTTGGGCTTCCCTTCAAAGGGGATCCGACTCTCCTTTCAACAACCCATTTTTATTGCCCTCTCCCCCCCCCAAAAAAAAAACATGAAGAAACCGCGAGGGGATTCTTGAAGGCCACGCCTGGAAGCATCCAATCAGCAAGTTGCCATAGACCTGGCGTGCCTTCACGAAGGACGAGCCTGCTAGCGGCTCCCAGTGGACTAAAACCTCGGAACGGCTCCGAAACGCGCCGGAAAGGCCCGGACCCCGGAGAGCTTTGACAAGCAACAAAACCGTGGTTTTTGAGGGCGTTTGGCTTGGTTGAGGAAGCCCTTCAATTGGGGCGGCTCGGTCATGGGTTTTTGCATGTGTATCCTGCTTGAATTTTGCGGTGCTTTGGCCTCAGGCTTTGACACGTCTACTTGGCTACCTTGCTCCGTGCCATCATGCAGCTGCTAAACCTTTCCAGTGAATCTTTGCTACATGATTGCTTCAATTTCCCATCCCTGAGCCTACCGTCCTCCTGACAAGAGGCGGACTTCAGGCCCTTAAGCGACAACCTCCAGAACCAGACCTTCGATGTTTGTGAAACGGTCTGTCTTTTGGAAGCTCTATTGAAACTGATGCCCGAAAGAGAAACACGAAAGCCCAGCCATCGTTCATAGTGAAAGGTCAAAGGCCTCTCACCGCAACTGCTGTCTCTTGCAGGCAGAATACTGCAATGGAATGTACCTCCGTCCAGCGGGAGGGTAGAGGAGTCACTGGAGATGCGAGGGCCAAGCATGGCAAACGTGAGCCTTGCCCGATCTTGTTGGAATCGTCTGATGTGTCTTTTCTGAGCGTAGCTTTGCCGATGTGTTCTGCTTTGTGTTTGTCTTTCTTTGTCGGGGGCGGATGAGATCAAAAGGAACGGATTCTTGGCAGTTCCCAAATTAAACCAACAAACGCTGTTGCCCAAGCTGGCCCGCCCCTGATGTTGTCCAACCAGAAACCAGTGCTGGACATGCCGACGGGCAGCTCCCGGGAACACTGACATGGTCACTAGGAAGACGCCGCACACATTCAGCGCCTCAAGTTGCAGCAGCCGCCTCTCTAGTTGGTGCCGTGGCTTGGTTTGATCACTCAGCTCCAATGAAAAGGCGCCCCCTAACCCCCAAGCCGCCAAACATCACCGACCAACTTAGGGCCACAACGCATGACCACTCGTGGCCTTGCAACTCAGTTCGGACAACCCTGTAGCCGCATAGTAGCCAAGCGCAATGCTGGATGTGGATGGCCCATGGTCACAACTGGGGTTCCCATTTTTGGCGGCTGTTTACAGGGTTCTCATCCAAAAACATTTTGCAATTCATCGAGTAAATATGATGACGTATCTGAACATATATTTTCTTGTGTACCCCGACAACGAAATACAGTTGGGTGACAATGGATGGCATGATTCCCGATTTGATTTAGTCACCCCCTTTGCTTACCCAGTGGATTTGTGCCATTTACTTTCACCTTAGTGTACCCCACTATATAACATTCTTGGGTACGCAAATATCTTAGTTAGTGTACCCAAATATATTTTTTGTGGTGCCAATATTATTTTGGTGTGCCTCAAAATCATATTTGATGTAATTCAACACCATGTTTGGTGTACCCTGAATATCATGCTTTGGGGCACCCCAAAGTCATTGTTGGTGTGCCCCAATATCTTCTTCGGTCGTCCCCAATACCAACTATTTTGCGGGGATATACCATTCTCTTTTTTTTTGGAGAGAGGGGGGGTCCACAAAAATCGATCCCAAACAGACGGACAAAGCGCGGTGAGTCCGAACCCCGCAGCAAAAACAAAAAAAACGCCGCGGCGCTTGTGGCCAGATCTCCCCCAAAATGGGCACCAGCCGCCTGAAGATCTGGGCGGCGCCTGCAGATCTGGACTCCTTGGCGCTCGTTTCCGCGCGGCCAAGCGCAGGGGACGGGGCGATATTCATGGGATTCATGGGGTTCTCTCTCTCTCTCTCCAGCATCCTCGAGCAGGTCTCGCTCCCAGGGTCAGGGGTGCGAAACAACCGCCATGGGGTTGACGGATGGAATTTCTATGGGATTGGGAATGGGATTGAAGACTTTGAAGACTCTAAAGTGGACCCGGAAACAACCCAGCGGATTGTTGTGGGGATTTGGCTCAACTGTTACATTTCCTCACTCTTAAAGGGGCACCGCCCACGACCCAGAATGGTGGCGGTCCCTTACCAGGGAGAAATCGAGAATCCGGCTTTTCCCAGATCCCCTGCTGAGTACAAAGGTTGTCCTGGAAGTCAAAAGGCAACCCGCAGGATGAGCACCGCCCTGTAATCAACCCGGCCTACAAATTGCTATTCGGGAGGGCGACTGGTATGTGTCAAAGGAGTACCCCCAAAAAGGTTGGTTTCCCTTTAAACTTTTAAACTAACCCCCCAACAGGTTGGCACCCCTCGGAAAGACGGGCCTCCCCCTGCAGCCCCAGACCCTGCACGCCAAGGGCGTGGCCTCACTGCTCTCACAAGAGCCGGAGGAGGAGACCTGCGCGATAATTATCGCGCCGCGATGTGGTTGTGGCGATGTGGCTTTTTGGCTACTGCAAAGGAAACGCTTAAAGCGAGCCTCAGGCGTTGGGGCAGGAAATTTGTTGGGCTCGACCCAAGTTTTAGGCCCCCCAAATGCACCATAGGCTTCTTGCCTTTGACGGGATTTTTGTTGACAGTGCTGCAAACGAAACAGCCGCATGTAGACGTGGCAACTGAAGAAGCGGTGCCAAGAGGCAAAAGTGTGGCATTTCCCACGGTTCCGGTAGAAGCGTTCGGATCCGGATACAAAGTGCTTTAATGATAAAGCCATCAAACAGGGCTACCGCCGAAGCATACATCCAAACACCACCTGCTTTACAAGTATTCGGATCCTCGAAAGCTGGCGCGTTGCATGCTCCGCCCTGGTCTGGCCTCTAGCGGCCGTGCCCTCTGCTCTTCAAGCATCGCGATTGCTGCAGATGTCTCCTCGCAGGGCTATTTATGGCCCGAAATGTCCGCAAAAACATCGAAATCAATGCGCGTTGCTCATGTGTGGTGGTCTGGCTACGGAAAACCAAGAGGAAACTAGCCCCCATTTTTTGAGAAACACCCCATGTCAGCGCAAGCTGTTTGATTGAGAAGCGCGTTCATACCATGCTACACCCTCAACTTGCAGGAGCCTGCCAAGCGAGAGCTCACATGTCAGTACGGTGCCTTGCTTCAAATGATCCAGTCAAAGCTTACTGTTGCGCTACTGGACATGGGAAATTGAGCCTCTGCCGTTTGTGGCTTCAATCTAGTATGTCCCGAACCTCAAATGGACCTTCGACCAAAGAACAGGGTGTGTTTGACAACTGCGAATGCCTACACCCCAATGGCAACTCGTGCGTCTCCGGCGAGCGCCGTCGCATGTAGACAAAGTACACCCAGCAGGAGCTGAGCGTCTGGGCAATGCAAATGGCCTCAGCCAAGGTAAATTTGGTCACAGGCACTCGAAATGAGGACTGCCCTTTGGCTGTCCCATCCAACTGCGGACCCTTTGACATCTTTTGCCAGCCGGGAAAATGGAACGACAGAACAAGTGGCAGCAAGCCCCTTGGATTTGCACTAGGAATGTCCTGGCGGTGCCCTTCATCCCTTGCGCACCTGTTCTGTGCATGAGCCGTTAAGATCCTAAGTGTCAAAGTAGGGGAACCCCCCAAATGGCTTCCCTAACCAACCGCGACAGGGGTCAAAAGGCCTCACAAAGGCGCACACACAAATCCGCGTCCAGAGCTCCTGACCCACAGCACCAGGGCAACCACCATGCCGGCATCCGCAGTGTCGCTCTTCTCCGGGTTCACTGCCTGGCCCAGGAGAAATTCCGCGTGTTGGTTCCAGGCCATGGGCAGCCACGGGCTTTAGTTCTCTCTCTATCCAAGGTATTGAATTCCTTGGAAGGCGATGGAAATCTCGCCTGGCATGCCAACATTTACCACAGCTCCAGGGGGTCGTGCCTTTTCAACTCAACCGATGTTCGTTTCAATCACGCGGAATGTCCCCTTATGTTTCCGTTTCCTGGGTTGAAATGCTCCAACTCATGCCATTGTCTGGGCTGTCTAAAGTCGATGGCTGGGAACCGCCAAAACGGATCCCTGGAAACGGGGCAAGGTACCCCTAAATCATGGGATGACGGGGAGGTGAAGCCAAATGATGCTCTCAACGTCGGATGATATTCACTTGGGTGACAAGGATTTGGATCAAGCAACTCAGCTGATTGTTGACATGGCGCAAAGTTGTCCTTAAAGAGACCCTGAACAATGGAAGTCCTCAAATTTGCCAAGGCGCGTGCTGCAGCGCCTGCACCAGCAAAGAGCAAAAGAAGCTCACCTTGGCTGTGTCTCACTAAGGTTGAATCCTATGATGGGTTGTTCAAAATCACCACTGCAACAATGGAAACCACTCCCATCCAGCATGAGGAACAAGGGTTGGTTTGACAACCCAAATCACAGGGCGACACCTAATGTCCACCCCGACTAAGAAGGAGAACCTGGTGGAGTAGTAGGTGGCAACAAACAAAATAAAAATAAACACCTCATGTCCCCCACCTCCCCCTAAACAAGGAAACAAGTAAAGAAAACGACAACCAGAAGTGAAGGCTCCTCTTTTGAGTTGTGGAGCTCGGGTCCCGGATCCCGTCTCCAGGACTGTGGGGTTTCCCCCTGGTTGCCATCTTGCGTATAGGCTTGTGTACCGAACTGGCGAACTCTGGCTGGCCGGGGCTCGGCCGACCAAGTCCCGGGGCAGAAGCAAGTCATTTCTTTCGCACGCCCTTTCCAGCATATCAAAAGCCAGTGGCTTTTAGGATTCGGATCCTCATCAGCTGAAGGGGATTGTTTCACTGGCCCACATGGTTCTTAGGGCGCAACTGTTCATACTAGTCTTCCCCACAAAACGGGTAGTGGAACAAATTGAGATCGCAAGAACCAAACGACCCGCATGGTCACACCCAAAATTCCTGTCACTTTACTGAACAAGTCCCAAGATAGGGCCAAGAGGCGGATATCCGCACCAATTGGGTCTGTCTTTTTGTTGAGGGAACCTTGATTTGTGGTTTCAAAGTGAAAACCATCAGGAAACCAACCTCTTTCTTCTTTGGGGGGGCAGACCCCAAAAACAGACACACACACACACATACACAATTTATGGCACTGCCCCTTAACCTGCACATTTTACCGGGTCTTGATGCCCTTCGTGGCTACTGGAGGCCTCCTGTCTGACTGAGATCCACGGCCAAGCCGGAGACGCCCAAGCCCAGCATGATCGCGGCGGACATCTCTTGGCTGATGGAGCCTCAGGCCGAGGCCGAGTTCCGGCTGTTTTGTTGGATCGCCGGCGTTTTTCCGGCTGTTTTTCCGTATTCCGGCTGTTGCAAATGCCTGTTCATAAAAGGGAATACTATGCTTGGCCATGCGGAGGGTGCAGGTATGAGACATCTTTGAAGGATTTCTGTCCACCATCTTTGAGGGTGCCTCAACTTTCCGCGACCCTTAGCGTCCATGGAACAAACAAAAAGCCTTTTTGGTAGTTGAATTTAAGGGGGGCCCCGCCCCCATACGAAAAGAAACATAGAATCGCCTTAAGTGGCGGATCCATCGATTGATTTGGCCACGAATTCCAATTAATGGGAACGCCCAAAAGTGGTTAGTGGATATGAATTCCCAACCAAATGGTGTCCACCCAAAAGTCCCCAAGTCAAATTGAACACCAGGGTATACATTTCCCCCCTCACACAACAAACAACAACAACAAACAAACAACACAACTGCATGGTTCCCCGTGGTTTCCTCCAAAAATCGACCCCAAAAAACTCCATTGGCCTGACTCCCCCCCTCCGCGATCCCCGCCTGCCACGCCGAAGATGCCGGTCTGGAGCACCGCGTTGGAGAGAGCGAGCACCTCAGCGGCGCCCCAGCCACCGCTGGCTTGACGACGTGGTTTTTCCATTCAACCGGATTCTTTTTCACTTCCAAAAAACCCTATAATTAGTAAGCTGGCCAAGTCAATTCAGCAGCTATAGCTACAGCTCAGATCACAGCAAGAAGAAGGCATCTACCAAGTTAGTCTCATGTGCACTCTGGAGGGCAGGCAGTTAGTACGTTGGTACCTTTCGAATCCTGGAGGAAAACGCGGTTGGTAAGCTACCACCCGTACGGAGCCGCCTGGTACGTGGGATATTGCGTGCCTTGTTCGGACGGTAGCCCGTGTTCTAGTGCTGTAGCGTGGTCAAAAGGCTATGTCACATGCTTTTCGATAGGTCTCTCGCAAGAGGCTTGAAGAGGTTCTAGTGATTAAGGGCAAACATTGCTGGAGACAACCAGAAACGTTGTGACGTATAGGCAGGGTTGCTTGTCCAGCTGTATTTACAAGGAAATGTTCATGTCGAACTTTGGTCATCTGCCATGACATCATGAGCATTGCAATGAATTGCTCAAGCTTACTTGTTAGTTCGACTTTCGCACTTGAACCCTACATTGCGATACAAGGATTGCTTTTGCTGCTGCTGCTGCTGCTTTTGCTGCCGCTGCACAATTTCGCCTTTGAAGGTCGAATCCCCCGAGAGCACTCGAAGGTTTCACCATGCGCGGCCATCGTCCTGTCTCAGCGCCCGTTCCGCGGCCACTCCGAACTCCACGCCCGCCCTTTTGTGCCGCGTCAGGGAAACTCATATTCTCCAGCCCTCCTGTTTTCAACGTGTCTGTTTCAGAGAGGTGTATATAGTCTTTTGGTCCATATAGTCTTGCAAGGACTCTCAACCAGTTTCACAGCGGTTGTTGAGCTTCCTTTGGGTATTTGCTACACTGCTCCTCGCGCGTGCCGCGGGCCAAGTCGAGCAACCCTGAATCCAAGGACCCGGCCGCTATGGTCAGGAGAATGGGCACCTCGGCCGTGGAAGCGGCTGCGCAAAAAGCTGTGGTCGCATGTTGGTCAACCAGCCGCACAAATTCAGCCTGGTTTGGTCAAGCAACTGGTTTTCCCGGATTTGGCCAACATTCAATCAACTGTAAGTCTTGGCTTCCACCCTGGCCATTTCGACCCTCTTCCTGGAGAGACAAAGCAATACGCGCTTTTCGCCGGCTGAAAACAGCTTCTGCGAAACTGAAAGCATAAGGGTTGCGAGAAGCTGCAGGATTCAGCCCCGCCCCCCTCCTGCTCCTGTTTCCCAAATTGCGACCCCAAGAACTTGGTGTGGTCTCATTTGGGGCTCAAGGTCAGGGGCTTGCCAAGTCACGTAGTAATGTGCCCCGGAAGCGCCTCTGGCAGCCAGCGTGATGCCTGGCTGAGGCAGGGCCCATCTAAAAATAGGCCCAGGTGGTATCCCCAGCCCCGAAACCCCAAACCCTCCGGAAATGAATGCTGGCCCAAACCACCCCGCAGCCTTTCTGGACAAAGACCCCATAGCTTTTCAGCTGTTGGGGAGAAAATCAATGAGCCCAACAAGGGTTTTTGCGCGTTCTATGTGGACATTCGCAGGAACTACTTGCAGGTACTGAGGGTTGATCTTCAGAATTTTTGGGGGGACTTGTTACTCGCCCCGCGCACTTTATTTCCTAGGAATCTGGATCAAACACCTGGGATTCCGCGCCAAAGAAGGAGAGGCACACCACGACCTGCATGATGAAGGCGCTGCCTATGCGCTGGTTCACCGAAAAGCTGTCACCTAGGTCCAATGTCGGCATGGCAGGGAACCGCCATGGCAAAGACCAACAAAACGGCGGCCGAAAAACGAATGCTGCCACGGGCGCCCTTGCAGGTAAGCCACAGCTGTGAAGAGCACAGGCATAAAGAGTATGTCATCATGCCTGATTTTGTGAGCAAGTTTGGCAAATCCAGGCATCTTTCAGAGCCAGCATGCAAAATGTGACGAAATGCTGAAGCTCTCGTCCAGCACAAAACGCCTGACATGGGCCGCCCAAGTTGTCCAAGGGGCTGGTAAACGGAAAGTCCAAGCCCTCGAAGGGATGCCTCAGGTACCACGTCCCACAAGGTTGGCTGCAGCAGTTGCGACATGCAACGGGCAGAGGGCGGCAGTGACCAGAGGAGAAATCTGCATACGACAAACATCTTTTGCCCCTAGCGCTTCCCTCGAGGAAACGCAACATCGACACAACTTCAAGCTGGTGATCTGCTTGGTTCTGGTCCTGCTTCAGTTAAGAGGCTGCTCAAAGTATGGCTGCGAGTTCAAGAGGCAGTTGTATGGCAGCAGGGTGCAAACACCCAGGCACATTAACGCGAGCTGGTCCCGGCTAAACATCTCTGGATTGGCTGGCAGCTCCGTATATTGGCTGCCTGCCTGGACCATACAGCTGCGGATCGCGTTGCGCTGGCCCAGTGCACTTGCCCCCTCTCAAGTAAAAAGGCACCTCAACGCCTACGATACAAACAGGTGCAGGTCATGCCAGTGGCCAAATGTCAAGCAATCTCCCAGCCTCAGTTTCTGGCTTGAGTGGCCCAGGGTCGAAACTTCTTGCTTGCCACTATGGTCTTCTCAAGTTTAAAAATCCAGGAGCTCAGGAAGTGAGCACTGCATGTAAGCCCCACTTCCCCCCCTCGCGAGGCCTTACTTGCTCCGCACCTGGCCAAAGTGTCAAAGGCGATTGCCACGGACCTTGATCCAACACTATGGTCCTTTCGGGAAAGGAGGGGGGTTGGGGGGTTGACCCAGTCCCAAGTTGGAAACTGAAATTCGCTTGGGACGAGTGAGGTGAGATCACAGGAACGTCTGGGTCGCTTTGAGTCAGCACAACCCCGCTCCGATTGCCCGTGACCAGCCTTGAGCGGTAGTGCCCAAAACATTGTTCCACGCGCACAAAAACCGACCATGTGGCGCTGGACGGGAAATCGACGGGCAACATGTGCACAGGAGCGTAATCTTTCTCTGGTCGCTCGGCCAATACCTCACCTTAAGTTGTGCTATACCTCGGGCGCATTTCAATATTGCAGGTTATGGCAGGTTCAGTGCCTCCCTGTTGAAACACGCTCGACTGCCGGCTCAGGCCGGGTAGCCTCCAGACTCTCAGAAGCCTGCAGCTTCTGTCATAGGAGAAAAAGATTCCTAGACTTTGGCGAGATGCCCTACATCCTAAGCTTCACAAGAATCGACACGGGTTGTCGCTGGTTGCCGCTCTCGGACAGGACTATCCCCAGAAACAAACCGATGCATTTCCATGTGGCACATCTTCCGGTGACCAAACAAACAAACAAACACCACAGACAAACACAACACAAAACAAAACAACTAAAACAAAACAAAACAAAACAAACAAAACACATAAAATAAAACAAAATAAATAAAACCAACCCAGCGCCAACCCAAATCAAAGTCACCCTCAGAGCTCTGGCCGCTTGGGCTTCTGGATCCGAGGCCAGGCCTGGCGACGACTCCCCTCGCCCCGACCCATTTTGCGACCGTTGAAAGCTGCTCGATACATAAGGAGGTAGGGAACCTTCTCCTTGCAAACAAGAGCTTTCAACAGCTCTTGCCTGTTTCTTGAAGGGGTGTATTCTTTCAATAATTTGATGCACTTTGAATGTAGAGAGAAAGAGACAAAAAGAGAGAGAGTGAGAGATAGAGAGCGCTGTGCTTGACAGGTGCGGAAGGCTGCCTTGGTCGGAGTGATGTCATCGATGAGGCCGTAGTCCTGTGGTCCACAACCCCCCACTCAATCCTGACACGCCTGACTGCTGATCCAAACTAAGAACCTGTGGGGTATCAAACATCTGCAAAATCGCAAATCTGCTAACTCTCCAATTTGTCCAATATCCTGATCTGCTACGGGATCAGCGGGTACCCTCAAAAAAGACAGACCCATCCCTTTGGATAGGAAGCCACAACTGACAAGGCACACCACGACGAGGGGCACCTTTGGATCTTGCAGATTGGCATTGAGCATCCTGGACTTACCCCAAATGCTTCCCCTGTTTCACCCATTTGCAACCACCTTTGGGGTATGTCAATTTGGGGAAAGGAGGACTAACCCTCCCGTCCACCCAGAAGTGGAAAACCAAACGGTGAACATCCCGCAACTTCCTGCCCACCCAGCGCTCTCCTTCGCTTCTTCTGGCGTCATGAAGTTGTCCCGGTCACAGTCCTTGCGGCCGGGGAATCCGCAAATTCAAACCATCCCCTAAGCCAGTGGATTCCAGGCAAGCCTAGCCAGTAGCCGCAAGGGCTATGGGGTTCGGAAGGGCTATGCGAAACCCACTGAATCACCATGACATCGCCTTAGACCATCGATTCATACTGTTTCACCAGAACAGGGCAAAACAACATCTGACACACACACACACGTTTCCGAATACCAAAAAACATAATGAACTACAGCAACTGGCCAATTGCAGCAACCCGTCTCCTTGGCAATCTGTTCGGTGGACTGACCAGTTGCGTCCGCCAGGTGCATGTTGAGGATCTCACCTTGGCCCGCACGCCTTTGGCAGATAGGTGTTTTGTCTGTTTCCAACATCGAGCAACTGACAAGCCTTCAAGGATCCCAAAGTGCAAAAAGGACCCGCAGTCGGGGGTCAGCTAAGAGTCACAATCAAACTTGCTACTGGCCGACCCCAAAAAAGCATGGTGAAGAATCAACAGGTGCATCCGCACCTATTTCTGGTTGGTCTGGCCCCTACACCTTCACCCCGTGTTTTTTTTTTTTTTTTTTTTGCGCGGCTCACCTCACTTCTCGAGCGAGCGCATTGACCAACCAAAGTCCTGCTTCAGAGGCCACTCAAACCGCCCAGACCCCAAACGTGCCTAGGTGACCAGGAACCCAGTCCAAAAACTCGGGCGTGTGCTTTTGAGGTTCTCCGTTTCTTTGGTTGGATCAATGGGTTTCAAGGAACGCCGCGTCTGGAGTGTTTTCGCAGGTCACATAGACCTCGAGACGTTTTCTCGCCCGAGGGGCGCATGTGCAGAATCTCCCGGGCCTGGATGCGCACATCCAGGGCCTGGCCTTGCGCCCCACCCAAGGGCTGGTGGATCATAATGCCTCAGCGTCCGTGGCGAAACGGAAACGCCGACACAAAGGGACAAAACCAGATGAGTGAAGAAGACCATCTCTCCCACTACCTGGAAGGTACCTGGAAGGTACCTGGAAGGTACCTGGAAGGTGCCTGCAACATCACATTCCTCTCTCTCGCGAGCGCTCTTGTCAGGTGCCATGGCAACGGGTGGGAGAATATCTCTTGATATCTCTTGAAACATGTTTGTCCCCATTTTGGCACGCCCATTAAGTTCAGCTGGAGGCTTGCAATGGGGTTTTACCAGCAGCACGTGTTCGAACAACTGGATCGCACCCAAAGGGGTGGTCCAACTTGAGCAAATTTTAGGGTAGCGCCTTTTGCGTTTCAAGAAGAACACCACGATTCTTTTTTGGGATGGGGCCCTAAAAATGCACACACCCAGCACACACCCGTATTGGCTTAAAAGTCTTGAGGGACACGGCCCAACCCATTCTGTGGCTTTGGGCGGCAGAAGGCAGGCTCGCAGGAAAAGCAAATGTCCGGGCAAAATGTGCGCCACGTTTGAAGGCTGCACCCACCATTAAACCAAAATGAATAAACCACATGCCCATGAAACTGAGATGGACATCGCATGAAGAAGACTGAAACATTGCCTCAAAGCTGGCCATGAAACTGAAAGTGTGCCATCGAAGTTCGGACCGGAGCAGTGGCAAAACCTCTGCCTTACTGGGACCAAAGCCTTTCGACACGGATTTCGGGCATTGCGGCCAAGCTGCGCGAGTTGGGAAGGCTCTTACCTGGCGAAAGCAAGGAGCTGCTGCCGCATGCAGTGAGACACGGCGGTGTCATGCGCTCGATCCGTATGGCCAACAGCCATAAAAAAACACAACGCAACATGCATGATGCACGCATTCAACCCTCTTGAAAGGGGCGACGCTTCCAAAGAACTGGGCCCCTGCAGCCTATGCTTCAGTGAGCTAAGCGGCGCTTGCCCTTGGTGCCGGCTGCAAGAAGGAAGGAGCCCATAGATGCGGCCATGCCGAAGCAAACGGTGCTGATATCGCAAGGGATGAACTGCATGGTGTCATAAATGGCCTGTGCCAAAGCAAAGGCACGCAAGCCGAGGGCTGATCTGCTTGGCACGAAGATACAAAAACCAATGCAAAGCTGACTGCGTGGCTGTTCTCGCTACCAGTTACCAGGAACTGAAGCAAACTCATATATGCCTTCAAGCGGCCATGCCAGCAGAAACAGATCCTCCTGGAGAGTTGATGTACATGGTAATGTCGTTGTCAGGGTCTGTGTTGGCAAGGTAAAGCATCTGTGCCACAAGCACCTGGGCCATCTCGTCCTTCACTTCTCCACCCAGGATGATGATCCGGTCCTGCAGCAGCTTGGACATGACATCAATCTTCTCGCCGCTGCCTGTGTCCACCATGGGCATCCTCACGGGCGGCATGGTGTTGGGCGGATCTGCGCGCCTGGGGTCGATCTCCGGCTCCTTCCCCGGCTGCGGCTGTTCCGGCTCCGCGCGCAGCTTCCGCCGCGACGCACGCACGGAGCAGCCCACGGCCAGGGCGCCCACGGCGCCGGCGAGGCGCGGCGCCGCCAAGGCGCTGGGCGCCGCACCCACAGCGCCAGCGCCAGCAGCGCCGGCGCCAGCGACGGCCGACGTGCGTGGCAGGCCTCCTGGGCGCGGCGCGGTGAAGGCAGTCCAGGCCCCGAGCGCCGAGAGGCCTACCGCACCAAGTGCACGAGGCATCGCTTTGGGCATGGCAAGGAGTCCGCTGGCCTCCGCACAATTCAGTACTTCCCTGGAGCTTTGAGCCAAATTCAATGCAAATTTGGTTGGAAAAGACGGCATGCAACCTCTTGGCATATGACGTCAACTTGCTGGCCATGTGACAAACGCGGAAGCAGCGCATGCCCAGCTTCAAGCAGCACGCCTGGCAGCATCAAATGCTGCGCCTGCCAGGGGTGGCCAGTCACAGGCTGAAACATCGGCCAGCCATCATTCTGCATCTTCGAAATAGTAACATGACACCACAGCTTGAGTGCGAGTGCATCAACCGGTTCCTCCTTGCAAGCTTAGCTGCAGCGTCACGCCACGCTTTTCTACATTCCTGCACGGTCGCAAACAACGCGCTGCTGTGATCTATGCAAAGGGCCATGGCCATCGACAATTCTCCTCATGCGCCCTTCCTCCCTATCGACATTAAGCTGATTTCCTTGACACACCGCGCCCTCTGCATACGCAAAGTCCTTGTCCATCTTCGAGAAGAGCATGTAGAAGAACCCTTCGAATATTAAAATTACACCAGCATAGCCTTGAATAGCTTCCGCGCTTGAAGTCAGAACGCCTATAGCTTCCAGCTATCCGGAGGAGAAAAAAACGCTCCAGCCATGGCGTAGCCAAGCTCACTGGAGCTTCAGCTGCGAGACCTTGCCCTGGCTCGCCGCCTCCAAGTGCTCCTGCCCAACAAGTTGCAGCCACGGCCCAGCGCAGAAGTGCCAAAAGGACCCAACAAAACGCCGGGTACCGGGATTTGTCTACCGGATATTGCTTGTTGGTGAACCACCTCCGAGTCAATACAGTGCACGTGAACCACTCCTGACTTTCGATCCCGTTTCCCCCCCTTTCTGTTTGCTTCAACAAAAGGGGGAAACGCAAAAGCCCCCCACCACCCCCTACCCCTGCCCACCCCTCCCCACCCTTCATGTCAAATCCTGGAAGTTGGGCAGCCGCTCAAACAGGTCGCCCCCTTGCTGGATGTGCGACAGAATCTTCTCCTCTTGGCGCTGGATGGCTTCGGCCTTCGCCAGCCACTCTTGCAGCTCCTGCGCGAAACCTGCCTGCGCTAACCTGGGATTGAGGTTGACGCGCCTGACGCAGTCTCTGTGCGAAAAATGATTGGTGTTGGGCGAAACCTGCCGAGTTTACCCAAATCCAAGTTCAGCTGAGTAAAGTGGAAGAACGCCTGGTTGGTGTGCAAGAGCTCCCATGTCACATGTAAAGACTCAAAAGAAAAACCGCACCTATTTCTGTTTGGGACTGTCCCTTACTAATTAACCTTCATCCACCCAGATTTCATCGTGGCTCCTGTTGCGAACACACCACCACGCCGTCGTCGTCACCCAGCACGTACCTAAGGGCCATCGCTCCAGCCCGGGGCCCAAAGGGGACGCTGGTTTTCCAACGACTTCTGCGTTGGTGACCTCCAACGAATCAAAAGTGAGGAGCTGCTTGGTCCAAGCGACGGACGACTGCTCTCTGGATGAACATGAGACGCTGGGGAGAACTCCAGCACAAAGCGTGTTGTTCAAAATGGGGTCTCGGATCCCTGATCTTAGTCGATAACCCGTAGGACTACGACAAGGGAAACTTTGGCGGACCTGGGAAATCCCATCAGAATGCTTCTCTGACCGCTGGTACGTGTGCATAATGTTGACCCCGTTTTAATCAACCCCAGTTTATTAATAGGGGGTGTTCCCCTCAACAAGAGGTGATCGCCCACTGATTAAACCCAAGGACACCCTCTTCATAAACTGGGTGTTGCTTAATATGGGGTCAACATGGGTATGGGTCAAAATTAAACCACCAGCAAACCACAGGTTTTGGTCCATGTTTCCACTTACCAGGGGTCCATTTCAGGTACCTATTTTTGACCCACAGCCATATGGGGTCAACATTCGGCGGTAGCTTCTGTGCTGCTCGTGCCAGCGTTCGCCAGTGCAGCCCCAGCCGCTCGCCCGGCTTCACCGAGACGCCGCCCATGCGGATCTCCACTTGTGACGTGCCCCGCTTCTGCGCAAAGCCGGCGTTGGGGTGGTGGCCCCGGCAGAAAACCGGCAGAGACATCCTGAGAGCACGAGGTACCGCTTTGTTTGGTAAAGGGACGCTGGTGCACAGTCTGAGTGACACCACACAAGCTTCCCACATCTAACAGTTTGCACGTAATTTGCGACAGTTGCCCCAAACTCTTCGCTAGCGCCCGTCCCGTACCTGCAATGAAGGGCCCGGAGCGAGGAGAAAGCCCATTCAACATGGAAAAAACATATAACTGGGCACCATGCAACATGCAGGGTAGACGGGTGGGGTTTGCCCGGACCCGCAACGTCAAAGGAAGATAGTGAAACAGGAGGACGTTGTTTTGCATTGGTTTCTACCATGCAATCTAGCTTCCCTCGGGTTCACAAGCCATAAGCCTTTCCTGTAATCCGCGTACTCCGGCATGTAGGTAAGAGTACGCGCGGCTGGCAGGCGCGCAGGATTGCGGATTTTCACGTTTCGGCTTGAGGTCGAAAAACCAACCAAGACGTGTCTTTGAAAGCATCTTGGGGGTTGATACGGTCAGTGATGTGGTCCAGGTATTCTCTGAATGCCTGAACCAGTGGCTGCAGACCGGGTGTCGCGTGGAAAAACTGAGCGGCAAGCACAGAAACGTGCGCTTTGCGCACTGGGAGGCCGCAAAGCTGACCTGAGCGCCTGAGCTGTTTTTTCAAGGTGGCGCTCAGGCTCTCTGCTTTTGGTCGCCACCTACAAACCGGACCTTGCTAGAAGAGGCCTTGAAGCAGGGCTTGCCAGACTTGCCAGCCTGCGCTGCAAGTTTTTGCAACAGGCCAGCAGGCAAGTGCCGCTTGGACAAAGAACAAACTGAGAGAGAGCCCGTCAGCAAAAAAAAAGCAAACAAGTACCCACGGCAGGCGAGGCTCCCGAGAACGTGCTGGCGGCGGAGTCCGGGACCGCCCGGCGGAGCGAACTGAAGGAGGTTGAGCGGCCATGGCAGGGCCACGCGCGGGGAGAACGGCTAGCAGCCGGGCACCAAGCAGACGGTTCGAGACAACGTGGAGGCAGGACGCCAGCGAGACTAAGCGAGAGGGCGGAAAATACGCAGAACGCCTCAGGACGAGGCGATACGCAGACCAAAGCACAGGCAAGCAAAGGCCAAGAGAGTCAAAGGCTAGTGGGAACCGATGAGGCAGCAACACTATCTCTGCCACGAGCGACAAACACGGGTCCGGGGTTTGCGTCACTACGTCAAAGAGAGAGTCCAGGTATTCAGGGCACACAGCAAAAAAAGGATCCAGGATTGGGTGGCAGCGGAAAAGAGGGGATGAGCCAGCACAGCGCAAAATCAGGACGAGACCTAAGGCGAGACGAGCGTCCTCGGAAAGGTACATTTGAACCAAAATTGAAGACAAGCATGAACGCTGTGGACAAGTCCGAGATCAACCCCCCCCCCCCAACCCCACCCCCCACCCCCCCCGCCGGCTGAAAAACCAACGAAAACCCACGGCCGTCTATGGCGCGTGGTCCAACTACGGAGTCACAGCAGCGACGGGGGGGGGGCCGGTGGTTTCCGGGCAAACCCCCCCCGTCTACCCAACATGCAGCTCAGGGAAAATGGCTCAAAGGGCGACGCTTAAGAGCAGGGCAAATGTGCTGGCCCAGCTAGTTTGCGCAGTCACCTGCTAAGTGGTAGGCCCTGGTACGCCAGAGGGAAGCAACCTCCTTTTTCTGACTTTGGTAACCCCTTCAGAAAATGCCAAAATGATAATATCCAATTCTTCAGGACTCTCGAAAAAGGGCTGCTTGCAAATTGCCAGCTTCTATGATGCCCAGGAGGAGGCCGTGAAGGTTTCCCGATATCCTCCCTGGAAAAACAAGCCCAAACTGTGATGACCACGATGACCGTCAAAGAAGGACCCGAAAAGAAGTGCCCGTTGCCGACCTGGCTGCCCCCCTGTCAGGTGCACATGAAGCCATATTCACCACAAATAGGTCTACCAGACCTATATCAGGGGTGCACCTTCAAACTGTGAGCCCAAGCCGCAGGAACACCTAAAAAGGAAGCAGAAAAGGGCAAGTCTCCTGTCCGTTTGGCTTTTGTTTGGGTGCGAAAAGCTTAAGCCGAACTGCAAACCCAAGGGACTGTATATGAGAAAGGGTCTCCAAAAACACGTTTGCCCCTCCACCGTGTGGACTTGTTCAGGTTGTCAAACAGGGATGTAAACAACCAATGATGTTGGGGAATTGGGCTCCTTAGCTCACAGTTTCATCAGGAATCTGCTGGTATCCTCCCTTGACCCCACTGCCCCTCCCCAAAGCCCGTTGCTACTTGGCTTGCCCGAGCGGCTGTCGGAGCATGGGCGTATCCCGGCAGTTGCCGTCCACCACCATGCCGCGCACCCCCCGGCGCTGCGCCTCGCTCGCCAGAAGCTCTCCGAAAAGGCCCCCGCTGCGAGGCCAGGTGCTGTCCTCAGGCCCTGCGCGTTTCAAAACAGGAAGTCAGCCCCAGGCGCTGCACACATATCAGGGTCCGCATATCTGGGAAGTTGATCCCCTTGGTTCCGCAAACAAACTTAGCAGCCGCGAAACCATTTGCCCAAGCGGCAACGGATGCATACGTTGTACACCCCATGAAAACGGCAAGAGCCGTCAGCAAGCGACTCGCTTTTGTTAGTCCAGGCTTCACCGTTCACAAAATGCAAGCCGCCGGCCGCCCCGTCCCACGTCACCTACCCCCGGCCCCCCCGACCCCCACCTCCCCGCATGGACGCGTCGATCATCACCACCTCCCCCGGCTGCACCTCCCTTAGCACCGCCAAAATCTCCAAGAAGTCCCCGTCCACAGCCACCGTGCGCACCCGCCCGGCCATGCGATAGCCTGGGGAAAGCTATGACCTGGAGACCCGAGATTTGGTGCTAGCCAAATCTAGTCGTGTAAGTCCATATTCAACAAATTCGGGCCAGGTTGCCTGAACAGGATAACCCAATCCCATTTACATGCATCACACATCGGCAACTGTTACACTAGTCCAAAACCTCAACACCTGAAAGTTTATTTTGACATCCAAGTGGAGGACCTTCATCATGGCAAGCTCGAATTAATTTCAGGTGAGATCGCTATAAACTAGGCACACACACATACACATGGTCAAAGTTCAGTAGTAGGCAATAGGTCGCCTCCAGCCTAGCCCTAAACAGTCAACCAGTCCAAGACTACAAAAGAATACTTGCACCTCATACGCGATAAGCAGGTGACGCAAGGTCTTAGGATGGTCTTCCAAAGGCCGATTCCTGAGGCTCGACGTCAAGGAGGGAGGAAAAGGTTGATGACTGGAAGCTACGTGTGTCCAGGAACATATATATATATATATATTTGTATATATAAATATATACGGTTGCTGGATGGATTGCACTTCATGGGCTATGTACGCTAGTTCACTTGTTGTTCAGTGACCCTGCTAGAAAAATAATTGGAGCCGTTGTTTAGGCCAGGATCATGTTTAGTGGGCCCCGAACCGACTAAGCAGAAAGTGCGAAAAATGGATTTCGAGGGTGGGATCTACTGACAGACCTGGGTGCGGCCGGGAAAATCGGGTGGGCATGCTGCGGGAAATTGGTTAAAACAGCTGGTTAAGGCGAGGTTTTAAGTGGTCCCAATGCATTCTTTCAAGGACTTTGTGGAAGGGATCTGCCGCAATCATGAATTGTCCCCTCAGAAGTGGTTGGTGGACAGAAATCCCCAGCTAAATGATGTCCCCTAAAGGGTCCCCAATTGAACATATCCAACTGGGCGTCTCTTTTGTCGAAGGTACCCTTTTGATTATGATTGTTTAAAAGGGAGGCCACAAGGAAAATCGCCCTTTTACTATGATTTGTTTGGGCGGGGGACTCCCATTTTTCGAGACCCACCCACCACAGAGCCTGGCTTCAGCGGCCGCACCGTGGTGATCACGCGGGCCTTCTTCCCGCTGGCATCGCACAAGGCACAGGTGTCCAGCTCGCCGAGCCGGGTCAAGGTGTCCACCTCGTGAACCCTTGAAATGGTTGGTGTCCTTTAAAGGTGGTTGGCTGGCGGTTCCCCAAAGAACGCCATGGTTTCCTAAACCATCCGCTTTTCAAGGGAACCCTTCAGCTGAAAGTGGGCAAGCCTAAGAGGCGAATGGTTGGTGAAACTGGTTCCCCAAAACCATCCGCTTTTCAAGGGAATCCTCCTTCAGCTGAAAGTGGGCAAGCACTAACTGGCCCGAAAGCATCCTCCTAAGAGGCGAATCAGGGCGCCAGGCCTGCGTCTCAGCCTTGCAGAGCGTAGCAGCGCCAGCAATGCTGCCGCCCAGAAGGCTCGCATGAAGGCCGTGTCTGGAGACGCTGGCCTGAGGATCCGGCCGATTCTGCGGCTTGACAAGGGCGGGTTCCCCAAAAGAAGAGGCCTCCGTAAAAAGCAAATGGCTTGTTTAAACCAACTTGTTGGAGTCCATTTGTCAATCTGCAGATGACCATCTACCAGTGGACCAGACGGGGTGGGAGAACATATTGGAGTGTGTCTCTGTTTGAGGGTACTCTTTGCCATCATCTGTCTCCCTTTTCTTTCCCTTTAAAATCACCTCAAAAACGCGGCCCTCAAAAAAGCACAAACCACACACACACACACGCACGCACACACACCGTTTTCTAACAACCCCGTGACAAAAATAACAGAAACACTTCGCGGCGGCGGCTTCGGCCTTGGCGAGCCTCAAACACCTGCGGAACCCAAAGGCTTGGGCCATGGGTTTCTTCCAGCGCGGCGCTGCGTTTTGCTTTTTCGCGCACCGGCCCCGAGATGCGTGTGTTGTTTCCTTGGAGGTTCTAATCTTGTCACCTCAGTCCGAAGGGAAACCAAGTTTGGGGAAGGGGCCTTTGTCACATGTGACGTGTTCAAAAAAAAAACGTATGTAAAATAGTTCGGAGTCGTTGTCCCGGTAGTGAGTTGCTGTACATCAAATATGCCGGTCATAAGCTCGGTTGCTATCGCCTCGCCACAACGCTTGGGCCAGGCTTGCAAAATGGAACACCTGATCTCGCACACGCTGCCAAAAGCTATGAAACCTCCCTACCTCTCGGCTTGCGGGTGGATGAAACTGAGCATGCTGGGAGAATGAGCCGCCCCCCTCCTTTTTGCACCGAAGTTCATGTTGCACCCCCAAGCAGGGCTCCCCAAATCTCTCCTAACATCACCTGATCAAAAGGTGACTCACTTAAAATTGGCCACCAAAAGTTGATGCTGAAAACCACCAGAACAAAAAGAAAGTTGGCCAAGGCTCTTGGCCCAACCGGCAACCGGACACAGCGAACGCTGCAGGGCTCCGGGAACTTTGAACCACTGCTTGGATTGGGGATTTATACCCTACCCGAGTTGCATGGTTTTGCACAATATAGATATACGAATACATACGTAGACATATACATAAGCCCAATAATGGCTTGTATGTGTGTTCAAAGGAAATCGTTGTTTTCCATATGTATAAAATATGTATTCCATGTGTATACGTTGTTGTTGTTTTCTTATTTTTGTAGTTATGCAAATATACAAATTGAACCATGAATTAAATACAAACCCGACTTGCATTAATTGCCAAAAATACATGCACCACATGTGCGTATATTTGTATACATGTTGCGTTGTTCATGCATAACTTGCGTTGTTCATAAGTTTAACCCAGTGGCTTTTTAAACATAATTTTATATATACATGCTTGGATGCAGCCCAGGAGCAGTGTTTTGATGGGTGGTTCGAACTGGTGGTTCAAACATGGTTTCAGCAGCTCCCTTGCGCTTAGAACTCTGCCAGTGTGGCTGTAAGTCAAAAACCAGGGTAGCCCTAAAAAAGACCCCTGATAAATGGAACCGAGGACAAAACCTGCGGTCCCCTGGTGGTTTCATTTTGACCCACCCATGTCAGCAATATTTTGTTGGAAGAGTTGGCCGCCTGGACATTAGGTACCCGGACAAACACCCGCTATGTCACGGAGTTGTCCTTCAACCTGAGGCCTGACCTTTCTTCAGCCACAGTGACATCATGTCAAGCCTGGAAACTATGCGGCTGCATGCTGCTGTTGAGTGAAAAGCCATCTGGAATCCACACCGAGTCAGAAAGTCAAAGCAAACACCAGCCCTTGAACATTCTCATGGTGTCAAGCCACGGGGTCTGCGAAACTCTCAATGACCCTGACACTTGCAGAAACACTCGGATCCTGCAACGTGTTTTATCTCGCCAGCACGACAGGGCCGTTAATTCAAACCGAATTTTCGCACTTGGCATCAGCCAGGCGTGTCCACGGCAGCAGCACTCAGCATGCACTGCAGAACAGGTTCGCCAACAGAAATGGTCAACACATGTCAGCAAAATGGCAAAGCACGCATCTGTGATTTGACCATGCCAGAACCAAGGAGTCAAGGCGTCAAGGAGTAGAGTAGCCAAGGCATCAACCCAATCGTCAAATGACAAAGACAAATGCGAGAGGACCGCTGCCCCAAAAAATCAATGCCAGGCTTCGCGCAGCCTGAATTTGGCTATATTCCGATCCCATGGCCTTGCGTTGGTCGTCGATAGTTTGTCCGAGTGGGGAGGTCCCAAATCACAAAGACCACAACACAAGCCACGGCTTTGCTTGGACGCGTGTCACTTCTCATCAACCTGCGGGGAGCATAGGAACCCAAGTTGCTTCTAGGCTTGGTGGCACGCTGGGAAGCGCCAGCTGCAAGAGAAGAGGGAGGGCCGTGGTGCCAGCAAGGCGGACTGAGTGACATATCAACCTGAGCCTGCAGGGATAGGACCAGCGGGAGCCGCACAAACACAGTCCTTCCAAGACTTGAAACAAGGGACCCCAAAGTGAAGAACCTTCCACGCTTCTTGGACCGCCAGCCGCAAACCAAGTAGAGGACCCTCATAGCTTTCGCTACAAACACATGGCAGGAGAACGGCAAAACGGAAGCCACGGCCCAACTTGAGATGTGCAGATCCTTTTTTGGAGGTTGCCCCGATTGTTTGGCGGTTTGAATGAGAAAAAAACACACCCGTTTTTAGGGTCCCAAAAAGATTCACCCACGTCCGGCCAAACACCCCAAAAACCACATGGCCATGGGTCAACAACCCGTACCCCCAGTGAACATCCCAATCCCGATCAAAATACCCAAAATGGTAATTACCATTGGCTTTGACCCACAGCCAATTTTTTTGGGCTTGCGATCGCAACCGAACAAAGGAAGCCACGCCTCCAGCACGGAGACGTGCCGCTTCGCATGGCCCACACTGCAGGCATGGACCTGCACGTGGGCGGGGGCTTCCCCACAAGTGGTCTCCTTCCGGATGCTACACGCATGATTGTCCTTGGTGCAAGCTGGAACCTGTTTGTTTCGGACCCCCATCAGCCCCCCGCACCGTTTCTCATCTGTTCATTCCAAGGGAACAAGGGAAATCAACCAGGAAGCTCCAAAAAGAGTCCTCCTTCTTAAAAGGAGTTTCGTCGTTCCGGAGCGAGGGGCCTTTTTAATTCCATGTCGAAATGACCACACCTTCGTGGGTGGAAGGTCCTGGCGACCAGTACATGTAAACGCCAAACCCGGGCGTTAAAAGCTATGGCTACCGACATCTGCCATCAGGGTTAAACCAATGGATGGGAGGATTGATTCAGACCAACTCTGAGCAGCCAGTTCCAGCCTTGGACGCAAAGCGCAAAGATGACAAGGTCTCCCCCAAGTGCTCCTCGAGACCAGCTCTGAGAACAATATTTTGGCCAACCTTCCGAAGCCAACAAAGGAACAGCCATTGGGTGTCTTCCTTTGAGGGTACCATGGCTACTCCCTTTTAGGTGCACCCATTTTAGGGGCTTTTTTAGTTTGAGACACACCCTTTCTTTCTGCAGGTGGAACTTGAGCGTTTTGAGGGGGGCTCGGTGGTAATCCAAGCTCTTGCGGCTCCCAAACCCTTCAATGCTTTTCCCACCCCGACCTCATTTTTTCGACGCAAGCAAACGGGGAAATGCGAGCTCGACAACCCCTGCCGTTCCGAATCCCTGCTTCTTTGTCCTGTGGGTACCTTGAAGACGGGTTCTCGACATTACTCTTGGTTGCTGTTGACCCCTCTGCAAAAAGTTTAACCTTTTGTGGCTTCAGTGGGAAACCTCCTGATTTCCCCAAAAGTTAAAGTCCAAAGATCCAGCCCAATAGCGATCAAGTACTTAGGGTGGGACTCCTTCGAATGTCAACACGGCAAGTTTGAGGATGTCCCGGCCCATGCGGCATCTCCTGCAGCGGGGACACGTTCACAAACCTGAGGCCCATGAATAAATCAAGCAAACCATAGGGAGACCCCCTGATTGGTTGTCTCCCTTTGGCATCTCAACCAAGCTGAGAGATGCGTACCCACAACAAACACTCAGATAGAGTAAGACAAATCTGAGGAAGGCTATGGGCAAATTGGTCGCAAACCCTCCGAAGAAGGCCGCCAGGATCGCCAAGCCAGCAGAACTATGGATTTGTCTCCAAAATGGGAAGCCCCTGGGTGGTTTCCAGTAGGTTGGCCCATGGAGTATATAGCCCCAAAGGTTGCCTGCCAAATTTGCTTGCGCAAATCCTCTGAGTGAGGCACATGAGTGTCTTGGAGTCACCGCCCAGTGAATCTCGGAGAAGCATGGTCAGGCGAGAGTTGCGGAACCTCAGTAGGTTGAGGCCACTGGCCTGAGAAATTGAGGCAGTCGGGCTGGCCACGGTGTCAACCCTGGTCTTAAAAGTGAACTCTGCCGGATGGATTATCAAGGTGTTTGCCATTCAGGCGGTTACGAGTCCGTCGCCGTGAATCCTTTGAGCCATGGCACGAAGCACTGCTTGTCTGTTGACTATGCGCCTTTGTATCCGCGAACGGCTCGCAGCTCGCAGCCCGCCCCCTTGCAACGCCGCAAGGACGAGCTCTGGACTCGCGTGACTCTCGCGCGCGCTCACATCACGTCCAGCGTGGTCAGCAGATCACGTTGGCGAAGCACTCCAGGAGCTCAGGGGCTTGTGAGCTGTCCTTGGAAAGAATGAGCAAAAGCCTTCTCTCTCTTTCTCTCTCCCTCTCCCTTCTCTCGCTCTCTCTTTCTCTTCCTCACTCTCTCTCTCTCGGTCCATGCTCCCTCTCCCTTTTCTCGCTCTCTTTCTCTCCCTCTCCCTCTCTATCTATACTCCCACTCCCTCTATCCTCCATCTCGTTGTCTCCCGCTTTCTCTTCCGCTCTTCCTCCCTCTCTCTCTGTCTATCTCTCTATCTATCTATCTATCTACCTATCTATCTATCTATCTATGTATGTATTTATCTATCTATCTATCTATGTATTTATCTATCTATCTTTCTTTCTTTCTTCCTTCTCTCTCTCTCTCTCTCCCTCTCTATCTATGCTTGTCGGCAAAACGTGATAAACGCGACGTGGCTGTTTGTCTGTCTTGTTTTGGCAAGGATACCTCTTGTTTGGTGGTTTTACAGGAAAACCGCAAGGAAAACCGCATTTTTTGAGTCCCCCTCTCCCTCTCGTTCTCCATCTCCTTCTCTCCCGCTTTATCTTTCTCTCTCGCTCTCTCTCTCTCTCGCTCTGTCTCTCTCTCTCTCTCTCTCTCTCTCTCTCTCTCTGTCTCTTCCTCCCTCTCCCCCCTTCGGGCCATGGGATTCCCCCGCGCCAGCACGTAGCACCCGAAACGCAGGGTGTTTGGAGCCATCTCATTTGAGGGGACAACGTGAATTGGGCTCCATGTTGGCCTGCAGGGGTGCTTGCCTCCGCTGAGCCGCTCAGCAGCTTAACGCCGATCAAGCGATGCGCCGTCCATGTCGTTGTCAACCTTGGCTGCAGGAGCAGTCATGTTGTGGCCAGGAACACACCAAATAGCAAAAACTCCTAAATGTGTTTCACATCTCAAATGCCAAAGGAAGCTTAACAAGGACTTCCGTAGTACTGCAACAATTTCATCATTTGATGGTTGCTGAGGTGATGTGCATGTGGTGTGCGCACATTGCGGAAAGGCCCCAGCTCTTGCATGTGCTAGCTCTTTTGCGGGGGTCGATCTTCAACATCTTGGGGTGTGCTTCACGTTGCTAATTTTCACATGCCGAAGAGAGAGGGGGCGAGAGAGAGAGAGAGAGAAATCTTGCAAGAACAAACAGAAGAAAAAGAGAAGAGAGAGCGAAAAAGAAGCGCGCTGCAAACTATGATGTATCTTATATCTTCAAAACTTCCGCACCTCGGCTTGTAATGAGCTGCATGAAGGCCTGGTTGCTCCGATCAACCTCCCCTGTACTTCCTCCATGTGTGGCTGCATGCCCGCTCCATTCCAATTTGGCTGGGCCGGCGGACGCGCAACCAAGGAGATTTAGGATGTCTTCCCGAGCAGCAGTGGTCAAGGATTTCCCCGAAACCACTACTAGACCAGACTCAGCAGAAAAATACGCTTCTTCGAGGGCGTATTTACCCCTCCCCTCATTGACCCTGCTAGTTGCCCCTTCTTTTCAATGTCGAAGCAACTGAACCTAATACTTCCCGTGAGACGGCACGAATATCTTGCGAACTCTTGGCAAAGAGCAGCATCTCGAAAAGAAGTGGCGGCAGCACCTACCCCTCTCAGGAACCCAGCATTTGTGGTTGACACCTGAATGCAAATTTCTTTGAGGAGCCATGTCAGAGAGAGCTTGCAAAACTCGAACTTGCCAAGAGGCTGTCATGAAGTACTGCTGAAACTCGGGAAAGGAAATGAGGCCGTTGTGGTTAGCGTCTAGCTCCTCTACCATCGCCTGAGTAAATGCCGTCCGTGTCACATTCACTGATGCAAATGCTTCACCAGTGGGCAGGCGTATGTGTCAAGCAGCGATGGCATGAGCCTAAGCAAAGCACCCTCTTGTGCAGATCTTGGTGGCGGCACGACTAGCAAACCTGACTCCCCTGCAGAATAACACGAACACAAAAGGGGGTCCAACAAAAGAAGGGGTGTAGGGTTGCATGCTGATTTGGAGCCGGGAATGAGACTTCTGAATGGAAACATCATTCTCCAACCTTCATCTTCGAGGAACTTGGCCCCGCTGCAGTCCCCTGACTCTGGCCCTTGTCATGATGGCCACCAACGGCCCGTGAGGGTAACACAAAACACACACACACACACACACACAGGTTTGCGCATCTGCGAAACTTCATGCCAAGCAAATTAATCAGGGGAGTTCCACTATGTGTTGGGTGTGCTTTATTTGCTGCATACCAGGCTTTTCTTGCAGCGTGTTCTTGGCCTCCAGTCGTTTCACATTGTGCATGGCGTATCACTTCCCTCAGTCTCCGAATGTGCTCTTGGTTGTGCCGACTTTTCGACTTTCACCCTCATCAGTTTGGAATGCGTCTTGACGAGTGCACGCTTGATCGCTGTTCAAACGTGCAGGCAAAAGTAAACACTCATTTTGGGGCAATCATGCGAGCGCTTTCGGCATGATGCGGAAAACACCTTGCTCATCACAGCGATTTTGTTGCAGTGGTCTTGCAAATCCTCTTCCAATCTGCGAGGATCATGACACAGAAATAGATTTGTGTAGATTTGCCCGCCCTGTTTGCCCTTGAAATGTTCTGCTGAATTCGCACGTGTCCCACTCACCTTGAAAACCTGAAAACCTTATGATTGTTCAGGTGGCCATCCTCGCTCCACGGCCTGAATCTGTAAAAACACGAAAGTTTCGAGCTTAAGATGTGGAATTCCCCAGAAAAAGACCTACATCATGGCTTTCCCCGGATTTTAACCCTTTGTTCCAATCGGAATTGCTCACCCTCGGCTCGGCCTGAATGGTCTTGGATCGGGGAAGGTGGCCCTCCTCAATCTTCCCGCTCACCAGCAGCTGCTCCACCTCCTTGCCTCAGAGGGCAGAAGTGCAAGCTGCGGGTCCGTTGCGCACCTCCGGGCAAAAAGTTTACCATGACACCCTCTAAGAACCAGGGGGTTTAAACTTTAAACGGCTGGTGAAAAAAGGATGGCAGAAAAGAACTGAGAATTACCCCCGTTCTGTAATCCCAGAGGTGCGATTCGCTGTTCCTCGGAGGGGGAAACCCCCTTGAAAATCAACCACCGAAAAAGGCGAAACCCCTTTCTTCGCTCTAGCACCTTGCTCGAAGGGTGGGCTTTCCCCATGATAACCAACGTTCTTTTCCACAGCCAGCCCTTTCTGCCTGGTTGTTTGGCGCATTTCTCCGGAAAGAAGGATGCCGGGAATAAATGGGACATTTATCTTATCTCAACAAAAGGAGCCTTTTCTGGCCTGAGAAGCCGTCCACACATTCCGCGGAATGCCCAAATTCTTGTCAAACGGACCAGGAAACATGACTCGAACTCGCCGTAATTTACCATGGCTTTGAGGTTGAGCGTGGTTGGCCTACCTGCACACATTGCACCCAGGCATCCGCCGGCATCCGCCGACTGCCGACCCTTTTTCGCCTTGCAGTCTGGGCGCAGTCCAGGTTCCCATTCGAGTTGGTGTCGAAATGGTGGAACGCCGTCTGCAGCGAGATCGCAAACAGCTCCCGCGCCGCGGGCAGGCAAACCGCCACAAACTCGGAGAACTCGATGAGCCCGTCCTGGGGCTGAAGGGTTCGAAGTTGCCACAGAAGAAAAGCTGGCGAATTAAACATGTGACCTGTCTCGATTGGGTCGCCCGTGAGGGCAACATGCAAACCGAAGCGCTGCATTTCGGCCGAGTGACTCCACTGAAGTCTGCCGCACACGCTGCCCGCTCTGCTTTGTCCGCCGGCACCTTGACAATTTCTGGCACGGCTCACTCAGCTTCTGAGCATCCCGCTGGGGCAGACCGACGGCCCCCTTCGCGGCCTCCAAGATGACAATGGGCTTCGGTTTCTGTCCAACGAGTGGTCAAAAACATTGCAGTCGATGTTGTTTCCTTGGTAGTTTCTGACCCGACATTTTCTCAGAGTAATTTTGTCACTTGCTGGCCTTGGGAAACAGCAAAATACGGCAAAAGGCTCGCCCCCCCTCCCCCCCCAAACAACTCAGGAAAAGGAAGGTTCTTCTTAGAAGGGTCTCTCTCAGAACCTGTCGAAAAAAGATCCAGGAGATCTCCGGGGCCATTCAGCCAAAGCCGCCTTCATCTTGACCAGCATGTCCACCAGCGCCTGCTTCTCAATGGCGCCAGATGCGTTGCGAAGCTGCGCCTCGTTTGGAGCCAAGCGCCAACACGCGGCATTAACAGCGCAAGTTGCATTCAGCTCAGCCACGGGGGCGCCATTTGCGTTCTGGTGAAAAAACCAAACCATACCAAACCCCTCATGTGGGGCATGCTGGCTCCTTGGGCGATATTTCCGGCGACCTCTCTGGCAAAGGGGAATCCCCTCATGAGCATGTTCCTTCTGTTTTCCTCTAAGTCCCCAACATTGGTATCCCAAGACTGGCCGAACCACGGCTTTTGAAACAACCCAAAGCAGGGTATGTCTTTGTCAGGTTGCCCCCCCCCCCCGAGAAAAAAAACAACAACAACATGCGTTTTCCTGTCTCCCCTTTAAGACCACCCAAAAGGGCGTACCAGCACCGAGGCTCAAAAAAACCACACCAGGGTGCCCTCACGCCACGGCCAGCCTTGAAGCGGCGGGCGAGCGGCTCCAGCAAACTCCCCGGCAGCTGGCAAGCGGCCTCGCACGCAAGGCGCGCAGCCCTGTTTGGGATGGCATTCCGGGGGTACATTTTGAGACAAGGGGATGATGGCTTTCGGCTTTTCAGTGTTGACACCTGCTTGAGAGAAAGTTGTGATGGCTGACATCTTGCGCGGGGTCTCATGGCATATTCTATTGGCTGAGACCCCCAGGAGAGGGGAAATAAAGATGATATCTTTTAACGGCCGAGGGAGCAAAAAAACACACCAGACCAACCCTTGGTTGCTGTTGATCCCTCCGCACAAAGTGTCACTTTTTGAAACTTCAGTGGGAAAAATGCTTGGTTTCCCACAAAGTCAAAGTCTCAAGATCCAACCCAATGGCGACCAAGAACCCCCCTGCCCCCTTGAACCTAGGGACTTCCCCACTTGGTTCCGGGCCTCCGTGGTGGCGGCCTGCCACCAGGTCCGGTGCTCCTGCTTCCCCTGGCGACAGGACAGCCCGTTGGTTGGTTTAGAGATCACCCCTTTTGTTCGCGCAAAAAAGCGGCAGACAGCGAGGAACACGGCAAAGCGTTGCGCAACTTAAGAAAGGCCACCTGGGAAGCCAAGGCCTGAACTGCACCTGTAGGTTGAATGGAGTTTCATGGAAAAGCGTCAAACTTGGGGGGCCTTTGGGGGGAAATCTGCCAAGCCGGTCTAAGGGGAAAAGCATCAAAATGAGTCCAAAAGGGTGGATGCTGTTGGGCCTTTGCCAAGGCCAGGCAAGACCTTTTTGGCGAGTTGCCCCAGAGGTGATGCTTTAGGGGGCAGGATTGGTTTCAGGTGCTGTCCATCCCAAACATCTCACCCTTCAACACACCTCAGTCACGCATTGGACCAACAAGTCATGTTTGAACTGGCTAAGGGGAATCGAGGGAAACATAAGGACCCCGGCATTTTGCGGGCACGGTCAATGGCGGGTGAACTCATGAATGACTACATTTACGGGTTCACCCGAGCTGGAACTGCTGCAAACGCATCTTCAAACACCGGTTCTCAGCAGGGTTTGGCAAGTTCCTGGCAGGTCTTGGATAGCTCTTGTTAAATTGTTGGTAAGTTCTTTGCAGGTAGGGCGCCTTCATAAACGCAACGGTTGTGCTTTGGAGCCAGGATGCAGATGCTGGTGCCAGGATGGCGGCAATCGTCTCCTGCAACTCTGGAGCAGCTGCCTTCTGAAACTACAGAAAGGGCTCGCTGAGCTAGCGGATTATTTGATTTTGGCTCAATCTTATTGACTGGCTTCTGCTGAAGGAGAAGCCTTTAGGTTTCAGGCTTCGAGGTTGGCAGTAGTTCATCATCCCCCTTTTGGGGAGTCGATCGATAGGATTCCTCTGACACCTGTGGTCCCTTGGCTTAATCTGCAATTCAGCTTGATTCGAGTCAAGAAATAAAACCTTGGGGCCAGGCCCGGCCAGGCCATCCCTCCACAGCTTTCTCTTTTCGAGAAAGCTGACATGCAGCACGCAAGGGCCAAGGACCTGTTCGCGAAGCAGGAAACCAACATGAAACCAACAACACATCAGTTGCCGAAACGAGTCAACTCTTAGGATCCAACCAAGTCAACTGAACCCAAGGCACAAGCAGCGGTGCCGCGCCCAACGGTCCTCTTTCGCCAGCTCTTGCTCTTCCTCTCGCATTGATCCCGGTGCGCAGGACAACCAGGTGGAATGAAAACACTCCTGCGCTGCTTTGCAAAGTCAAAAATGCTCGCCTCGCTCATGTCATAAATCATCGGATCCTCATCCCGCCCTCCCCCCGCCTCTAACCCCCACAATTTTGCTGGGTTCCTCCAATTCAGGCGACCTCTTTAGGGTAGCAGGGGACTGAGTCCTATGATCATGTGCATGCTTTTCAGCGTCCTCCGCACTCGGCCGCTTACTTTCTTCAAAGCTCAGCCTGAGCAAGAACCAAAGCCAAAGCCAAATGACAGCACGAGAAGGTTGCCACGCACATGGTCAGGCTTTGTAATCACCCTCTATCAGGCCACCCATGCGACCGTGGCACACCCCCAAGGTTCGGCCACTGGGTGAATTCAGTGGTAACGTCAAGTGCGCCCTGCAAACTTCTCGTGAGTTACAGTTTCCACTTTTCCCTCCCAGATTCCCACCAATCAAGGTTTGCCCAAAAACAACAACAATCCTTTTTTGGGCCTCCCCACCCCCCGGATTAAAGGCAGCCCCCTGCAGCCCCGAGACAAAAAAACCTGTCAGAAAAGGGGCTTTCCTTTTTGTTTAGCATTTGCCTGGTTTGCGCTTGAACCCTACTTTTGAAGGCATTCAGTTTGCCCCAAAAAGGCCCTCAAGCTCGCAAAGGGGCCCTCCCTTGCTTGGAGAGCCCGGAAACCCCCGCGATTGATCAGGGCCCCTTTCGGCTCAGCCTGTAGCCCAGAAGGGGCCAAAAATCGGGGGTGCGGGGGAGGAGGGGCCACTTCCAGCACGTGGGAATCTTTGTCATTAGGACCTGGTCCAAGTTCGGGTCTCAATGACTTGCCGAGTGTTCATCGAAGGTTGCTATTCTTAAACAATATATTGGCAACCACTTGGCCGTACATTTGTCGTCGCCTCTAGCCCCTTAACTTCCCTGGCTGGCCGCCACGATTGGCAAAAAGGGGCGCAAAGGCTGCCAGAGGCTTGGCCTTGAAGGGCGGGTACCCTTTCTGAGCTCGTCAAAAATCGTTGTTGCTTTTGACAAACTGTACTCGAACTGAGGCATTTGCTGCTCCTGCCTTCTTCCGAAACACGGGACAAGGAACGCAATTGGCACTGGCAAAAAACATTGTCAATAGGAGGTTTGGCAACCTGTTTGTGTTGTGGAGGGGCGGTTATTCTGCTTGGAAGTTCCTGGCGAGCAAGCAGAAGCTACCCCTGTGCCCGAGCAACTCTGCGCTGGCTTCGTGGGCATCAACGTTTGAGCCATGGCGCATGCGCCGCACCAGGTCGTGCACACCCAGGTTGGCATCCAGATACTTCATATTAGGGCCCTTCTTCTGCTCTCGCAGCAGGTTGCCCATCCCCAGGGGATCTCCCCTTGGCTGAAGCGGACACTGCGACGGGGCCCATTCCGAGGGCAGGCTCCCACTTGACCCTTCTGACGAACTGACGACACTCAAAAAGGGGTGACACGAAAGGTAGGATACCGTAAAGTGGCCCGCCTAATGAGAGGAAGGGGCTTGCATCGAAGGTGCGCTGTAGCTCAACAGCTTGACTATGTTAAGAGGCAATTTTCATTCCGCGACAAGGATGTACTTGTTGACCATGTAAATTGGGCACTAATGAAGCGAGCAAGGACCAGGTGCACCGTGACTTGACGGCCAAAACAGGGCGAAAAGCGGACCGAAGTGTGAAGCGAAGCGAGCAAAAAGAGTGGAAAAGGAGCGAAGCTGCCAATCAGGCACGCAGGGGGGGGGGGGGGGCAGGGGGGCGGCAGAGGGCGGACCGGGGGGGAGTTGAAGGGGGGGGGAAGCCAATATTTGGTTTTGCGGCCAGGCCAACCCCCAGACCCCCGCCAGTCTAACCTTGTGAGGCTACCTTTCGTGACCTGTGGGGGGCATCCAAATAAGTTTCCTCTTGAAGGAACCCCCTGTCAGGTACCGGCAACGCGGGAGGGAGGGTAGAATCCAAGCTGCGTCAGCCCGGCTGGGGCGCTAACATCGCGGCAAAGGTTTTTAAAAGGACGTGTCGATGTTTCTGGCCAAGGTCAGCCCTAAACTCACCCATCAGCAGCCTGGACATCAGACCTTTGCCGAACCTAGATGAACCCCAAACTCCACCCAAGACCCGCCCTCATTGAGATCTGGCCGAAAACTATCCTGCTTGAACCAGCCCCAAAGCAACTCCCGACTGCCACCAAACCAGACCCAATAGGCAGCCCTAGGACCGAGTGAGTTCCAAAGCCACTTCTAAACCAGCCGCACACCTAGCACAAATATTCTCGAAGCAAACCCCGACCTCCTCAAAGTCAACCCAACAGCAGCCTGAAACCAATCCAACTGCCACCAAATCAGGGCCAACAGGCAACCCTAGGTCCAAACGAGGCCGGTGAAGCCGGCCATGCGGCCAACCAACCAACCACACCGCCAAACCAACCAAGCAACCAACCCACCCACCCACCCACCCACTGACCGACCGACCGACCGACCGACCGACCGACCGACCGACCGACCCACCCACCCACCCACCGACCGACCGACCGACCGACCGACCGACCGACCGACCGACCCACCCACCCACCCACCGACCGACCGACCGACCGACCGACCGACCGACCGACCGACCGACCCACCCACCCACCCACCCACGACCGACCGACCGACCGACCGACCGACCGACCGACCCGACCGACCGACCCACCCACCCACCCACCCACCGACCGACCGACCGACCGACCGACCGACCGACCGACCCACCGACCGACCGACCGACCGACCGACCGACCGACCGACCGACCGACCGACCGACCCACCCACCCACCCACCCACCGACCGACCGACCGACCGACCGACCGACCGACCCACCCACCCACCCACCCACCGACCGACCGACCGACCGACCGACCGACCGACCGACCGACCCACCCACCCACCCACCCACCCACTGACCGACCGACCGACCGACCGACCGACCGACCGACCGACCGACCGACCCACCCACCCACCCACCGACCGACCGACCGACCGACCGACCGACCGACCGACCGACCCACCCACCCACCCACCCACCCACCGACCGACCGACCGACCAACCGACCGACCGACCGACCGACCGACCGACCGACCGAACCGACCGACCGACCGACCCACCCACCACCCACCCCACCGACCCGACCGACCGACCGACCGACCGACCCACACCACCCACCCACCCACCCACCGACCGACCGACCGACCGACCGACCGACCGACCGACCCACCCACCCACCCACCCACCGACCGACCGACCGACCGACCGACCGACCGACCGACCCACCCACCCACCCACCGACCGACCGACCGACCGACCGACCGACCGACCCACCCACCCACCGACCGACCGACCGACCGACCGACCGACCGACCCACCAACCGAACCAGACCTAGGCCAAAACCTGACCTAGCTATGTTTTCTCGAATTGACATCGAACAACTGCAAGTCTCCAGTCTTTCTCCCCCCGCTCGCCGAATCTAAGGTGGGTCTCCTCTTGGACTGCTGTGCTGTGCAGCTATGGTTCCGACCCGGCTTGCCAGTGCAGAAGGGGTAGGGGTACATTGCGGCCTGCCCTGGAGTCTGTATTGGGTTCTTGTTGAAGGCCGCATAGAGCATGCACCCCAGGCTCCAAATGTCGCACTTGTAGGAGAAGTCCCCTCAGCATGGCACTCGCATCCTCAAATTTACCCACTGGTGGTTTCAAGGGAGTTCCCAGCCCCATAAGTGCCTAAGAGTCCTCACAAAAATCTCCACTTGAAGGGACCCGGAAACGTGCAGGAACAGCACTTGTACGAGAAGTCTCCTCGGGATGGATGCGAGCCCACGCACCAAAGCCGGTAAACGGAGGTCGAAAACAAATGAGGGCGCATGAAAAGGGCCTCCCTCAGCATGGCACCAAACACTCTGCGGGGGAAGTTCATCCAGATTCATCCATGCACATTGAACCCCTGGTAGGAAAGGCAAAAAGAAACAACTAGGCAACGGAACAACTGAGCTTGAAGAAGCTGCGTGGTTGGGATGGTGTCAACGGCTCACAGCATAACTGAGCTGGGCATCAGGGACCTGGGACCTGATATCCACAGAAAGGCCCCATTTACATTGTAGGGGAAGTTGAACATCAATTTGGCAGAAGGCACCAGACCCCAGAAAACAGCTTGAACCAAGCATCCTGCTTCATAAAATGAAATAGTACACTGTCAGTGCGGAAATGCAGTGCTTCTGATCCTGCTGATAAGGACAGTCGCGGCTAGACCTGCCCCACACACACACCGAACAAAACGGACAAAGTCACCCAGGGCCTGAGAATGGAGGCCCTTCTTGGCCCCCAACCGATCGTTTGGGCCCAAAGCCAGAATGCAAAATGGAGGTCAGCCACCCCGAAGTCAGAGATCTTCCCAAGTTTCGAGACATGTTCGGCAAACCTGCTGTTTCAGCTCCCAAGACATGTTGAAACAGGTGGAGGGAGAAACATGCCCGCCCCCCCCCCCCCCCCCCAAAGTGTCCACGGCACCCCCACCCAACCCCTCCCCTCCCCACCCCCCAAACCCCTCCCCACCCCCCAACCACTCCCCCCCAACCCCAACCCTCCGGTTTCCTCCCCTCCCGGCCTGCCAGGACCTCCGGCGCCATGGTGGGCAGCGAGCCAGAGCGCTGGCGGCAGCGGCAGGGCTTCCCGTGCCGGGGGCCGAAGAGCCTCAGATCCCCCGAAAAACCGCCCGGCGCCCGGCTCGGAGCGGCGACAAACGTGTGGGGGGCGGGGGGGGGGGAGGGGGGGCGCTGATTCAGAGGTTCTGGGAAAAATCGGTTGAACATGGTGATAACATGGTTGCAACAAACAGATCTCGTCAGGGTGAGGTGAAGTGTCGGTTGCTGCGATTTGGAGGATGTTACAGTCTGTTTGCACCAACATGCAAGGTTGGGCCGTTTGCCCTGACTCAAACCAAGGGTGTGCCTTCAAAGGCCACCGGCTGAAAGGCCGAAAGGCTGAAAGGGGTTGGCAACTGGGACGCAGATGGACGTAGGCCCGCCACCCGGAGAATGGAACCAAGTGAATCAAAGCAGCTCGGCAAGGCCCACGTCGATAATGACAATGTTGATGTCTTGGGCGCCTAACCAATTCAGAGTGGCTGGTAGGTCTTCTTCCCTTTCTAACTCCGGCGATCAATGCATCCTGCTAAGATTTGGCACCTGCGAAATCGCAGGAAACATGCATCGCCAGTTGCTGAGGTGCCAGGAATTCAAAAAAAGTTCAAAATGCGAAAACAAAGGTTACAAGTGGCTTTGGGCAACTGAGGTCTTACTGTCTGTGAGCCCTTGGCTTGGCTAGGCCCCCGGCGAGACTTCTCCGTGAGCTTGTTCCTGACATCCAGAGTTACAAGAACCAATCCGGCTTCCTCGCGCCGAGTTGCTGCAGCAAAATGTTCTGGAACTTCAGGTCCTCGCATGGAGCACCAACACCGGCAGGCCAGAAACCCTAGATCCCAAGTCTTTTCCACCTTGAAGCCTAAGTCCCTTTGGTCACGTCTTAAGCCTTCAAAGGGAAACATGGGCAGCCCTGGCAGCCAACACCAATCGAAGTGGACGAGCACTTCACGTCCTTATGCATAACGCCCTTGCTGTGGCAGTAGCCGATGGCATCTGTCGCCTGAGCAGATGCCAAACCACCCCCGCGCAAGTAACGCACCAAGCATGAGAAAAGTTGCCATGCTGACAAGACCAGACTTGCGATCTTGATTCCAAACTTGGGTACTTCAACTCAAGGCTAAGTCTGGTGCGGACACAACTGGCTGTGAGAGAAAAACCGGTCTTGGACCAAAAGCGGCTGGCCTGGTGGAAAATGCGACGGACCCACAGCTGAGGAAGAAGCTGCCGCTGCAAGAACGCGTCCTGGCCGCTGGCTGAAGAGAGTACGGCGAAGATTGCACGGAGCAAAAGACACGCAGCAAAAGTTATTTCAAGGGAGGCTCTGCCAACCTGGCGCGAAGCCACGAACCTTGGTAAAAGCTGCAAAGCGGGCAGCTTGGGCAGATTTGGTCTGACCAGCTGGGGGGCATCAGCCAGCATGGCCCCATGGCATTATGACAGCCTTCTGGCCAACAAACCAAAGCAACATGCTACCAACCCAGCTCTGAGCTGCTCCACCATATTCACTCACCGTTCCGAAGCATCCGAGACGCAACGCAGCGTGTCCAATAGCCATGCAAAAGTCCCCAGCCAACAGCCTTTTACGATGGTTGACACCAAACGCGTTTGGGCGGGGCGGGGGGATCTTGGAACTCATGACAAGCGAAAAGCCAGCACCAGCCGGCACCAACCACAACTAAAGACCATTAAAGCAGATCACAAATCACAAGTAGCAGATGGCGCGCAATCTATCTGTCCGCAAACTAGGCTTCCGCAAAGAAACCTAACATGCTCGGCTAGATGCGCCACCTCCCAGGTAACAAGGAATCCTTCACGATTGAGCGCGAACACACACACACACACCTATCAATCCTCAAAGATTTCAAAACCGGGGTCAGTATTGCTGTCTTTTTTGCGGGCACGGCCTTGCATTGATGCCCTTTTAGGCGTGCACTGATTCATCCACCAAGTACACTCCAAGTACGCACACCTGCGGTCGACAGCACCAAAACAAAAAAAAACACCCGACTCAGGTCACGAGTAAGCCACTGACACGCTCCCGCGCCCCTCACGTCCGCGCCCAGAAACCAACACCAAGAAGTTGGAGCAACACCAACGGAACAAGCACACCGGCCTCACGAAGCATCAACTGCATCAACAGCACCCAAAACCTGAAGTCATCTGAAGTCAGGGAACCAAGACCAAGTAAAGGACCTTCAGAGTGAGCTTGTTTTACCGCCAGAGCTCGCCACCAAGGCAGAGTTGCAGGAACCACGGTCTTTGGCGTCCTGGATGACCTCTTCCAGCTCACCTCCCCAGCACATATCGGTGATCATGTAGATGTTCTCGCTGTCCGCAAACCACTCCTGAGATCCAACGACTGGAGCCATGGTCAAAGGCAACTTAACGACTGGAGCATGACGGTGGTTCTGACCCTGCCAACATGCCAACCAATGCCATCAACGAAGCATAGCCTAGCCTCAGGGTGACTCTTGCACTTGCCCGCGGGCTCGACATTCAGCTACCCTCTAATTGCTGGATTCCATTGATGGTTTGGTGGTTTAGTGGTGGTTTCCCCCTTACTCTTTGCAAAACCCAGGCTTCAAATCCCCAAGCCAGGGACAAGTCTCAAAGAAACGCAGCACCCGGGGATGATCCAACAAGGCCAAGACCTTGATCTCTTCATCCAGGCAGGCCAGCGGCGAACCACTCGCCTCACTTGGCCAGACTCATTAGGTGCCCTTGGGGCGTTCAATGAGGGGCTGGTCATCTCTTGAGGGGTTGGTCACCTCTTCAGTCTGGCCTGGTTTTTGGCGCGTAGTTCTCATGCTCTCATGCATGTGACCCACAGACCACAGCATTTTCCCACCAAGGGTATGGCAAAGTTGGGTCCGTGCGCCTGGCTTTTGCGGGAGGTTCGGGTTGTCCTCCCAACGCCTGGCCTCCAGCTTCATCTTGTTCACCGTCTTCATCACCTGGGCACGGCGCCAATCAAGGCGCAACTCGGCGCCCACATTGGCCCAGCTCGCGGGCAAGCGGCGAGCCTGCCTTTTGGAAGGCCAAAAGACTGAAAACGGGCGTGACCTTCCATGGCTTTGAGGCTACCTGGCCCCGCATTCCAAAAACGAAGCCGCGCCAAACTGCTCGGTTTTCTTCCCTTGGCCGCTTCCCTGCGGCTCCGAGTGGCTCGCTGCAGGCCCGTGGTCTTTTCGGTCACGCCTTGGCACGCAGCTGGCTGCTGGACCGGGAAAGGGACTCCCTTGTGCATCTCCTTGTAGCGGGAGACCCGCCAAACAGAAGAACTGGGGTTGGTGTGGCAGGTGCCGAACCAGTGGCCGCGCATGAGCGTGATACATGTTTTGGGGTCGAAAGCAATGCTGCCACGGCGTGACCTCATCAGACACTGTATGAATAACCGTCATCCGGCGCGAAACCCTTGAATTCTGCTTGGGTATCCTGGGCCAAGAGCTCTCGGATTGCGCTGATGAAATGTCACCTATGATGGAATCCGCCAGCGACCATGCAGCGTAGGTCAACACGTGCGAAAACAAAGCTCCCAGCACATCACCCTACCTTGCGGCGTACAAGAGAGAAAATATGGAATTACAAATGACCCCTTCCCCAGCTTCATTTCTGAGGTGGGGAATGGCACGTCTGTCGCCAAGTGGCCGTGCACAATACCGAAGCTGCCAGTACCTGCCCAATGCAATCGCTGGGACTTGTCCAAGCAGTTTTGCAATTGACTCGGACAAACCCTGCAATGCTGTACATACCGCCTTGCAGCCTCTGCAACGCTGATGCCGCGTATTTGACACGAGTGCAAGCACATCATATCTTGCAAGAAAGAAAGCAGTGGAATCAAACATATTACATCAAGCGCACGCAATTTCGCCAAGGCCACACACCGGCGTGAAGCTGCCGGACGGGAATGCAACAGCTCCAGGGTGGACCGAGCCCCTCGTAACATGTTGCAACATCGGTTGAAACGACCTTTCCAAAAGCTTTCCCTTTCGAAAAGCGCACGGGCTGGCGTTTAAACCAATTTCTTGCCCCAGCCTCACCTCTCCACCTAACCCCCGCCTAAGAGGTCGTTGATGGCATAGAACTGCGCCGGGACCCCAGGCCTTGCAGACTTCAGCATCTCGCTGCGCGTGAAGTGCGGCGGCTTCAGATCTTCGTACTTTCGGTGCAGCGTCCACCTCCAAAGGGGGAGACATGGGCCGGGGAGTCCCGGCCCCAAACCAACAGTAGACCAACAGTAGACTATGAATATGTAAGTCTCTTTTGGAGGGTACCCCTTTTGTGAGGGTACCCCTTTTGAAACTTGGAGGGTGGTTTAATTGGGTAAACCATTTCGGGGGGGGGGGGGGGGATTACGGCCAGGCAGCCAAGTGGACTTTCCGCACTTGGGGTCGTCGGCTCAATCCCCAGGTCTGCAGCCATCCTTCTCATTTGGTCCCCGCCCACTGCTTTTTGCAAGTCTGCACGGAAACTGGGCGTAGCCAGCGGGAACCACTGCGTCTTCTTGAGGGAAAAAAGGGAAGGGGGGCGTTCCGGGGGCGGATCCTTCAAATCCATGCAAATTCAGGAACCCAGTTGTTCACTGCTAAGCCAAAGAAGGCTTCCTCTGTTTGGCTGGCCATTGGGCGCCCCGAACCCACCAAGCCAAAACAGGGTAGAAGCCTAAAGGGTGGGATCCACCAAAACAAACAGCGTGTCACACACGCCGGCTTTGGCAATTGAGGGGGTTCAACCACTCTTGTTTCAAAGCAGGGAATGACCCTTCTGTACCATCCCTTGTGGTTTCCTTTGAGGGGACTGGGTTCATTCCCACATCCCCTACCAGCAAGCTCGTTTCTCGACGGGTTTCAAGGGGGTTGGCCCTAGCCCACGCAACACACCTGTAGAGCTGCAGGAACTCTGAGAGCTCCAGAAACCCGTCGCTGCTGCGGTCGAAGCGCCGCATGCGGTTCCAAACCTCCGATGGGGTGAATCCAATCGCTGCGTGTCTTTGAGGGAAACCAACAGGGAAAAAACACCTTCTTCTCTCTTTTTTTTGGGGGGGGAGTGCCCCTATTTTGATACACATGCCCATGGATCAACGAAACTCACCTAATATAATGAGAAAACTACATCAAGTGAGGACACTGGAAATACAAACGGCATTGTTCAACCCCTTGTATCAAGTGGACTGGCCAAAAAGTTCCAACTTTGTGTCCCGCTTTCTTTGGTAGAGAAATTAGAGCGGTTGCCCCCTTCAAAAAAAAAGGTACTACAGGCCTGAAGCGACTCCCTAGAAAATGAAAGGGATGAGGTTGCCCATATCAACCCGATGAATGGGCAGCGTCGAAGCGATGAATCAGTAAGGTTCGCAGGTTGGTTGCACATTCCTGGATGCACACGGATGTTCAAACACTGTGGTTGCCTGACAAAATTTGCTTTTTGAAGGACATCTAAAACTACCCCGCTCCCCAAATATTGGTTTCAATCAATGAGCAGCCTGCAAATGATGTGTCAGTTGCTCAATTGTTGGCAGAACAACTTCGCTAGCTGAATGTCGCGGCCGCAGGGCGAGCTTCATCTGGGACGGCTCATCGTCGACCAGGGGAAGCCCAAGCTCCTCCGAAAGGCAATCGAAATTCAGGCACCGCTGTGTTTGTTTGTCTGACTGTTTGTTTGCCTGATTGTTTGTTTGTTTGATTGATTGATTGGTTGTTTGCATGCGTGCTTGCTTACTTGATTGAGTGGATTAGTTGATTGTTGTTTGTTTGTTTTGTGCTTGTTTGTGGGTAGGTGTGTTTGTGTGTTTGTGTGTTTGTGTGATTGTTTGATTGATTGCTTGTGTGTGTGTGTTTGTGTGTTTGTACGCTTGTTCAATTGACTGCTTGTTTGTGCGTTTGTTTTTGTTTCTTTGTGTTTGTTGTTTGTTTGCTTGTTTGCTTGCTTGTGTGTTTGTTTGTTTGTCCGCTCGTTTTATGTCTTTGCTTGAGTGATTAGTTGTTGTCGTTGGCTGTTTGTTTTTTGTTTGTTTGTTCGTTTTTTTGTTTGTTTGTTCGTTTTTTTTGTTTATTTGTTTGTTTGTTTGTTTGTTTGATTGATTGATTGATTGATTGATTGATTGTCTGTTTACGTGTGACTGTTTGTTGTGTTTGTTTGCCTGTTTGTTTGCTTTGTTGTTTGTTTGTTTCTTTGATTGATTGCTTGTTTGCTTGGGGGCCTGCTTGCTTCATTGATTGTTTAGTTGGCTTTCTGCTTATTTGTTTGTGCTTGTTTGCTTGTTTGTTTGTCTGTTTGTTTGATTGTTTGATTGCTGTTTCGTTTGTTTGATGGTGTGCTTGCTTGCTTGCTTGCTTGCTTGCTTGCTTGCTTGCTTGCTTGCTTGCTTGCTTGCTTGCTTGCTTGCTTGCTTGCTTGCTTGCTTGCTTGCTTGCTTGCTTGCTGGCTGGCTGGCTTGCTTGCTTGCTTGCTTGCTTGCTTGCTTTCCTGCTTGCTTGCTTGCTTGCTTGCTTCCTTGTTTAGTTCGTTGTGTGCGTTCGCTCGTTCGTTCGTTCGTTTGTTTGTTTGTTTGTGTTTGTTTGCTTGTTTGTTTGTTTGTGTTTGTTTGTTTGCTCGCTCGCTCGCTGGCTTGTTTATGTGCTTAGTTGTTTGTTAGTTTGTTTTGTTTTTTGTTTGCTTGCTTGCTGGCTTGCTGGCTTGCTTGCTTGCTTGCTGCTTGTCCGATTGATTGATTGCTTGCGTTTGTTGGGTTGCTTGTTTGCTCGTTTGTTTGTTTGCATTTGCAGTTGCATGTGTATTTGTACTTGTGTGTGTTTGCGCTGGTGTTCAACAGGAACAAAAGCCATGATGATTTGCTATGTTGTATCATTTTGCTTACGCCACTAGCTTACGCCACCTTACGCGCGTGGTGTTGTTCCTTACGCGACCACATGTGGAGGTTTTGCTTACGCCGCCAGCTTACGCAACCTTACGCGTGGAGATTTGGCTTACACACAAGTCGATATGACACAACCCTTGCTAAGCATGTACACGGAGGTTTTGGACGCAGCGCAAATGCAAAATGAACCCAATGCCATGTTTCTGGTCTCCCGAGATGGGATTCCAAGGGAATTGGGGGGGGGGTCCGTCCTGGTACAGCTGGGGCAGCAGCCGCAGCAGCTCCTCGTAGCTCAGGCGCCCGTCCCTGTTGGCGTCCGCCTGGCCAAATTCTGGGCGTCTGATGAGAGAACCCTGACAATGGGTGGTGCCCGCTGTACATTCCCATATAAACCATCTAAGCAAGGGCATCAGTCCATGTCGTAAAATAAAAAAAAAATGCCAATGTCTTAAAATCAGTCCGATGGTCCCTGGCCCCAAATTTGGAGGAGTCAAGCCCACCCCTGTTCAACCCCGCCCTTTCTTTGTTTAAGGCAGCCCAGGGTCTGACTACATCTTGAAAACATGCAACCCTGCCCGCCTTTCTGAAGACAACAGAAGCCATCTGCTCCGTGAGCCTCCCGATGCAAACATCCCCGCACAAAGCGGCGAAAAGTCGGCCCTGGAACATTCTGGTCAAACGACTTTTCTCACAAACCTGAAAATCTGGGAGAAACATCACTCCCTTCATCAAGGAGCTCGTTTTACCTAGTGAGCCGATAAGTTGACGGGTTGAGGTCTTTTGCACTGATCGGATCATCACGCTTTGCCAACCCAGCAAACAGGTGGGCTGCTTGAGTCCGCTCCCCCCAAAAAAAAATAGTTGAGGCTTTCCTGATGGCTTCCTATTAAAAGAAAGAAACCAAGTACCCTGAAACCAAAAGGCACGGCCACATATTGTCGCAGCCGGGCTCAGGTTTTTCGCCCAGAGGCGTTTCCAGCCTGGGGTTTGCGATTGCCAGTGCCAGCTGCCTTGACCCCAGGTCAGGCGCCGTGGGCGCGGTGCCGGACCTGCACATCCGGGTGGGTAATGGGAACCCCGAAACGTCTGGTGGATTGGGGGGGGGGGTTCCCCTTTTAGCGGGGCCCGGTTTATGAGGCCCGGAAACCGGGCATGCCTCGAGAACTCAGACTTTTTCAAAAGCCCGTCAAGCAAACTCAAGCATAGGTGGCCTTTTGCAAAGGATGGCCCTGGTAGATGGCAGCAAACTAAACCAGTGCCATCTTTTTCTATCCAAACTATCCTGGAAAGGACACCTATCAACTCAAGCCTTCCCAAGATTCTCCGAACCAAAACCCAACAAGCCTATAAATCTCGAGAAATTCTCCCCCGCCCCCTCCTCCACCCCGCCCCCTCCCCCTGAGCCCCAGGCGTCTCAGGCGTTCCGGACATGCACGCCGTGTAGGGCCCGCCCGTGGCCATGGCTGCGCAATCGCCGCGCTCACATGGCCCAACCCAGCCATGTGAGGCACATGGGAGCCGAGCCTGGCTGGCGGAAAAGCGCTCCCAAGCGCGCCTGACGCAGCCAAAAAACCCGACAAATGCTACAAACAAAAACCTCAACGGATGCGCAAGTCGAGTGCATTGGAATGTGTTTCATGCTATTGTGCCAGCAGGCAGAAATGGCAAGCAAGGTGCTTGTGCAGCCACAAGCCAGTCCGTCCTAAACTCAGGCTAATGCCACCTCGGATCTGGCGAAAGCTCGGGCGCCCTGCGGAATGTGTACCGGTGTCGGGCTCTTCTTCTCAGAGCTCTTGCGGCAGATGGCCTCCCACAGCGAGGAATTTTGCGAAGGCACGAAGAAGCACACCTACCCTCCCCCAGACTAACATGGAAGCTCCCAGGACTTGGGAAGACTTGGCTCCACAAAGGCCTTCTGGGAGCTTCCATGTTAGCCTGAGGGAGTACAAACCGTGAGCCTCCACCTCTCAACTGAATGGTCCTATACGATCTATACGGAATTGCCATCTTGGTTGAATCTTCCGTGTTGCAGCAGCTGCGGGCCTCGATCACGTCACCCAGTGCACAAAGCGACCTGGCTCGGTCGTGGTTCCAAATCCATCGCCAAAAGCGAGCTCTTCCCCCCTCTGTCACAGAAAGCTGTAGCTGGAAACATTGGCCCGAGATGCTGAGCCCCACAGGCCTGCCCAAAAACCCCATGCGTGCCTGTTGATGTGCTGGGCTTCTTTCAGCCTCTCACCACTGGCGCTGGTATGCGCCAAACCTCAAGCCGGACGCCAGCGCCGTCACTCGGAAAGCTGCAAAGCTGATTCGATCGTATCGGGCACATCTCATAGACGAAATCGAAGCAGGCCACGTCTCAGCGTTGTGACAAACATGTTGTTCGCGTGTGATTGCGTACGCGTCTCCCTCTCCTTCTCCCTCGCCCTCTCCTCTCCTTCTCTCTCTGTCTCTCTCTCTATCCCACTTAGCAAGCACCGCCATGGCGCGAAAGCACAACTGCAAGGCAGCAGCCTGGGAACCTGACGCTCGGAGCCTGCAAGGTCCACAAACGAGAGGAGCCCAGACCTCAGCGCTCGCGAGCGCTCGGGGTACAACCTGAAGACCAGGTTGGCATGTGGGGGTTAGGATTTCCATTTAGTGGGACATATCATCTTTTTAGTCATTTCCACAGAAATCATCCCATCTATGTATATATATATAAAGATAACATGTTCATCAGCCCCCATATCTCATTTTGAGTTCACACCAACTGCAAATTGGATAAACCCCCACACGTCCATTACGGCGGCCAAGGCCAGCACACCTCGCGCTGCTGGCCTATCACAAAGCTCCACCAATCAATCCCACTCCCATGGGAGGTGTAAGGAGTCGACTCAAACTGGGCTCAACATGCGGCAATCCTTATCCAGGGCCGCGCCCGGATTCGGAAATTCGGAAACCAAAACCGGGATTTGGAAACTAAAACCCCGGACGGGGGATTGATCCTATATCCAGAACCCATCGCGTGAGCCACGAGGACCACGTTCATGCAGGGTTCAATTGAACCTGGGTTTCTGGCCTTATGCTTGACCAGAACCTCCCCGCCTGGCACTGTGCAGCGGCCAGTCAGTGCCAGCTGAAATACCTAACTCGGAGGTCACGGAAATTCCGAGCCGCGCCTGCAGAACCTTACGGGGCCTGATCGAACCTTACGGGGCCTGATCGAACCTTACGGGGCCTATGCCTCCCCAAGCCCAAGAAGGTCAAGTCCAATCGATCTCTGGGCACCGCATGTGATCGGCTGGAGCGCTCATTGGCCGATGTGGATGCAACCTCAGCTTGACAAAAATCGCCCATCTCCGCGTACTTTCGTTTTTTGCCTACGTCCTGTCGCCTGATGCGGGAGGCGTGCACGCGCGCGAAATACTCTCGACGGTCGGGCACCCCATGTGTCCTCCTGACAGTCCCAGCCAAAACATGAGAGCTGAGGCATGCTGCATGATGTTCTCCGTCGTTCCGCAGCTGAAAGCCATAGGGGCCCTATCCCCAAAGCACATTGCGGCGGCTGGGACCAAGATGCATACAGGAGATGGCCTGTGTTTATGCATTCCGCCAAACAAGTTGGAACCACCTCTTTCAACATCCGAATGCCATTCTTCAAGTTTTCGGGGTCTATGCTGGCCTTATTCGTTGCCGGGTGAAGGATTTGCAGGACGAAAAGTGGCATCCTTCAGTTCAGCAACTCTGAGCTCCAGGCGTGTCGCTCACGGCTAGCTCGGCGCAAAAGCTGGTAGGTGGCTGCAGCATCTCCTTGGGTGAAGCATAAATGAGCGTTTCTCAAAATAGTGGTCCCCCAATGGTTGGGTTAGGCACTAGCCTTGTGTCATTCAGCACTAGGGTGCTATGAACAAGCATCCAAAGATTGCAGGTGAAGGTTGGGTTCCTTTTGGCTTCCCTTTCAACACCAACCAAAAGGGGGTCCACCATGTTCAAAACTTCCTCAATATGGCTTGCTGGTGGCATTGCAATTGTGTTGTGCAACTCCCCCCCCCCCAACGACAATCTTGCGCTTGCCGTCCCCCAAGAAGCACGCGCAAGGTGCACTGCTGCCTTTTCTTTTGCCACAAACTGGAAAGCTTTCGAGGCTCTCAGGCATGCCGGGGTTGCGTCTTGCCCGGAGACAAGCCTCGCATGTTGGGGCTCAAAGGCTCAAAGCTTTGCCAAGGCTCAAAGCTTTTGGGTGTGTCTCTTTGATTTGGGGCTCCCCGAAAATGGCTTCGGCTTTCCCTTTGGTCCCCCCCGAAAGAATTCTAGGTCACAAAACCTGTGCCAAAATGGCTCTCCCCCCGGAAAAAAAAATGTATTCCTTGGGTCAACCCCCCCCCCCCCAACAAACTAGACGACGAGTGGCCCGGAAGCATAGAGGCAAGTTGATGCAGGTGAGGTAACTCTCGCAAAGTTAGTATGAGGAGTTGGCAGGCGAAGCAATTCTCAAAAAGTTGGCATGAGAAGCTGGCAGGTTAAGTAACTCTCGAATAGTTGGCTGGCAAAGTTGGCGGGTGAAGTAATTCTCGCAAAGTTGACATGAGAAGTTGGCAGGCGAAGTAACTCAAGAGAAAAGTTGGCATGAGAAGTTGGCAGGTGAAATAACTCTCAAAGAGTTGGCATGAGAAGTTGGCAGGTGAAGTAACTCTCGAAAAGTTGGCGTGAGAAGCTGGCAGGTGAAGTAATTCTCGAAAAGTTGGCACGAGAAGATGGCGCGTGAAGTAACTCTCGAAAAGTTGGCGTGAGAAGCCGGCAGGTGAAGTAACTTTCGAAAAGTTAGCATGAGAAGTTGGCAGGCGAAGTAATTCTCGAAAAGTTGGCGCGAGAAGTTGGCAGGCGAAGTAACTCTCGAAAAGTTGGCAGGCGATGTTGGCAGGTGAAGTACCTCTCGAAAAGTTGGCATGAGAAGCTGGCAGGTGAAGTAATTTTGCGAAAAGTTGCCACGAGAGGTTGGCAGATAAAGTATTTCTCGAAAAGTTGGCATGAGAAGTTGGCAGGTGAAGTAATTCTCGAAAAGTTGGCAGGTGAAGTTGCCACGAGAGGTTGGCAGGTAAAGTATTTCTCGAAAAGTTGGCATGAGAAGTTGGCAGGTAAAGTAATTCTCGAAAAGTTGGCATGAGAAGCTCGCAGGTGTAGTAACTCTCGAAAAGTTGGCATGATAAGCTCGCAGGTGAAGTAACTCCTCGAAAAGTTGGCACGAGAAGTTGGCAGGTGAAGTAACTCTCGAAAAGGTGGCATGAGAAGCTGGCAGGTGAAGTAATTCTCGAAGTTTCGGCATGAGAAACTGGCAGGTGAAGTAATTAACCCTCAAAAAGCTGGAGCGGCGGAGGCGCTCCGCGTGCTACATTTGCAATTTACAGTTGCGATTTTCCAGCCATTTGTATCTAAAAGTTGCGATTTTCCAGCCGGAGCTGCGGGAGCAGCGCTCCGCGTACTACGTCTGTACTTAAAAGTTGCGATTTTCCAGCCGGAGCTGCAGGAGCACGCTCCGCGTACTACGTTTGTACTTAAAAGCTGCGATTTTCAAGCCGGAGCTGCCGCGGACCAGGGGGGAATCGAACCCGGGACCGCGGGATTGCGAAAGCAGGCGCGCACACGAGACACACAGCGACGCGAGCAGAAAATCGCGGGCGCCACAGCGAGAGCGCTTCGACACGCACGATCTCCGCGAGCGAGAGCGCTTCACACGCACGACGACGCAGCAGCCAAGCGCACTTCGAGACTTCGACACGCACGATCTCCGCAGAGGGTTCGCCAAGGTCAAGACAAATTCGCACGCGCCACAGCGAGAGCGCTTCGACACGCACGATCTCCGCAGCGAGGCGTTCGCGCGCGCTCAAGACAAATTCGCACGGCGCCACAGCGAGAGCGCTTCGACACGCACGATCTCCGCAGAGGGTTCGCCGCGCTCAAGACAAATTCGCACGGCGCCACAGCGAGAGCGCTTCGACACGCACGATCTCCGCAGAGGGGTGCGTTTCGTAAGCTCCTGTCGGGCCTACCCCCGCCAGAAAAAGAAGAAGAATTAAGAGTCGAGAAGTGAAGGTAGAACAGAAAAGTTAGCTTGTGTTTTTAGGATAGTGAAGTAACACCCGACAAATTAGCTTGTGCTTTTAGTAGAATGAGATAACAGCCGAAAAGTTGACATGAGAAGTTGGCAGGTGAAGTAACTCTCAAAAAGTTGACATGAGAAGTAGGCAGGTGAAGTCGAAGTAACTCTCGACAAGTTGGCATGAGAAGTTGGCAGGTGAAGTAACTCTCGACAAGTTGGCATGAGAAGTTGGCAGGTGAAGTAACTCTCGACAAGTTGGCATGAGAAGTTGGCATGTGAAGTAACTCTCGACAAGTTGGCATGAGAAGTTGGCAGGTGAAGTTGGCAGCCGCTTTTAGAAGAAGAACCCTTCGCAATGCTTCCGGGAAAAAAAAAACACAAGTGGCGCCACCAAAAAAGACCGACCCATTTGGCACCCGCCCCGCCTTGCAGCTTCTTACACGCCTCTGGGCTGAGCTGTGGCTCCGAGGAGCAAAAGCGCCGCCAAAGGACCTGAACCGAGGGCGGGTTTGGGATATATCCGTTGAGGTGTGCATGGAGAAAATCCGCTCAGTTGGGAGGGCAAAGCCCTATGAATAGCGAGAGAACCCCTGATCTCGCGCCTGTGGATTTTGTCTAGTGCAGCCAACTGATCCTTGCCCCGTTAGGCGACTTTCTGTTTGGTGCTGCCTGTTGATTTAAAGGCCAGTCACAAGGACCCACCCACCGCTTTACCCGGCGTTTGAGCACCCATAATCCTTTCTTTTCATGGTTTAAGCATTTCCTTCGACTCATTCCAACCTCATTTTGAAAGTGATAAATAGGTGGTCTGGAAAGCTTGAAAACTTGCCCACCCTTGTGCTGCACTTTCCTTCACGGGATTCCAGGCATTCTGGACTATTTGGGCCATATAGCAGAGAAGCATCCAAATAAAAGCATCCAAATAAAAGCCTCGAAGAGAAACCAAAGCGCTGCTTGGGCAGGCTTGTGCAAATCGCCCTTACGAAAACCAATGAAGTTTGAAACGAACATGGTTCAACCTTAAACCATGTGACCTGGTCTCAAACCAACAAATGTATATATATATATATAATATACATATCGAATCACGCGGCCCAAAGGTTCGAGCCTCGTACTCGGAGCGCTTCAACTTCTGCAGCTTGTTCCTGTGGCCCCGCCCCAAAAAAGGCGCGCTCCTGGCCGCGAATTGAGATCCAATGTGCTCTGGGCAATAAGAACGGGGCGAACAATGGCAGTTTGAGTTCCTTTGAAGCAAACCCTCGCCAACCCCGCGCACTTGCAAGAGACAACCAGAGACTTTGGGTGTCCACTGAGCGCTTGGAATCAAAGAATTATCCAATTGATGGCTTCTAGGGCAACGTCGAAAGTGTCTTGTGCTACGCACCCATGCCATAAGCTTCATGGAAACATCTGCACGGCCCGCATCTTTGATGCCAGGGGGCCCGCTCAGGCCAGCCTGAGGCAAACGCCGGGCTTGGTGACGCCGCAATGCCCATCTAAACCAACCACAGTGAGGGGACTTTGGTGTTTCAAGCCCAGATCTGCTTTTCGACCTTCATTTGGGTGTGGGTCAAAAATGGGTACCTCAAATGGAACCCTAGTAAATGGAAACCGGGACCAAAACCTGCGGTCCCCTGGTGGTTTAATTTTGACCCATACCCATTTTACCTTTTGGTTTAAGGGCCCAACCGCCCGCCGAAGAAAGACGGGTTGGGCCCCGGCAGAAGCCTCACATGTCTCTGGCAGACTCAGCGCAAGGCGAGGCCCGCATCGCGCAAGAACTCGGCGGAAGCCACACTCTGCAGCAGTTGCAGCGCAGCCTGGCCGGTGGCGAGGGGCCAAAAAGGCAGGGGCTGGTTGTGTAAGTCGGTTTGTGAGTTTAGAGCCTTTCACAGCTGACTTCCTGAGCCACAACCAATAACATAACACTTAATTAACAAATAAACTAGGGGTTTATACCAGGAGTTCGTACATCAACATATACATTCAGCCTGTGAGAGGAGGCAAAACTTGGTTGCCGTTGACCCCTCTGCAAAAGATATTTAACTGTTTGTGGGTTCACCGGAAACCTCTTGACTTCCCAAAAAGCCAGTCCAAAGATTCAACCCACTGACAATCAAGAAAAGAGCTTGTCAGTCTAGGGGTGGTCACTCGCTAGGCGGTAGGCGCCGGAGCCTTCTGGTCGGCCGGCAGTGGCGCGTCCTTGCTCAACACAGGCTCCTTTCAGGGCCAGCAAGTCTGACAAATCCAGCACTGAAAAACTAAGAACGCAAGCCAGCTGGCAAGCAAGCCAGCAAGCCAGGGAGAGAGCGAGCCAGCGAGAGAGCGAGCCAGCGAGCGAAACGAACGACCGCCGACCGACCGACCGACCGACGGACCGACCGACCGACCGACCGACCGACCGATAGACAGACAGACAAACAAACAGAAGGAAGGAAGGAATAAAGAAATAAAGAAAGAAAGAAAGAAAGAAAGAAAGAAAGACATCAGCGGTCATCAACGTGTAGTTTGTTCGATCAGCATCATGCTAAACAAGAATTGCAACGAGATCATCCCAAGACTAAACAGCGTCCTGGGCGACGGTCAACTCAGCCGCAGTCTTTGCAACCGGGCCTGGCCGAATAGCACAAAAGATGCCCGGCACACACCAAAGCCAAACTTCGACAACGCAAGGGAAAGAAGTCACACAGCGTTTCTCAAGTTGGGAAGCCACCCTTCTCTTTGTGTGTTGGCATGAAAGTGCACAGGAAACAAATTGGACAGGTAGAAAATCCAAACGCACAGACAAGGACATCTACACCCGCAAGGCCACACACCTTCATGAGCTTCTGATCCAGGCACCTCTTCCTTTACCTCAGCTCCGGCTATAGTCCTGGCACTCTCAATGGCGCTTTCCTTCCGTGTCCCCTTGAAGGCCTTGGCTTACATCAGCCGACCAACTAAAACAAAAACAAAAAACACGCACGCCTGCACACCCAATTCTTTCTTAAGCTTCATGTGCTGGACTCCCCCCCCTGATGCAAAACCAAGCCACCGGGACGCGACACCGCGGCTCAGGCTGCTCCGGCGCGGAAAGCGGCCTCTCCTTGAGCTCCTTGCACGGCAATCGACCAACTAATGATGTGGACTCAAAGTGGCTCGGGATTCCCAAGCCCAACTTGGGAGAAGGGAACAGTTCAACCCCAAAAAAAAAACGTGTTGGGGGTGGTTTCCCAAATCACCACTGGGCGGGGGTTTTTGAGGCTGTGAATTTGATGGACCCGGACCAGTGCACACGCGTGCCACGACCCGGTTGTGCACGTAAAGCTGTATTTTGCTTGTGCCACGTAAGAATCCCGCCAAAATGTGACATCACCCCGGCGCATACCCTCAATATCCCCGTCCCTCGCCCCATGTTTAAGGGGAGGGGGAGGGGTATCCCACAATTCAATTTTTCAGTCTTTCTCACGAAAGGGAGAAAACTACACATTAAGATCTCCAAAGGCCACCCCCATCACCTCCCCTTTCCCAGTCGGATCTCTCAATTGGCTTCGGTCCGGCCGGCCTGGTGCTCGCCTTGTTTCGGTGCAGGCTCGACCTTGGCCTCGTCCAAAGCGATGGCCTCTTCCGATGGCAACCTGACAGCCTCAGGCCCCAAGCTAGCAGCTTCTTGCTCGGCCTCCGACTGCTCCTCTGACTCTGACTCTTCATCATCCTAGGCGCAGAGGCATGAAGCAAGCCGCTGATCGCCCTCGCGAGCGATCAGTCAGTACACGCCAGTTGCGTGCAACAAAGCACCCGCATTGTGTGCCATTGTCAACGCTCCGTGTCGGTGCATTCTTTCATCGAAACCCTTACAATGGCTGTCTATATTCCCGAGTCAAGGGTTGATGATGCATCGCTCTTTCCCCCAGGACAATGGGTCTTTTGACCCTGGCAGAAAAACTGCCTGTTACGTATATATGCGTGCATGCATACGGATTACAAAGTCTTCAGATCGCCCCCAGCTGTCCATCTCAGTTCAGCTGCTTTACACTGCAGCCTCGCAAGTGACGCAACATCTGGATGGGTCGCTCGCTAAACTCACCTGGAGCCGCGCTTCCTCTTGGCCTCCCCTTAAACCCTCGAAAAGGCACCGACTCCAACAGCATCGTGCTTTCAGAATTGTCTCTTCTTCAAACCAAAAGCAAACCATCTTGAAGATAGTGAGATTGCCCAACTGCTGAGCTTTTGGCACATCTTCTCATGAAACTGCTCCTACTGCCCCCTCCCCCTCCAAACACCCCATCCTCAGAAAACAGACAAGAAGCTGTATTTGGGGACCCGGTCCCCCCCCCCCCCCCCTTCGGGGTGATCTTATAAGACATCTCGCACTCGCTGTCAAATGGCCTTCCAAAATGCACAACATCCAGAAAGTCAGGGAGTGAGTTGGACTTGGAGGTTCTCCCTGGTAGGAGCCCGCATGGCATTCCCTTCGGCACCCAAATGATCACAAGTTGCCGGTGCCAACTGGAAAAAAAGCAACGCCCGCAGCTCCTGACAACCGCGGCGCGGGTGGAAGGTCCATCCCCTCGGCACGCCGGAGGCGCGCTTCCTCCTGCCAGCGCGCCAGCAGCTGCGCCTCTGCACGGCCTCAAGTCGCGACTTCCAGCGACTTCCAAGCGATCGAGCCAGAAAAACGGGGAAAAAAGGAGAAATCGGAAACCGACCAGTCAATGTCAGAGAACGAACAGCAAAGAAACGAACAAACAAACAAACAAACAAACAAACAAACAAGCAAACAAACAAACAATCAAGCAAGCAAACAAACCAAACAAACCAAACAGACAAAATGAAACAAATACACATCAAAACAGCCCAAATCAGCCCAATCAAACAACCAGGTATTCCCCCTGCAGATAAAGACAAGGAACCCACAAAACCGATCGAGAGGAATCTCCTCTTGGGGAGGGGGGGTTGGCAGGGCATTTCCGGCAGACCAACCGACCAGCAAACCAACCAGAAGCAACCAACCAACCAACCAACCAATCAACCAATAAGAAAACCAACCGAACAAGCAAACAAAATCAAGCGACCACAAGCCAATGGTACAACAAATGGATTTGCCATTCGAAGATCAAATCCCAATTGAAAACCACTCACAGGCGCAGGGGCGTGGGAGTGGAAAAGGCACCCTTTTGGGGGTCGAGCTAGAGGGAACCCCTTCCCTGAAAAATCGCACGGACGACATGGGCCCATTCCCTTTCCCGAGGAAGGATTGCCATTGAAGACACCCCCCGTCCCCCCATCCCAATCAAATCATGGGTATGGCCATGGTCGTTCTTCACTTTCCGCCGAAAACAGTGGGCCCTCCGTTAGAGGGGGGGCACCCCATTCGTTGATTTGGAGATGGGGATGTCTTGTGTCTTTGACCAGCCAGAATCACCAGCTTGCAGCGCCGACTTGGTCACCACAACCACTACCACCACCCAAGTCACAACCAACAGCTGATACTAACGAGGCCCACACGAAATCATGAGAACAGTCAAGAGGTTGGCTATCGATTTGTGGCTAGGGCTCCGCAACTCGGCGTTTGATCGAGTGGAACAGGAAATCTAAATTCATTCCCCTAAAATGGTCCAGACCGCAAAAGTGACTCAAGTCCAGAAACTCGGAGAGTGCGGACTTACCGCTATCATCCCAACCCGGCATTTCTTGCCATACCACGGAGGGCCGCTGCGTTGCTGGCAGCGCTGTAGGCCTCAAACGCCTCCGCGTTCAGGCGTAGGAACTCCTATGCCGATGCACCCAGAAGCACAGTGACCTAATCAACCTTCGGACACACACACACACATATATATATATATATATATGTGTGTGTGTGTGTATGTAGACACATATATGTGTGTGTGTGGGTGTGTGTGTGTGTGTATGTATGTGTCTACGTGACATGTCATGGCTGATTGCGTTTCGGTCGTTGGGATTTGCTGAGTGCCAGTGTCGGATGTTGGCACTCAATAAGGTCTGCTGGGTGGCACCTCTGAGCAGGCACTATGAAACTCAGTTGCTGACGTACAGAAACCCGTGCTCTTCCAACCCTCTGGGGACTTGTCTGCATCAAGTGCCACGGCTCTCTAAAGAAGGTCTTGCACGCTCTCTTCAAACAGCAGCCTTCTAAAAGCTTCCAATGAAGATCTTCCGTGGAACGAGGTTCTGCACAAGATTTCTCGAGAAGTACTTCCACTTGTGTTTCTACAGGAAAAGCTGCTGGACAAGATCTCCGTGGAAGGATCATTGCAGGATCTCCACGAGAATCCTCTAGAAGTTCTCTCTTTTGGATCTTTAAAGAGCGTCCTTTACAAGATCTCTCGGCGTGTAACCTTCGTGGGTCCTGCGCAAGATCTGTTGAGACGATCTCCCAGCAAAATATAATGTGTATAATATTTATCTTTTTCTATAGTTCTCTCCCTCTCTCTCTCTCTCTCTCCCTCTCACTCTCTCTGTCTCTCTCTCTCTCTCTCTCTCTCTCTCCCTCTGGAGGCTTTTGAGAGGATGTCTGCGCAAGATCTTTTGATAGTATCTCTTGGCATCTGTGTGCAGGATCCCAGGATAGGATCTCCTGGTGTTGCAAGTAAGTTATCGCAGGTCCTGTCTTCAATTTGCACTGCGCTACGGCGAGGGCGATCCGGCCCACCCACAGCCCAAAGGGTTCACTCTCGATGCTCAAAGGCACACCCCGCCACAGCGGGAGCGCTCCCACCACCCAAAACCCGCAGAGGGCTCACTTTCGACGCGACAGCGATTCAACACACCTAAAGTCCGATTCGATGCCAAAAATCCGCCACAGCGATGGCGATCGAATTCGCACTGCGCCACAGCGAAAGTACACTCTGGAAAGACACCGGGCCTGCGCTCCGAAATACACATGAACAATGTGCCAAGGGAGCTTCCGCGCGAGCCTGCGCAGCCAAAAAGCGCCGCCCAAAAAGAGCACCCTGATCTACCCCGGCCCCTTACTCTTACCGTGAGAACCTCTTCGTGTAGACACACTGCCTGGGGAAAAACAGCGTGAGAGGACTGCAGTAGGAACCCTGCACTGCTGGCATCGGCCACAAGCAAGTCCACTCGAACGTGCTCTGGCTTAGCAAGTCTCCCTCCTCTGGAAACCATCAGGGAAGTATCTACTGAGTGTTCACGACAGCTTTTCTCAGATGGCGTGTTCTTGCTGATCTCTTGACGACGGTCAACAGGTCACGGCACTTACCACTCTTCGCCACGCGCTCGAATCTCCCAATCTCCTCGCCCCAGTTGAAGGCATCCAATAGCCGCTGAGCATCCGCCCGCAAGCCCACAATGATCAGCGCCTTGGAGAAATCAGTAGGCAGCTTTTCGGCGATGCTAAAAATATGAAGCACTTTCTAGAGGGCTGGCGCAGATAAAGGTGAGAACCACCAAACAAAAAGGGCTTTGGAGCGGGAACCCACAGCCCCAAACCACCTGTATCAACCAGGGAAACAACCTAATACGGGTGTGTCGCAAGATAGGGGTTCTCTTTTTGGATGGTTGGAAGCCAAATGGAACCAACCACTTGAAGGGACCCTCTAATTGTGAGAAATACCCTTAGATGGGTACCCGTCTTTCTTCGAGGTTATGCTTTTTGGTGTAGTCTTAAGGGCGAAGCCAAAGGCAAAGACACATTCTGCGGGCCCCACCCCCAAAAAAAACAACTGGTTGTGGGTCAAAAATAAGGTAACCCCAAAATGGAACCCCGGTAAATGGAACCAGCGGCCTAAAACCTGCGGTTCCGTTGTGGCTTCCAACTTTGAGTTATATACTCCATTTGCTTAAGTCCCCTGGAAAAATTAAACAACCTGTTCTAGTGATAGATTCCCATTGCAACCAACAGGGGAAACGAAAAAAAGTACTCAAAGAGTAGGTGATCCCCAATCGTGGTTTTACAACAAATACTCAAATAGCGGTTGATACCCAACTTGTGGTGTTAAAGCACATGGAAGGTTCCCAAGTGAGTCACAATCAAACCTGGTATAACAATGGTGAACCCAGAACCATGTCAGGAATTGAACAAAGCGGGCGCAACTATTTCCGGCTGGGACTGGCCCTTACTAACCTTCATCTACCCAGGTTTTGATTATGACTCAAGTGGCCAACCCCGCAACCCCCTCTTTTTGGTTCAGCGCTTTCGGTCATAGTCCCAGGAGCCGCCGCCATCGCCTCCGCCGTGTTCAGCTTGTTGGGTCGGCCTCCGCCAAAAAAAAAACACAGCTCGTGGGGAGTGCCCGAAGACTGCTCCTCTTGAAAGACGTGAAAACTCTGGTAATTTGCCATGAAAATCAAAACTCTGGTAATTTGCCATGAAATTCACGATGAAATTGAAACAGCTCTTGTGATTTACCATGAAAATCAAAATCTTGTGAAATACCATGAACACCAGCCATCTCGCGCTCCGAGGCGCCGTAGTTCACGGAATTGGCCGCCACCAGGAACGGCAAAATCCTCGAATGCGCTTTCTGGAGGCGTCGCGCGCGAGAGCAAACTGGCGCACCAAAAAGCAAGGCATGCCCCAACTCTGACTCTTGGGCTGCTTTAACATCGGATTTGGGTCCTCTGGAGCTCTTGCCCCCAAGTCACTCCCAAATGAACTATGTACTGAACATTCTGACTGAACCTCATTTGGGTGCTAAATCTGGGAAGTTGGAGCCCGCAAAATTGGCTTGCTTTCCCTGCATCCCCCAAAAATAACAATCGTACCCTACACGCAGGGAACGATTTTTCATGAGGTGAGACCGAAGCTTCAAACCATCCTCAACAATAAACAGTACCCTACACCAAAGTGGCAACTCCCTCGTTCAGTGAGAGGGACCAAACCAAGCGAAACCAAGCGACGGGTTGGAGTTGACTCAAACCGATCCCGGGCGCCGGTGCTGGCTTTGCCGCGGCAGCTTCCCCCAGGGGATCTCGGAGATGCGGTTCCAGCTGCAGTTCACCCCCGCAAGGCCCGCCGACCTCGGACCCAAAACGTCGCGATGGGGCTTCCTACTGTGGATGGTTGCATTTGGCACCACGAAATGAAACCATGGTTGAAACCGTTGGTATTTACATGGGAATCATCATTCCAGGGATTCTGAGGTGGTGCGAAATGGATTTCGTCCATCCGCAGTATCTCCCCCTGAAAACATCACCCCAAAAGCAAACTCACTTTGGCCCGAAAGGCGATGTTTGCAAACCGCCCAAAGCGGGGAAGTTCGGAACGCGGGCCAATATTTCCGCACCTCTCTCTCCATATTGCGAAATCGGTTTCGTGCCCAATCCTCAGGCCCTCAGAAGTACCTCAGTTGCCCACTTTCTTCGGGGGGACGGTCGACTCCGCCCCCGCCCGCCGCCGTCTCGGCCAAGTTGCTCAATGATGCCGCGGTCCTCCGCCGACACCGGCACCTGTGTCCTGGGAAGGCGTCAGGGGAAGTGTTTTCCGTCCTCCCAACGCTTCGTCTCTTTTGCAGCCAAGAACTCTGAAAAACAAACCACTCCAAGTGTCCACCACCACCCCCCCGCCTTCAAAAAGTGAGAAAAATACCACCACATCTTGAGTCACCAACCCCCGAAAGGAATCGCACTTCTCAATACCGAGAAAGTTCAGGAGTCCGGTGGCTGTGGGGAAAAAGGGATGGATGGATGGCCTTCTTGTTGTTGGTAGATGTGCTTAAAAAAAAAAAAAAAAAAAAAAAAAAAAAACTCCCCCCCCCCCGGACAAAGGAAAACAACTGCGCCACTGGGTACCTAAGGGGAAATAGAACCGGAAACCCCAGATCTTGCGGTTTAAGCCAACTGAGCGCTGAGCTGGGTGCTGAGGACAATGCCCTGGAAGCCGGCCTGCGACATGCGCCTCAAGCCTTTGGATTTGTCATGGACCTGCCGAACCCATGGGGAGGGGGAGAAAGCCTTCAAAGCTTATCCTTTTGGCTTATCCCCGAGGTCCATGAGACTGTTGGGGCGCTGAACCTTGGACACTGCTGAACCCACTGACAGTGTTCAACAACCACGTCTGTCCTTGCAAGGCCAGTGTGTCGCTAAAGGAATTTTGGCCAAACTCTCCGCCCGCTACATTTGTCTTTGCAACGACTGGAAGCCTGAACCTCCGAACATCTCCGAACGAAGCCCCGAACGCCCATGCCTGTGGCCGCAGGCTCTTCGCCAAGCCGAATCCTACCATGGGGAGCTTGGTAGGCACCAAACTAGGGCTAATTGGACATCCTGGCTCGCCCCATAATCTGATATTGATAAACACACTCTTTCAATGACAGTTCGTCCCTTTTCGAGTTCTCTCTCCAATCTACCCTCTTTCCAGCAACCATGAAAGCAAAGTCAACCATGCCGAGTTTTAGATAAAATCCCCATCCTCTTGAAAAGGTCCCTTGTCCAAAAGGGTAGCTGGATGGGCATTTTGGAACCTCTCGCTTCAGAGGCCCACCCTCAAACCCCACCCTCAAACCCCAAGCAGCACGCCCTGCAAGATCGTCATCCCCAGCCAAGTCGCGGCACAGGCGCACACCGCTGTCCATCTTCGGGTCGTTCTGCCCGAACTCGAAAAGCACCAGCCGCGCCCTTGCCTCAACCTGCGCTCTGCGAGTTGAAAAATTCGAGTAGGCATTCTAGCTGCATCCTGGCCTCCCTCAAAGGGGCAAAAAGATGTGAAAAGGAGGTTGAAGCGAAAGGGAAACCAAACTGAGACTCTTTGCGACAGGCATTCGATTTCAGTTTTCAGGCGCCTCGCTATCGCCGTCATCTGAGCCGTCGCTGCTCTGCTCCCCAAGTTCGCCTTCCCTCCTGTCCACATGGGTGTGTTTTCTTGTGGCTTTGCAAACGGAAATCACAAGGAAAACAACCTTTTTTGGGCGGCCCTGTTTAAACAAATGCCCACATCGGAGCGACAGCCTGCAAAATCACAGTCATGCCAAACGCAACGCGTACACAAATCCAGAAGCCCCCAGCCCACCGGCAACTTCCCTGAGTCCTTGTTGGCGTCCTCTTGCCGGGCGCTTTGCCTGCCGCACTGCCATGCGGCACATGCGGATGTCTATTGAAACTATTTGAACCGGTACCTCCAACTGATGAACAGCGCCTTGCAAGCAATTGCTTCCAAGCACGGCTAGCCGATACCAAAACAGGCATCCAGCATCGCCGAGCTCAAACTATACCTGGACCCAAACCCTGGTCACAACAACCCATATCATGTTGCATCTCTTCCGGCCTTTGCCTCGCCCTTTGCGCGGCATAGCTCAAGGCCCATAGGTGGCGGGAACATGGGCGCACTCGCAAGTGTCACAGCCAGCTCCGAAGCGACGGTGCATCTTAAATCTGGGCTGTGAGTTGCGTGATGGTTGCATGCCGAAAAAACGCAAATGAGACCGAGAATGTTGGACAACTCCCGGCAACTTGCCCTGGTGCCACGTCTGTGTTTGCATCAAGGCAGTCCCAAGCAAATGTGACCCTGCAGCAGTATGCAACTGCTTGCATTGACTAGAAATACAACTTGATCAAGGCGCGAAAGCTGGCACTGCCTGCAAGAAGAGCCCTTGGTGAATGACGGCTGTTGGGTCCTCATCCCTTTCAGATGTTCGAAGGGTCCCTTCACCGTGGCCGCTGCATTTGCTAAAGCCGCCTGGAAAAAGATAGAGGGCCCCTTTAAAAGCAACAAATATTCCTAAGCAAATGCGTTCTCCCCAAACGATCATTAGACTACAGAAATTGTGCCAGTTGCTCACACGGAACAGCATGTCGTGTACGCAGATATATAACTTAACCAGATGATTAAGAGTTGGCGTGCCTAGTTTTAGCATTGTCGTGCGGCCAGCAATACAGGAGTTTCTCCCAGGTTTTGAACGTTTGCTGCAATGAGCACCGATGGGCATGTTCTTCAACTTGAGACTGCACTGACGAACCCCTCGATTTAGTGGACCCCCTGGTAAAGCAGGTGGTTTCGGATGTATCCTGCAAGGAACCCCGCTGCTGCGCCATTTTTCGGCAGGCACCGTGACCACAGTTGTGCCCGCAATCTTTCTGCCCCTGAGGCCAGCTTTCGTGTTGGATAGACCCTCTCTCTTCTGCAAATCCGCTGCCATCGCACACGTGGAAGGGAGGGCAGGGAGGGCGCTGCACCTGTCGCCGGCAAAGGTCCTTCCATAGCGGCAGGTTCAAGCAAGCGCGAGCGGAGCGGAGTAAGTTTCCCGCATTTCCTTCGGAGACAGAAACGCCGAACTTTGGGGGTGCGGGCTGTCGACACCCGTCGCAGCCATCGGCCACTGATACGCGTGAACTTGTCCACTTCAAGCCAACGACGTTGTCAGATTCGACTGGTTCACCGCGGAAGATCAAAGAAAATCCTCGTGGGATGAGTGCTCCCCAAAGTGTTTGAGCAGCACCGGCTGCAGCTTCGGTTGCCACCACTCCTGCGCACCCCCAAAAAGGTGGGTCCTTCTAGGTTTCCGTAAGGGCACACCCAAAAGAGGGTACCCTCAAAAGACGAGACAGCGGTGGCCTGGACGAATAGAAACACATGTGACCAGGGCCGTTGCTATGCAGATGTAGTATGATGTAGTTTTGGGTGACATGAATTGGTCGAGAGCTGCACGTCTAACTAGAACTTGCGTGGTTGTTATTTACGATATTGCTCCTATACTCCAAAGTTGCCATGCACTTTTCCAGCTGCGGCGCGGCTCAGAAACCGCAGCACGACAGTAGAAAGCACGGTTCACTCTTGCAGCTGAAGCGTGGAAAGTGCAACTTTTGAGTAGGAAAGCAGCACACAAAGAACGCCTTTGCGGCAGCAGCTCGCGGCCAGCTTGCAGGTTCTCTCTCTCCCGCGCAGCTCCAGCCGCAAATCACACAATGTTTCAGTGAAAATGTCGGACGTGAAGTACGCCCCCCTTCGCTTATACTACTTTTGCACTGACACGTTTCGAGTTTCGAGCCGCTGCTGTAGAAGCCATGCACGGTTGCTACTTTCCCGCTTTAGAGTTGCAGCTGGAAGGGTGAGCGTACTACTTTCGCACTTAAAAGTTGAGATGTTCGAGCCTTCCCCGGGCTCCACTCAAGTTGCAGGAGTGCACTTCTTTCGTATTTATCTACAGCTAAGAATTCGAGTTGCAGCTGCAAAAGCGTGCTGGTTTCGCACTCCATGCTCCAGCTCGTGCTATTTTCGTGCTTGGAAGTTGCGAATTCCGAGCCGCAGCTGGAAAAACGCACTTAGCTTCTTAGTTTCGCTCTTAAGAACTTAATAAGTTGCAAATTTCGAGCCAGAGCTTCTTTTCGAACTCGAGCAGCGCTACAGCGAGAGCACTTCAACATCCCCGAGAGGGCCCACCGAGCACTTTGCAACTTCGCGCGGCGCCGCAGCGAGAGCACATCGACCCGCCCGATCTCCACCGAGCGTTCAGCGAGTTCGGCGCCACAGAAAACAAGACACATCCGCGCGTCACGGCTCCACAGCGAGAGCGCTTCGAAGGCTCATCGAGAACTTTGCAATTTCGTACTGCGCCACAGCGGGAGCGCTTCCACACGCACAACCTCCGCGGAGGGTTTGACGCGAGCAGTACACGCCACAGCGAGAGCGCTTCGACACGCGCGATCTCCTCAGAGGACTCGCCGAGGTCAAACCACATTCGCGCAGCACCAAAGCCCGGGTGCTTCGACACGCATGATCTCCGCCGAGGGTCCGCCGAGCTCAAGACACACTCGCATTGCACAACAGCGAGAGCGCTTCGACGCGCACGGTCTTCGCAGAGGAATCGCCGAGGTCAAGACACATTCGCACGGCGCCGCAGCAAAAGTGCTTCGACGCGCACTGTCTCCACAGAAGGCTGCGTTTCGATAGCTCTCGTCGGGCCTGCCCGCCGCAGAAACACAAAGGACTAAGTTGAAGTAAGACTCGAGAAGAGAAGGTTGACAGGAAGTAACACCCGACAAGTTACCTGGCAATTGTATGCTTATGTATTTAGGATCCCGATGCTATCTAAGAAAGCTACCCTGCTGCCCACTCACATGGAACTTGACTGAGTAGTCCTGGAAGACCCCTTTCCTTTGAAATCCATGTTAGTGGACAGGGTAGCTTGTGCCTTTAGGATAGTGAAGTGACAGCTACCTGGTATTTTTGTTGCGCGTCTATTCAGGACACTGATCTCTCTCTTGTGTCTAGGATCGTGCCGCGTGAAAAGTTGGCCGGAGAAGTTGGCAACTGAAACTTGCAGCCGTTTTGGAAGAAGCCTTCGCATGCATCTGAGAAAAACATGAGTCATAATCAAAACCTGGAAACCAAATGGTGAACGCAAAACCATGTAAAGAGTTAGGCCGCTCCAGCCATTTCTGGTTGGGATTGTCCCTTACTAAACTACCCGGGTTTTGATTGCTCACATGCCCACATGTCCTTCCCCTCCGTTGGCATCATCTTGTGCAGCCAGTCCAAGGGTGCCTTGTCGAATGAGGCAGCCAGAAACTCGCGGTACCGAGGAAGCCAGGCAGCGTTGTACAGAAGGCTGCCGCCGCCTCCCCAACCTACAGGCTCCAAGGATGTGTAAAAATAGGGTCATGTCCATGAATCACGATGTTTATGAACGCATGTTCCAATCTTGGTGTACTACACGCTGCTTGCCTGGCCAAAGCATTCCTAGGGACGGGTATTCCCTCCCCCCCAACCCCCCCCCCCCCGCCGTAAATCCTCAGTGTGATCTATCCGCAAAATGACCCTCCAAAGGATCTATCAGTGTGTTTGGAAAAGAAACAGATGATACCAACAGCCCGGAACAATCCTTTTGACCCTGCCTAAAAGCTGCCCCACCTCTTCCTTAAGAGCCTCTCTGGGCCTATCGAGCCGTATCTCCTTCACCTGAGGACAAACCTCGCCTCGGGTGCCCCAGGTCCAGGTTTTGGGATCCGTGTCGCGCTGGAAACCCAGCAGCTGCAGGCACAGCCAGTCCTCCCAAGCCCTCCGGCGTCGCCCGTCGAGATTTGTGGGGTGGGGGGTGGCTATGCCCTGTCCATGCCCTGCCCGTCAAGGAAGCTTTCAAAGTGGCGTTGGTTCGACAATAGCTCGACAAGTTGGCCATGGAAGTGGATGGGAGGGTTGGAAGACGCTCTGGCCTCTTTGAGCGGAAAGTTGAAAGGAGGCAGCTTAAACAGCAGTGCTTGAAGCATGTTGAAACAAAGGGAGCCAACCCTCCCTGGTCTCAAGTCCCCGCAAGCAAAAGCTGAGCCTCATCCCACATTCGTCATGCTCATAGCCCAAAGTACCTTTGTCCACAAAAATTGAATGTCTCCTCGCAGGCCAGGTTGTTTGCTCTCGGTCCTTCTTGCGACCGTGCTCTTGCAGCCATCCTTCGAGGAGGGTTCCAAATCCTGGCCGAAAATCGAAGGCAAATGACGCCTTCGAAAAGAGAAAACAGGGGACTCGGCCATTCCGACGCTTCAATTTCATCACCGGCGCTTCTCCAATCAATGAGAACAGTTGGGGAGCCATGCGAAGGTGATGGCCCTCGATGCAAAACTTAGTGCTGCCCCTAGTCACGAGTCACTAGTCACTGCTCGGCTGTGGCTCCCCTTGCGATTCGGCGAGGACCCAAAGTCCAAGGCGGACCCTCGCGCTCCTGGCAACAGCTCCACGTCGTCCTCCAGCCACAGAACATGAGCTCCAGGTGCATCTAGCTCCTGGCCGAACGACTGCAAGGCTGAACGTTTTGATGGCATGTAGGGAATCAGTCATGAACTGGGGGTACCAAAGGTTCAAAAGGTCAAACAGGTTGAGGGTCCAAAAGTTTTAGGCTCGCTTTCCTATGGTCAAAAGGTTGGTATAGAAACAATCATTTTTCTTTGTTCCAAAACGTGACAAAGGTTCAAGGTCGTACTAAAGCCTAGCCAAGGCGCTTTCACAGCACTTACGAAGTCCAGAACGAGGCGGGAGCGCCAAAGAACCTTCTCCTCATCTCACCCTCCCCCTCTCTCTGCGTGCAACTTGCCCGGCGCTAGCATGACCATGACCGCGACATGCTGCAGCTTAAGTACACACCCAGCTAACTCTGAATTTGACAAGGACGTCGGCCAATGTAACGAAGGCGTCAACATGTCTCCTACGCGACTCGTCATCTAGTGGTTACAGCCACCTGGGTGTCGATGTCAGCGCCTGTGTGATTATGACAACAACTGACCACAATTGGGTCACCCTAAACGAGCTCTAACAACTGGAATCAGGGTGCTACAGTGCTACGGTGCTAGGCGCATGGTCCTAAATCAATGCCCAGGCGAAGGTCCCAAAGCACCGAGCTCTCAGCTCACACGTCGAGTCTCCAAAGGATCCCCGAAGGCCCTTCGCAAGGATTCAGGGCGCTGCCTCGGTTGCCCAAAGGACGCAGAAAAAAAGAGTCAACCGTTTGGGGCCACTAAAAATGGACCAAAAAAGGAGTCAGACAGTTGGCTTTGGACAAGCGAGTGGCAGCTCTTTGTGCTCGGGTCGCTGCTTGAAGCGAACGGGCAGGCCCTTAGGGGAGGGTCGAGTGCAGAGGGGGATTTGACAAGTGTGGCATTGGGTGGACAAATGGGTTTGTGTTGTAAGTCAGTACCCTTTTTGGGGCGGATTTTGAAATGAAACAAAAGGGACACCAATCACTTTGACCCCCTATTTTGGACACATCAATACAATACGTTTCGGAGAGTGGTTGACGACGTTGCCGCTCACTCAGCCGATGCTTTGGGCTGTCCTGGAAAGCCTGAAGCAACAGTTAACAGAATGTGGGTAGGTAGGGTCTGCCATATGTTGACCATAGGCCTGGATCAACCAGAGAGCGAACCCTGGCCTTGCTGATGAAAAGAACTGTCACCTATGGACAAACATATTTTGACCGAACCTCATGTGTGTGTGTGTGCCTGAAAAGTCGGGAGGCCTTCCTCTTGGTTCCCCTTTCACACTTCCAAGAAAAGAGGATACCCTCAAAACAGCCAAAACAAAACAAGGGGTTACCCTCAAAAACCCTCTGAAAAGAGAGGATACCCTGAAACACAACAGGGCCATATGGCTATGGGTCAAAACCCCGGTGCCCCGGTGAACACCCAGAAAGCCGTCCAAAAAGGCAACAGTGGAGTGGTAACCATCCCCAAAAAGCGCAAGAAGGCACCAAAACGGTTTTGACCCACAATCATATGACTTCCGCCCAGCTCTCACCCGTCGCCCACTTTTAGGTTAAAAAAGGCGCCTCCAGCTCCCGCATGGCCAGGCCCGCCGGCCTGCAGGATCGAAGGCCGAGCCCTGGTTCAAACATGGCTCCCTGTGTGCTCAACGAAAAAGGGAACACCCAAACAAGGGGAACAAAAAAGGGAGCACCACAAAAAAAAGAAGAAAAAAAAAAAGGGGTGCCAGTTGAACAAGTGGCTCTCTTGAATAACGGCACCCGCTTTAAGGGAAGGATGACTGCTTTCCCTTTTCCAGGTGCCGAGGGCATTTTGAGCGGGCATGTCAGGGGAAACCAAGAGGAGGCTTGGCAAGCAATGGTGATTTCAAGCGGGGCTGGACCGTGACCACCTAGAAGGAACCCTGCATTTTGATACTACTTTTGGGGTGGGAAGCCCCGCACCACCATTTCAAGGCTCAAACTTTGCGGACTTCACGGGTTGTTTTCGATGGCGCCTGCTCGGATCGGAGGACGTCACGGGGCGCCTGCGGTTCCACCCACTTCGCCACCCCCGCGCCTGGCGTCACCAAAGACCAGCACCTCCGCCGGCCGCAGCTCGCGCCGCAGCGCCCAGGCCGAGCGCTGGAGGTAGGCCTCCTCCGCGCCGTGCGCCCGGCGCAGCGCCGGCAAAATCACCGCCAGGCTGGGCAGAGGCTGAGGGAGGGGGGGAAAACCAAAAGCGTAAAGCGTTATAAACACCAGTCTTCCATTTGCTTACGCCCCCCCCCCCCCCCGGAACCAAAAAATCAAAAGTATGTCCGGTAGTGCTTGGCTCGTTTCAAAACCAACAAGGGACAATACATGTTCTTAAGCAAATGGAAGTAGTGGGAGGCTGTTTTTGAGGGTACCCTTGTCCGGGTTAGTTCAAGAGGAAATTGAAGGGAAACCACCGATGCTTCTTTTTTGGAGGGTCCCGTATTTTGGGACAAACCCGCATGGTTCAAACAAGGGGGTGAATCGCCCAAGCCTGCTATCAACTCCACGCATGGAACCCACCAAGTCGTTAAATGGTCCACGACCTGTGGGTTCCATGCGATCGTGCGCCCAGATTTAGGGAATCAGCCGGACCCGCCCAATGGACCTCACTTGGATATCTGCATGTCGCTAGTCTGCAACCGGGTCAGTATGTGTTGGTTACGAGTAGGCTTTGTCAGGCTGGTTCAAAGGCAGACCGCAAGGAAAACGACGATTTTTTACGGGGTCCTATCTGAACAACATGCCCTCATCCTATTTTGGTGGGGCCACATGTCAACAAGCATGCTTGGTCCCCGGCCAAATGCGGGTCCTCAAAATAGGGACCTTTGGGCTTCCGTTCAAAACGGGCCTTGTGGCGGGTTCCATGGCAACAGACAAAGGGTACAAACTCCAAACACAAAAAGCCCCAGATGCCCATTTTGAGACCGCCAATTACAAACTCAGGAGCTGCCTCTCTCTGCGCCGATTTCTGCGCCGCAGCCTCTCGGCTGAGTCCTGAGAGGGCGATTGTAGGGAAAAATTGAAAAGTGACCCATCCCCTTTTGGCTTCCTCAAGTTTCCTTTTCCCCTTTGTGTCCTGTTCACCTGTGGGTCCCAAAATGTTTGAGAAAAACAGACAAATTGTCTATTCAATACTTACCCAGCACTTGTGTCTCGGCAACCCGCTTCGAGCGTCTTCGAGACCACCAGGGCCTGGTTACGTCGACCAATTCAGCCGCGTCCTGGACTCGCTCGCGCAGCAGCCGGTGCCTCTCGCAGACCGCCGTGGCCGAGGGCTCCGCAGTCGAAGCAGCGCAACCCGCCGCGACGAGCAGCGCCGCCCGCATGCCGTGGATGCCGCGGAAGCCGCGGAAGCCGCGCGGAAGGCTTGGTCTTCCGTTTGCTGAAGTCACTGATATATATATATATATGCAATATGTCCAGAAGTGAAAGACTCCCTTGAAAACCAACAGGGGGAAAATAAAGAATATGCTTCAGCAAATGGACGTGGTCAATTCGATGAGATATCCAAATAGCCGAGGCGACTTTGCAAACCGATGTTCGCCCGCCTCCAAAGTGAACAATCCATGTCCCCGAACGCCCCGCGGGATAGCTGCGAGCACAAAACCGCCGGTCGCGAGCTGCGTGTGATTTGCAAGTACCAATCTTTTTTCAGGGTATCCGGTATCCGTCATTAATATGCATGGCCACAACATGTGCAATGGTCAATTCTCGTTGGGCGGGTCATGGTCACTGTTCCCTTGAAAGGCTGTTGTTTTTACACTTGTTGTTCAAAACACCTGTTTCAAAACTATACTAAAAGAGATTGATGACCAACCCAACTGTGAGCAATGTCCACAACGAATGTCGAATCAGCCGAGTCAAAAGGTGATATTACCTAAGATTGCTCTTGAAATCCATTGGTGCACCATCCTATCGCAAGCAGGCCATATACTGTTTGACTTGTTTTGAAGGACCTTTCCCCACCCCCCAGCAATTTCTTCAAGCCATGGACCCAGGCTCTGGGCTCATCTGAAGTGCCAGCCAAGCATCGCACAGGAACTCTTTTGCAGGGCTCTTTGTCTTCGGAGCCTGGCCGTGCGAGCTTACTTTTGCTTTCCAGCCATGTACCCGGACATGGGTCGTGGCGATTTGGACCTCAGGACCACTCACCTTCCAAAACCTTCTGGTCGCACCCTGAAGGGGTCGCGTGGGTGTCGTGTTCCTAGAGGACCCCGAACAACCGGGTATAAAGGACAATGTGTGAAGCATCCATTCGAGGGTCTCCCATATAATATACATATATCTAGACATTATGTGTATAATATATATATATATACATATATATATATATATATGTATATATATATATATGCCAACCATGTGCCTTTTTTAAGACCCCCTTTTTGAAGGACCTGCATGCTGGGTACGAGAAACATATAAGAGTGCAGTTCTGGAACCTGTCATCTCTAATTACATGAGAACCGCACCATCCAATGCCATCGAAGTTTTGACCGCTGAGAGGAAACTGCAGAGGTCCCGCAGGCGTCAGGGAGATGATCCAAAGACCCCTCACAGGGAAGCTTCTTGGAACCCTCTTGGAAGGGGTTCTGCTTGAGGTTCGAAGGGCTTGGGCTCGCGGATTCCCTCCCCTTCGCCTCCTTTCAAGGCCTGGGCCGAGAGGGTGGAAGGTCCCAAGTCCATGTTAGCAGGCAACAGCTCCGGAACCCTCCAGGTGGGGTTAACCAGCGGCCCGTGTTTCTGCAGCCCAGGCTTCCCTAAGGCTTCCGTAATGCTTCCCAAGGCTTCCGTCAGGCTCTGCCAAGGCTGCCTCCTAAGGCCCTCAGGCTTCCCCCAAAGGCCCCTCAGGCTTCCCAAGAATCCCTTCCCCTTGGCAGATTTCCAAGAGCCTCCCTAGTGTTCCCGCTGTTGCGAATCAGGAATTTGAAGCTTCCCCAGGCTTGTGCGAGGCTCCCTCAGCAAGAGAAGCTGGAGAGGGAGGGGGGTACGGCCTCCATAAACTCAGTGCCTGCAGCAGGTGTGTGCTATTGCGAAGGTGCCAATCTCCAGGTGCCAGCTCTTGCCGCATTCATAATCCAAAATACCTTTAAACACAAGCACGGTTTCAGAGGAACACCTCGCCTTCCATCCACCAGACAGGCTACACCTCTTTTGCCAGGGCCCAAAACCCTCTCCGGGTGCCGGGCCAAGAGGTCGAAAACGTTGTCGTTGTAGACCTCCCGGTGCCATGGCGACCCAGCTGGGTTTTTGGGTGGCCCTCTACTTGCTTGGAGCCCCGCGGTTTGGTGGTTGGGTGGTTTCCTCATTTGCCCCCTGGGGTTCGAATCCAAACCCACACCACCAATCCAAATCACTCAAAGGGACACAAGTCCCCACAAGCAATTTGGAGAACCCTTCGAAGTGCAGCACGTGGCCAAAGCCTCTCTCAATGCGAATGAACCAAACCCCACGCCTGTCTTCATTTGCCCAGGCACCCGAGCGCATCCTTTCTCATCGCAATCCCTCCCTTTGCTCTACTTGCACCATGTGCGCCTCGGCCATACTGGCAGAAACGTCAAACCTCAGCCGCTTCGAAAATGCAAGTGCCCGAAGATGCGACGAACGCATGAGCTCCTTGACGGCTCTTCCGAAAATGGGATGTGCGCGATGGGGGGGTGTAGCCCAGCCAATCAAGCCCCTTTGAAAGTGCTCCTGCATTCTTTCTTCTTCTCAAAAGGGTTCATGGAGTGCTCCCAGTCCGATATAATACCGCGGCCAACCTTTCAGCAAACCAACCTGGCCCGACAGCAAATCTGGTGAGAGATCAACCGAAACCCTCGTTTTTGCCAGGGTATGGGACATTGTCCCTGGTCCTTCCAAGCGGCTCCCAGCCGTTCCTCTTCAGCTGCTCTGCCTCCTAGGCGAAACACAACCGAAACATCTGCTCTCTTTTTTGGAAATCATGCCAGTAACCTAAGATTATGGAACATTCCCAAGTAAAAACATCTTGCCATGATAAGGGCCGTCATGCACGATAATTCCAAGAAGTCACTTTCCACTAGTAAAGACCTTGACAATTTTTGATATGGCAAGCGTTTGATCCACTGGCGTGCCTCCAACCTTGCCCAAGGTGGACACTTGAAACTACCCCCCCTCACCAACAAACATGGCAAGCCCCTTTTTCAGGAACTATTCTTCCCAAAGGGGGCTCTGCACCAAGCCATGCTCGTTTGATGCCTTTCGAAGTCGCTCGGTCCTTGAAGATGAGGTCAACTGTGCGAGGGATGACGCCTGGATCGGCCGCCTGCCAGGCGACTGTACGAAGCAACCGCCGGTGTTCCTTGCATGTCTTACATCACCCCACGCGGCAACACGGCAACGACACCAAAGTAAAGCCTGCCCACAGGGCCTGAAGACCCGTTTGGTCTTTGTTCTGGACCCACTGGGGGGCTCCATGTTTGTGGACAGGCGGGTAGCCCTTGGCCTTGAGCCCATTGGACCACGCATCCCTTGGCAAGAAACCAAGCCCAGTGGCTCACGCAACATGGGAAGGATCCTTTCCGAGCTTGGGTCCGAACTTTGGTGCTCGGGATCTGTCTAAATGTAGAAATCATGGATCCCCTTTTTGCCTCCTCTTAAGAGGTTTACAAATAAACCCAGTCCGTAGCCTGCTTGGGAAAAAGAAACAAAGTTTTCAGCTGTAGGGGAAAAATATGAGTTTCGTTTTGGGGAAATAAGCGACAAAATATGGGGGTGGTTAGCTCGGCGCCTCCTCACTTGGCCCGAGCATGGTGTGAGTCTTCCCACTGCCAGTCTGCCTCAGCCAGTTTGGATGGCCGGCATGGGGGAGGGGGGGTTGTGGATACCTGTTGCAAAGTTGGCTTTGAGGGAAAGCAAAAGGAAACTACAATTTTGTAGTCCCCATGTCCTGGCACAAAACTGTCGACCCATTGAGGTAGAACCTGCCGGATTGTTTGGGGGCCCGCCCCCCCCAAAAAAAAACACCGAAGGATCCCCTCAATGGGCCACACGCACCCATTCATCAGGCCTGCCACGCTGAAGCTCCGTATAGATCTCGCAACTCCCTTTCCGTGGGTCAGCAAAGCTGACTGAACCGGAACATTTCGGGGATTGTGACACCCACTGTCGCCCAGCTGTACCCTTCTCACCTGACCGGCCCTCTCACTTATCAACCTCAACCCCCCCCCCAAAAAAAAAAAAAAACAGCCCTGGCTTCTAAAGCAAGCACTGGAAGTTCATCGGAGCCTGAGCAAATGGAAACACGGGGTTGGGCCCAAGAACGTTTAAACATGATTGAATATAGGTCTGTCGTTTTTAGGGGACCCCTCAAAATCGTGGTGTCCCTTTTGGATTCGGAAAAAAAAAAAAAAGTGGAAAAAATGTACCCTCAAAAAAAGCAGACATGGAAGGAGCTTCAACCCACAACCCCCCCCCCCAGCTTTCCCCCCTGTGAGCTTCCGAGCCCATAGGCAAGGATGGCTACGCGGTAGCCATCCAGGGCGGACTGCACCAGCAGGGCGATCCTTCGAAACTTTGTCAGGTTGATGATCTTTGGCTGCAAGGGGCTACCACTGACAGCCCACCCTTCGCAGCATTTGTTTTGGGAGGTGTTGCCATCCAACCAAAAAAAACGGATTTTCTTACAAAAGCGGGGGGAGGTCAGGGAGTTGTGACCCCAATCAAGGGCACTTCCCCTTTTTTTCGGTCCTTTTGAAGTGCCGTTTGAGATAATTAATGGCTTAGGTCCCATCTCTGGGAATGCCTGGGACCTGTGTTCACACGTTGGATGCCAAGCCGCTCTTCGAAAACGTCGGCCTGTGTGGCTTCCGGCCTGCGGTTGGCGAGCAAAAAAAAGACCAGCGCGCCCGCGGCGGTTGGCGGCGGCTTCTCGGCGTTCGGAAGCTGGAAAGGCGCCGCCCGTGGGGGGATCACCACAAGTTTTGAGACGAAGAAGACTCAAAGCAGCGCTTTGGCCCCGCCCCGCCAAGAACAGGCTCCGGGGTCTCAGGAATTGTCAGGGGCGCATTTCAAGCACAAGCCAGCAGAATTTCCGAACCTGAAGACGTGGTCAAAGTCGAAGGCCCAGGACCTGCAAAGGAAACCCACAAAACCACGAAGCCAGAAGCACATGCATTCCCCAATGAACTATCTTGCAGGTGCGATAGGTGGGGAATGAGGGAATGAACCGGAAGGGGATTCCCTTGAAGGAAACCGTATGGAATGGTTGAATGGTTTATAGGGGGTCGTTCCCTCATTCCCTACTGAGCGCCAGCAAGGTCGAACGCCGATGATGTTTGATGCTTGCGGCGCTTCTTGAGCGTGCTTC